AACTTTCTACAGACCGCACTCGGCCACGTCGACCTGCTTCGACGACGCCTCGACGCGCCCCAGCTGCACCGCCTGTCCGTTCGTGAGGGCATTGAGCGCGTCCAGCGCAATGTTGAACCCGGCGAGCGCATGGTCCACGGCCAGCACGTGAATGGTGCGCCCGCCGTACGCAAGCTCCCAGCAGGTGCCGCACTATCCACCGGGGCACGGCACACGTCAGTCCTCGCTCGCCAAGACGGACGGGTATGTTCCTCCGCATCAAGGCGGCGGCGCACGCCTCTCTCTCGTCTTTGAGACTTGGACAGCATGATGGGGAGGGGGAGGGGGGGCAAGGAAGCGAAGGGCACGGAAGGACTCACGTTCGGCGAGTTCCAGCCCGCGACGGCCTCGGCGCCGCCAATGTAGGGAAACCCGGTGGCCTGGCGCTGCGTCGTCCAGCCGTACCGCGTCGTCAGGCCGTTGACGCCGTCGGAGCAGCTGACGACCGAGAAGGAGCGGTCGCCGTCGTCGTAGCCCGTGTCGTAGGAGACTGGAAAGGGCGGGGTTCCAATCAGTCTCGCGTCCGCGAGGAAGGGAGGACGCCGAAAGCCCGGGGGGGTTGCCTTCTTACCTGTCACCGCCGAGGCCATGGCCGCCATGGCCGAGATGCCGAGATAGTGGGAGATGCGCATGATGTTCTCGCTGGGTGGGAAATGGTGATGTCTCTGGGCAACGGGGTGAATGCTGCGTACGGAGGAGGGGGGGGGGGGGGCGGAAGACAGTCTGCGGCGATGGCTCGGCTTTTTAAATACCAAAACAAGCTATCAGCATCTCCATCTGCCTACCTACGTGACATACGACCATGGCGCATGTCTTCGTGACGTCGGACCCTTGCGTCTCCACGGCTGCCCTGTCCACGTCCTGCCAGCGCACACGTCGCCAGAGGCCCGAGCCGCGACGCTTTCTCTCCAATGGCGACGACTACCGAGACCAACCAGGTCGGCAGTCGCGGGGACTTTTGCCCCTCTCACCCACACCTCCACTCCTCGTATCTGTACCGACGATCCCGTCCTCGCCAGGCGAGTGGAGTCGGCGCCTTCGTATTCAGCGTGGGCAGCGTCGCAGGGCAGCAGAGGGGAGGGTCGGTTCGACACATCCAGGAGTGGGTGGTGCTGGAAGCGCGGCAACGACGGCAATACCCGGACAGTCCTCGGTGATCAGCCCACGGCCGCGGACGCGGGGTGCCGGTGGTACGGGACAACCAACGGGGCGGCCGTCAAGGTGGCGCCAGCTGGCCGGAAGCGGACGGCGCCTGGGGACCGGCGTGGTTGGATCGGGTTCGGCGGGGCGGGGCGAAGAGCAGAAAAGGGCAACACGCATCGCTTCACACATGTGGCTGCCAACCACAGGGGGCAGACAAAGTGGCTGCGCATCGCTCAATGGGTTTCTGATTTGTGCTAGTCTGGAGAGGGACATATCGAGTAGACGGGCTGCAGCTCAGCACACGAACACGCAATCCAAAACTCCCGAAAGCCTCAGTCTCTGTCAAGCTGCCTAACTACTTGGGATCCACCGCCGCATAGATAGACTGTCCCAGCAGACAGAGAGAAAGTGGACGACCTGATGAGACAGGTTGTGAGGGCATCAAATAAACGCGATGGTTGAAGACGTGGATACTGGGGGTGGGAAAGCGGGACAAGTCACCAAAAGGCGGAGAATGCCCTGACCCAATCAGAGCCGAGCGGGGAGAAGCATGGCTGCGATGGTTATTCAAGTTTCAAGCTCGATCGCCGATCGTGTCGTTTGGATGGTCAAGGCGGGTCAAGACCAACACGGTCGAGGCAGGTACACTGACCCAGAGGTATGGAAGTTTTTTGGTGTCAGCGTGAAGCAAGTGAGCCCTTTGTGGGCCGGCCCGTGGGAAGAGGTAGCCAATTTCGAAAGAGAAAGACGAGGATATTTAGATCGCGAACATCGATACAAGCCAGTAGATATGCCACGCTTGCTCCAAACGCCTGCTGCCGTGAGTTCTTAAAAAAAGAAAAATTCCCCCGCTCAAGTCAACCCGACAATCATCGCCGTTGAAGGGGGGTCAAACACGCGTCTCTCAATCCGTTGTTCGAGGCGACAATGGCGAGGCGGCTTCATCAGCCACCGTTCTTGCCGTTCTTTCGGCGATCCAGGCTGGAGAAACCCGCCAACGATTTGTTGTTCCGCTTACGACTGGCGTACACCAACCCGCAGACGTTACAAAGCGTGCCGGGCCCATCGGGTCCTGGCCGCCATTCAGGGGTCTGCACTCTGTTGCACGCATGGCACACGAACCGGGCCGCGTTGCGCTGTGGGATGAGAGAGGGCCATGGGTCAGCAGGTGGCGCGGGGTGATGGGACGGGACGGGACGGGACGGGACGAGACCTACACTCGAAGAGTAGGCGCCGCCCTGTTCTATGCGCGAGTTCCTGCGGTCGTCCCTCTCCTCCGCCTTGCGCAGCTTCGCAAGGGTGGGCAGGAGACCGTCGCTGTATACCTGATGGGCATACGAATCGGGATCCGAGGGGCTCGAGCGATTCTGGACGGAATTGCATGTCAGTCACCAGGCGTCAGCGGTCGACAGCCATCACCCGTGACTCAGGGGGCGATGGGCAGGCGACGAAAGGGAAATAGGGGCTGCCCCGTACCTGGTGGTCTTCGAGCTGGGCCGCCGACGGCCTCGACGATCCACCGCGCGAGGAAGCGCCTTTGGACGAGCCGCGCTTGGAAGAGGATCCACGCTTGGACGAGCTCCGTCGAGAGGAGCAACCGGCTTGATCGTAGGGGCCGGGGTCCTGGGGCGAAGGAGGGTCATGGCGGCGGCGAGTCGGGAGAGACGAGTCGGTGATGGCGCGTGGAAGGTCTCTGTTGTTGGGCTGCTGGGTGGAGTTTGTCATTGATTCGAGGCCCTAGTCGTGGCCATCTGTGAGGACGTGTCGGTCGAGTTGGAGGGCGGGCGTTGTGCTCATCAATGCCTGATGAAATGCCCCTTGCGCGACGGTGATGGCACTGTTGACTGGGACGCAGCGATGATGGTGGAGATGGATGTTGTGTTGGCTGGTGTTGCAGGCAGGAGGTGGTAAGGCTGGCGGTGCAGGAGTTGGGTGGTAAGGCTGGCTGGTAGGCGGTATGCTCGTTCGGGGAACTGAGAGTGCCTGAAGCGGAGAGGACACGGGGGAGGCAACTGCCTATATAAGCAAGGTATCAGACGGCCGTGTCGAGTGACAGAGACTGGGATAGGCCGTGAGCGACTTTTGAGGCAGCGAGAAGGGGGGGGGATAGAGAGAGAGAGAGAGAGAATGATTGATGATCTTGGCTGTGGACGGAGAATCAAGAAAGCCAAGAGGCAAGAAAAGGGTCTCGCGCAGGGTGGGACTTGGGATGGGCAGATCGAGATGTGATGCAATAGAGGGGGAAGCAGGATGGGAATTTGGCGAATGAGAAAGACGGTGCGCCCGTACCAGACGAGATGGGAATTTCGTACGGGAATCTGATGTTGTTCCTGGGGATGACGTCGGGCAGTGACGACAGTGGGGACCACCCTGTCTTGCTCCCTTTTAGGTCTTAACGGGGGAGGGGCGAAGAGAAATGGCATTTTGGCCCACAATCCCATGCGCCGTGGCTCGCTCGCCGTGACGCCGAGTACGGTCGGCGGTATGGCTGGTACTGCTCGTTGCCTACTACCTTGATAAGGTACCTTACAAAAAGTTCCTTACCTAAGGTACCTACCTAGTGGAAGCTGAGTCACCGCTCCCCTGGCCAGGACCGACCCCTCTCACCTCACGGGTCCGACCCCTCCTGCCTGCCCGTGCGTTGCCCTGTGGCTGAAGCTCCGATGATCGGGCTGCTCCCGAATTTTCCAGCCACGATCAGGGACACACAGACGCACTCACTCACTCACTCGCAAACGGCCCTGCTCACTGACTGGTCTTGCGTGTGATAGACGACGACCAACCCCAGAACTGCCGACTCACCTAGGGCCTCTCGACCATATCGAGAATCATCCGCCGTCAGGGACCTCGGGCACTCGTCACCTCATTCGCTCGTCCAACCCCCCGCCAAGGGCCCCATCATCATCATCATGGAGACCTTCGTTATCAAAACCCCTTCGTCCTCCGCCAACATTGGTCCCGGCTTCGATGTCATCGGCCTCGCCCTCTCCGTCTACCTCGAGCTGCACGTCACCATCGACCGCGCCCGCGCCACCTCCGCCGAGCCCCTGAACTGCCGCATCACCTACGAGGGCCAGGGCGAGGGCAGCGCCGACATCAGCCTCGACCCCTCCGCCAACCTCATCACGCGCGTCGCCCTCTACGTCCTGCGCTGCCACGGCCAGCGCATGTTCCCCGTCGAGACCCACGTCCACATCAAGAACCCCATCCCTCTCGGCCGCGGCCTCGGCAGCTCCGGATCCGCCGTCGTCGCCGGTGTCATGCTCGGCCGCGAGGTCGGCCACCTCGACCTCGACCTCGACCGCCTCTTTGACTTTTGCCTCATGATCGGTGAGTCACCATGCCGCCCCTTCTCCTGCCAGGAGAGACCACGCATCCGCCCCGTCCCCCCTGTCCACTGCTTGCTCACGCCCGATGCGCACCGCAGAACGCCACCCCGACAATGTCGGCGCCTCCCTCTACGGCGGCTTCGTCGGCACCTACCTCCGCCCCCTCGCCCCCGAAGACACGCAGCGCATCGAGATCCCCCTCGCCGAGGTCCTGCCCGCCCCGGCCGGCGGCGTCGACACGGGCGAGACCCCGCCCGCCCCGCCCCACGGCATCGGCCACCACATCAAGTTCCCCTGGGCCAAGGAGATCAAGGCCATCGCCATCATCCCCAACTTCCAGGTGCCCACCCACCTCGCCCGCGAGGTCCTGCCGCCGCACTACACCCGCCCCGATGTCGTACGTCTGCCCTTGGTGCTGCTGCTGCCGCTCCTCTTCCTCCCCTTCTCTTGACTGACGCGTCCGCCCAGACCTTCAACATGCAGCGCATCGCCCTCCTGCCCGTCGCCCTCGGCACCTCGCCGCCGGATCCGGAGCTCATCCACCTCGCCATGCAGGACAAGATCCACCAGCCCTACCGCCAAACCCTCATCCCCGGTCTCAGCGAGGTTGTCGAGTCCATGTCGCCGAGCAACCAGCCCGGCTTCCTCGGCGTCTGCCTCTCCGGTGCCGGCCCCACCATTCTTGCTCTTGCGACCGGGAACTTCGAGGCCATTGCCAACCGCATCATCCAGACCCTCAAGGACGCCAACCCGAAGCAGATCGACTGCGAGTGGCGCATCCTCGAGCCCGCCGAGGGCACCCAGGTCATTCGGTAGACGTCTGGTACGAGATCACAAGGGCTGGTCTACGAGGAAAAGCTTGGACATCCCTGCAAGGGGGGGATAATTGCAAGCAAGAAAAAAAGCAAAAAAGACTTAGAATAATACCCGTTTACCATGCCGCTGTTACTGATGCCGCCGCTGTTTGAGGTCTTTGACAAAGACCACAGACACCCTTCCTGCCCGCCTGCCCGCCTGCCCGCCTGCCCACAACCGTTTTCACATCTCGTCAGTAATGGTGTCACCCGACAGCCGCCTCTGCTGGCTCTGTTGGTGACGCCGGTCCGCAGCTATCCTCTCCCTAAGCTCCCGCACGCGCACTTCGAAGCCCACAAGGTTCCACACCTCGTTACCGGCAGCACGCCCCCGAGGCAGTCCGTAAGATGCATGTGCGTAGTCCTCTTGTGCGCTCAGATTGGGGCACGGGTCTCGGCTGGGAAGCCCAACTTGCTCTTGCGCAAAGCTTTCGGCCACGGAACCGGCGAGAGCTGCCTCGGCTGCGTTGCCCCTTTGCACGAAGCGGATGGCAAAGGCTCCCACGAAGACCGACGCGGTCCCGGCCCTGTGAATGTACTGATGACCGCCCGAGTTGTGGAACGTCGGCGTCCAGGATAAGCTACCCTCTTGGGTCGCCACCAGATGTTTTTCGTCACTGCGCACGAGGATGATACCCTTCCCTGAAGGTCCAATCGCCCCGGCCATGAGCGTACCCACGTAGCCCTCGATCGCAGCCTCGTCTGCGTCGCCCTCGGAACCATACAGCATTGCCAATGTGTTGGGGCTGAAGGATGCAATGTCGGTGAGTGGTAGGGCCTGCTGCAACTCGTACAGAGACAAGTTGCTGGGTTCCCAAACGACGATCGGCCTGGATTCGCCTTGCATCGAAACGCCAAGTGATGCCAGCTTTTCGAGCTCGCTCCGCAGCTCGACTGCACTGCCCGCAAAGTGAAAAATAGCAGCACCTAGGAGAGCCTGCAATTGGGGTTGTGCAGGCGAGTGTCGCCTCAGACCCCAGAGCTTGCTCAGACTCTTCTTCTTCTCCTTCTGCTGGCCCGGGTTCAACGCCGCTTGGGCTCGATCCTCGACCAGGGTGCCTGACACGGTCGTTACACCCCAAGATCGCATCGTGTGTACTGTCTGATCCGATGGACCATTCCAAGCCTCGTGGTCACCTGTGATGAGGAAGACGTTGGCGGCATCCTTGCTTCCCAGTGCCATGCGCGCTCCGAGCGTAGCTGCCGGCGAACCACATGGATTAGCAATCAGGCTTGTTTGCGCGTGCACGCCTGGCTCTGCGTACCCTCGATGTCCGCCCCAGTAGGGACCCTGCTGAGGGGTCCGCCTGTGGCAGTGCCCTGGGCAGTGCGATGAGCGAAGGATACAAACATGGCAGCCTCCTTAGTGCTGCGGCGAAGGGGCTAGGTGCGGGATATTGCTAGTTGATCGAATTGTGAACACAAACATGCTATGATGATTCTTGGCGAGCCGAGAAACCGCTGTGCCTATTCAGATGCAACGAGGCGATGTAGAAGAACAGGGCACTACCATTCTGAACCAGGAGAGAACAACGCGAGACTCATTCAAGGCGCAGACGAAAGGAATCACCAACTCGCTCACGGGAAGCTCCTTCACGCGTTGATCGCTTGTCGCTGGCCAACAAGCGAACTGTCGTCGAGCTGCTCACACGGCCCCAGACTGCCCCGAGGCGGGGAAGGAGGGAGGCCCCTCCAACTGCCCTCGACAGGAACGGCAGTTGTATTCGCTCTTTGGAAAACCCGGCGTCTCATGAAAAGATGAAGAGACCGTAGATGTGTTGCCTTGATTCTCCGGAGGCTCTCTCACGCCGCTGGTGTATTGCCAAGTTTCTCAAGGATGACGAGATGGCGATGCTTGGCATGGATCCAGGGGCGAGTCAAGGGCAGGGTGGTCCAGCTGAAATGGCTCGAGTCAATTGGGGGTGGTCGTGAGACGGAGGCCTTGGGCCCATGCGACAGGTGCTGCTGCTCTTGGAAGCAGTGCCTCGAGGGTCCCCTGCCCGTGCTGGAGCGTGGTGGGGGGCTGGAATGCAGTGGTGAAGGCAGTGATGGCCCGGTCAAGGGCTGAGCTTCCTGCCAACCCCCGCCGAAAATAGCATCAACGAACACAGTTCCTTCATTGAGGGTGCTTGTTGGTCGACGACTGACGAAAGACCGCCTGACTTGAGAGAGCGCGAGGTTCACGCAGGGCTCTGTATTAACCCTTGATGTTGTTCTGCCAGGCACGGAAGCGCCAGATGGATAGGCGAGAAACAAGTCAGAGGCAGGGTTCGAGACAGTGCATAGCATCACTGTGTCAACAACAGCGATGGTATGTCACCAATACAGGCCCTCCCTCGACCTCTCCACCTTCTGGCCCGGCCTTGTCGAGGCTCAACGATTCATAATGAACCCCAGAGGGGCACCGGGCACCACTCACACTTCCACATTCCAGAATGGCCCGATTTCGCAATCTCATCCGTCAGGCGGGCAGGCCATCGGTGAAAATGAACTACACTCACGGTGTGCTTGCCGTGCCTCGTGCATGGCGGCTCGAAAACGCAGCCTCGATCTGGCGGTGAGCGAGTGCACGCATCGAGGTGAAGCACATCCGTCTTGCCGCTCATTGTGGTGTGGTGTGGTGCATTGTGCTGTACCTCGTGGTCCCCTTCTCTCTGGTCTCCCCGTGCCGAAGATGCCCTGCTGCATGCATACTGGGGAGCCAAGGTGCTTCGCTTCCCGCATGCGCCTGCATGGGCGACAGGAGGTACTGCTCGCCACGGATTGGGGCTGGGCTGAGGTGGGCTTGAGTCCACAGGTTGAGTTGTTGTTGGATCCAGGCCAAACCTAAAGAGATCTGACCGCCCCAGGTGCCGGCGCCGCGGCAGGTCCGCGCCCCGCACCTTGTGGCCCAAGCTCCTCAACGTTTGGTTTGGTGAGGACCCCTGGCCGCGTGCTGGTGCTGGTGCTGGCTGGTGCGTGCTGGACTCGACTCGACAACGCCGCAACAAGCGGCAGGGGGTCCCTCCCCAAACCAACGACTCAACAGCCCCTCATTTCACATCGAAATAATGCGGTCAGGCGATCATCGCTGAGGCGAGGGTCGCTGAGGCGATGAGGATAGGGGTTGCTGGGCCCGGATGATGGAGCTACGAAACGCAGGCAGGCAGACAGTGCGTGTGCGTGTGCGCACGCACTCGTGAGCACGTCTATCTATCTATCTATCTGTTGGTGGGCATATCGCATCAAGATGATGCGCCTCCTGGAATTTGTTATCACGCCCGCATTCTCGTCCCATTACCTCCCTCTCTACCTCCCGCTGGAAAGAAGAGCAAGGTGGTGGTTCAGATACAGGCGAGCCTGCGTTCCATGCCACCACATCTCATGCAGCATACTTATCCGTCGAGCTCCTGATTCGTGTGGCATATTGCTTCCTCCAGTACCACCTCAGTACATCAGCACATTATGCTGCATTGAATCTCGTTGCGCTCCGTATCCATTCGCACAGTGACGGGAGATACCTACGTGGAATGGGTCCGTCACGAGAAGCAGAAGGACGATGCACATGGAGTCGATACGTACTGTACACGTGTGTGTGTGTTGATCAGGTCCCAGTGGGCCAAGCAAGCCTCCTCATCCCGCCTCGTTCTGCCATCGACCTAGTACATGGCAGATCAGATCAGGTACCTTTCAGGGAGGCGGCAGTGGGCGTTGTTCGATGTCTCTCCCCACCCCCTGCGCCTCCGCACCGCACCGGAGCTCCGGGTCAAGGTCTCGCCCACCCTGTCACCCATGTAGAGCAGAAGCAAGTAGCTCGCACCAAGCCGTCCACCTCCCGCCTCAAGATATATCAACCCGCACCCTTCCCTCCCGCCGCCTGCCTCGGTTTTTCCTGCCTTTTCTTTCCACTGATCTTGATTTCTCACTCACACGCGCCACCTGCCACACTTCAACCACCACGGATCCTACCCAGCTCTGCCATTCAACAAACCCAATATAGTTCCATCTTCAGCACTCACATCATTCAAGTCATGTCCCGAATCACCGCCCCCGTCTCCAAGCTCACCCGTTCCATCAACTCGGCCGCCAACCGGGGCCTCATCGATAGCCACTACTCTCATGGCGCCGTCCTGATGCCCAAGTACGCCGAGCTTCTCAAGAAGAGCCCGGAATCCGATGTATGTCGCCCTCGCCCTACCAGGGACGAAGCTCTTCTGATCTAACACACAACGCCAGCATCACGCCCGCTCCATCACCACAACCCACCGCCCAACCCCGCAGCCTCAACCCTCCAAATCCCACCCGCGCCCCCTCATGCAGACCTTCTCCTCGCTCTCCGCCGCCACAGCCTACACCGGCGCCCCCACCATCGACGCGACCCTCTTCGCCTTCCCCTCCTCCGTCGGCGCCGCCATCTCCGACGCATTCTACGCCCGCATGCCCCTGCTCCCCGACAGCTTCGCCCGCCACCGCCCCGAGGCACCCGAGGCCCGTCCTCTCACGCCCGAGATCAGCGTCGTCGCCGCTGACCCCGCCAACGCCCTACCCGTCGCTGCGCTGACCGAGGTCGAGGGCATGGGCGTCGACGGCGTCGAGCTGCGCTTCGCTCACGACGCGGAACCCGTCGAGCGGGAGTCGAGCATGTTGAGGAATCTCTGGGGCACCATGGAGAGCCAGGCCTGACGAGCCCTCTCTCTGCTCCTGAAAGCACTGGATTTGTCACGCGGACGGTGACGGTGACGTGCGAATGGCATTTGGCTCTTCTGTCATCTCTCCCTGTTGAAAGGGGGGAGGAATCTTTCTGGACCCATCGAGCACGCACGAAGGGAAATGCGACCCGGGATATCGTGATGTTATGAGCTGTTGGGTTCTTTTATAGGGGGAGTTTACTTTTCACGAACAGTACCCACACACATCTTACTTTAATTAGAATGCTTCACAATGCGCGCACCTGACGCAGCATGGCATTGTTTCTGCTAGACGTCTGACGATGAATAACATGACGTTATACGGAATCTTCCGAGCTGGACTGTTCCAGAAATCTCATTTGCTATCGAATTCATTACATGACCCTTTATTTTTTTGTGTGATCAATGCGTGCCATTTGGTATCACACGCTCCTGAAGAAGCGCCCCTTCTCAAATCACACCACCGCAACGTTCTCAGCTCCCATCTGCACGTGGATCAAGAGAGAGAGAGAGAGAGAGCAGAGAAGGACTATTCTAATCATTTCCGTGGCTGCACTCTCTGTCTTCTGACCCCGTCATACAATCACGCCCATTCCGCCATACTGCAGCCCCTTACCGCTTCTTCATTGTGGGCCTGGGCTTGCACTCATCCTGCTGCACAGGGTGGAGCATGACCTTGGTCTGCAGCTGTTGCGTGTTGTGCTGGAAGCCCTTGGACCAGTCGTAGCCCACGGCGTAGGCAAAGATGGAGCCGTTCTTGTTGAACTTTGTCGACGTGATGCTTCCGCCGACGTTGGGGTAGCCCTTGAGGCGGTGCTTGGCGTCCTTGTCCCAGAAGTGGAACGTTCCGTCCGAGCCGGCGGTGCTGAAGGTGCCGTGCACGGGGTGGAAGGAGATGTCGTTGACGGCAAAGACGTTGGTGATGTTGTTCTGCGGCGGGTCGCGGTGGCACTTGAATGAAAAGTTCAGGCTTTTGGTGGGAAGACCCGTCAGCGGGGGGAGTTCTGGGTGTGAGATGAATGAGGAAGAAAAACCAGTATCGTAACGTACCTGCTGTCCTTGTCCTCGACATACTGAATGGCGCACCGGCCCTCGATACTGCCGATAGCAAACCCAGCGGCGTCGGTGAAGCAGCTCACGACGCGCGTCTGCCACTTGAGAGGGCTCTGCAGCGTCTTGTAAAAGGTCGTGGGGTTCTTGAGGTTGACAATGTTGATGTAGCGGTCCGCCGTGCCGATGACGAGGAGGTCGTTCTTGACGTCGAGGGAGTAGACGCGGTCCTGGCACTGCAACGTCGCGGCGGGCGCCTGCTGTCGCATATCCCAGTACTTGACCGTCTTGTCCCACGAGCCGGACACGACCATCTGGTTGCCGCTTGATTCGAAGAAGCGCACGCTGCGCACTGGCTGATCGTGCTCGCCGACCTTGACTTCCTGCCGCGAGCCGAGGTCGCAGCACTTTACAACCTTGTCTGCGCCGCCCGAAATGACCTTTGTGCCATCCTACAGAACTGCGAGTCAGCTAGGCCGGCAGCAACCTCCGCAATGGAGGGATCGCGACGGAGGATAGACGTACCTTGGAAAAGTCGACGTTGAAGACGGGTCCCTCGTGATCGTATGCGTGCCTTCCTTCGCTCTGGCCGTTGCCCGTGACCTCGTATATCCTGACCTTCTTGTCCCAGCTGGAGATGGCGAGGAAGTCGTTGGTCTGATTTGTGGCGGGGGAAAAGGCAAGGTCGGAGACGGTGTCTTCGGGCGGGTTGCTCAGGGCGACATCCGACTTAAGGTCGCCGACGGTGTTGCTGGCCGACGAAGACGACGCGCTGCCGAAAAGTCCAGACATGGTGTCGATCGAAAGTGTTGTGGCTTGTGTTCCGATCGATGGACCTGGGCGAGGGTTGGGTTTTTTTCGTCTGAGTGTTGCAATGTTCAGATCATCGAGATCGGAAGGGTAACGCGGGCGAAGGTGGGTAGGCGCAACGCGTCACAGATGGGACCTTGATATACGTCGTCCTTCGTTCCTGGCCAGGAAGCTCGAGGTGAAGGCAGACAAGGCTGGTCGAAAAGAGCTTCATTGTGAGCCAATCAAAGAGCGCAATTCCCTCCAGCAGGCACCACCTGGCTGCCTGTCCATGGCTGCCTGACTTCAGGTTGGTACAAAACCAAGAGAACCTACCCCACCGATTCTGCCGATAGACGCACGTCCCTTCTGCAGGCCCTTAAAAAAAAAAGTTCACCAACCAACCTAACCATACATTCTCTTCCCTTCTTCAACCCCCCTCGTCCAACAGATCGCCATTCGAAGCTCACAAACAGAGACACTCTCTGAGCGTCTCAATTCTCTTGCTTTGGGAGAAAGTCCCCGGACACGTCTTCTCCTCACGGAAGGACATTGCGGAAACGCGCCGCCACAGAAGCACTGCGGCTGACCTCCTGGCCCTGTCCTCAGTCTGTCCTCCTCTGCCCTGCCCCGCCGCTACATTGGTCAACCTTTCTCTCTTGGAGTCTAGTCGGGTGGTCTTGAGACCTCATGGACGAAGATATGAGTCCGCGCTCTTGGCCGCTTGATCGGATCCTCCGTGGGAGGAAGGTCGGCTCGATGGCGGGGTAGCCGTGGGTGTCGATGCGTGCTGTGGGCGTCAAAGGGCCGGGAGGGTTTTTCGTCGAGCACGATAGATATGCGATCGCCTAGCCTCAACAGCTTGGAGTACTCGATGGGGCTCATTCTTGGCGCGAGGGGGGTTCACTGCAGTCATGGCTGTTTCTGCCGCGAGTTGCCAGCTTGTCTGGAGATTCACCTTTTCCATCTCTCTGGGGACTTCGCAGGAAGTCTTCCTCCAGTATGAGCGATGCTTCTCGCGGTGCGCAGTCGTGGCCGCTTTGAGGGAGTGTGTGTTGTTGAAGTTCTACATGATGAATATCAATAGAGTCAAGCACTGACGGTGGAGTCATCAAAGAATGGCCGCCCTTGTGACGACAAAACATTGCGTTATGGTTTCTGAAAGAACTTCAACAACACCCTTTATCTAGTCATCTCAGTCGTTTATCCTAGTTTCGGACTGACGAGTCTTGCCGTTCGAGTACCATTAAGTTGCTCGGCGAGAAGACCATGCATGCATGGACTGCTGTGGCTGGTCTTTACGGAGCGGCCATGTTCGATCGCAAGAATCAGCTTCTTAATTGAATGAACGGCTCATGTGTGACATGTGGTATTCGAAAAGCAAAAGAAAAAAAAAGTCTAACGCCAGTTGACTCCAGCCTTCTATCAAAGTCGCCCGTGGCTCGTTTACATCAATCCTCCCAGCACCACTTTACTGATGTTCGCCATCTCTGTTTTGGCGTGAGCCCTGCTCTGGTCCTCGAACTCCTTGACTGCACCCTGGACGATGATCTTGCGCACCCTACCATCGACCTTGGCGAATAGCTCGCCCACTGGCGCTGTCGCGACCGCAGGGGTGGGCATCAGGCTGAGTAATTTTGTGTATGTGTCAATAAGCACGTCGCACAGCGTCGCGAACGTCTCAAAGTAATCGGGCTCAAAAGGCAGCGCTGGCGTAAGAAGAAGCGTGTACTCTTCGCCGGGCAAGAGGTCTGTTTCGCTATGCGCAAAGTTGACGACGTTTGCGTTTTGCGTGCCACCGATTCCTCCGCTCATGGCGTCATCCATGGGCACGCCAATGTCGTTGGCGCCGCTATTGCTGCGTCTCGACTTGCCAACGGGACCCCGGCGAAACATCTGCGGCAGCCGGGCGCGTGACAGCGAGCTTGTCGACGAACCGGCCTCACCGTGTAATTGTTGGAAGGACTCGAACTCTTGAAGAAGGACGTTGAGACTGCGGAGAAAGTCGAGTGGTGTGTTCGAGTTGAGGTCTGCGACTGTGGGTAGCGACAAGCCGAGAAGGAGATAGTTCGTGGCGCGTCGCGCGAGTTTTCGGGGATCGAAGTACGGGAATCGTTGCAGGTCGCTTCGTTCGAAGACGACAGTGTTGAACCAGTAAAGACGCGATTCGTGTCTGTCATCTCGTACGTTAGCTTTGCTTTCGCATTGCAGACACGCGCACATGTTGATCGTGTTGGCGAAATCCAAAGGCGACTCACGCTTTACGCAGGTACTCCAGAGTCGCCATGCGCTTCTTCGCGAGCTCTTGAATCTGGAGGTGAACAACGGCGGCCTCGCTGCCAGCCCACATGCCAGCGTTGGCGCTGAGGGGTGCCGCCAGCCTGTCGTTCATGCTGCTCTGTCCGGTGGGCGTTCTGCCGAGCATCTTGGAGAAGCTGTCGGCGCTCGCCGGGCTTTGTATGGCATCGGTGTCCTTCGAGATCTTGGCAGCAGCAGCGAGCGCAAAGTCCGGCAGGGCGGGAGGTACTTTGCTGTCGGTGACTATGACATTGAAACCGCCTCCTGAGCTGCTGTTCGCGCGGCGCTTGGATGCTTTCGAGGGCGAGCTGAAAGACGTCTTGCGGCCAAAAGATCCTTTTCGGTCTTTGGTGAGGGTATTGTGTTGCGACAATGGCGGTGGCGGCGGCAGCTGGGAGGAGGAGGAGGACGAGGGAGGGTCGCCAGATGCGGTCCCAGGACGGGACTTTGTCGTTGAGGAGGACGAGAAGAAGGAGCTCGAGAAGAAGGGCGTGCTGCTGCTGGTGGGTGTCGTGCCAGACTTCTGCATGTCTCTAGATTGGTGCGGGCTGGCCTCCCACGTTGAGAGCAAAGACGGGGGAGGCTTGCTCGTGGGCAAGCGTGAACGCTGACGTCGGGCCTGCACGCTTCCAGACGGGCGGGCGTCGAGGGGTTGGTCGTCTGGGCGGCCACCTGATGCGATGCAAGTCCAGATCTACTGCAGGTTCGTCGGACGACCCTCGAATCGGTAGGCAGCAAGCGGCGGCAGCAGGGTAGCGCTCCTCCACCTTTTCTTTCGCTAGATTGCAGGCCGAGGTGCTTCGCACCTATCAGGACGTAGAACAACGTTTGCTGGAATGGTCGTAATTTGCGCAAGGACGTCGCTAGAAGACTGGCGATTTGCGTGGGTGGCGGATGGTCGCGACAAGCGCAGGAGTATCGTCAGGCAGAGAGGGTTGCTGACCGAACATTGACGTTTCTCAGGGGTTGACAGAGCTGTCGAGCATTGCCGGCGATTCGTCGAGTAGTATTTCGTGACGGAAGAGGGGGGTGCTCGAGAAGAAAGACTGGCTAGATTCTTTCGTCTGATCAGCGGATGGATGAATGGATTGGCCCCAGTGTCGGAGCATTGCTCAGGGACGAAATTACCCCACTCCACGAATTCAGGGTGCAGTAGCGACTCGAAAGAGTTGAGCAGACGGCGCTGACTCAATCCTCAGTGGGACGCTACTGCCGCCGTAGCCCGACAGTTGTCTGGAGCTCTCTTGCCGAAGGTGCCTACTAAGGGGAGGCTTCCACAGTGCAAGGCACGTCAAGACGGCCACCAGTCTTCTTGGACTCTTGGTGGTTCGGCCCGTCGATCTGCTGCAGGACATTCAGCCGGAGTGCACATGGCCATGCATTGCCGTAAAATGGGCATGGCTTGGTGTTGATGGCTGGACGGGTCAATCCATCAGGTACCAAACGTGTCCAGCATTAGACCACAACGAGATCCTGAAGCACGACGACAAGACATGAAGGAGCGAAACCCGCACTCTAAGGTACCTACTCGAGGCACCTGTTTAAGTAACAGCAAAAAAGAAGAAGATGCTCCTGAGAGCGAGCAGTAGCCCCGGGGCGCTGTGTTGTCCTGGGCTGTCCTGTCTGTCTCAGTGTCGTTGCAAGAGCGGCTTGTCGGTGCACCTCAGGTAGGTACCCAGGTAGGTACCTGCCCCTCCCTGATCGCCCATTGCCAATCACTGACAGGATGGCACCGACAAGGCCACCACCCACACAGTGGCCTGCCACCACCAACTGCTCTCTGGCTGCATTCATTTCCCGGCCCCTGCGTCCACAAATTCAAACAACAACCGTTTGTCTTGCATGCGACACGACAACTTTTCCACCCAGCATTTCTCGACCCACGAACACGATTTCAGGCCGGAACATGACGGCGTCCGACCCTCAGGTCCCGCCTGGAGACGCGGCTCCCCAGGTGTACGAGGAGCGCATCTGGATCGATGGCTGCTTTGACTTCTTTCACCACGGTACCCTTTCCGCCCGTGAAACCTATCCAAGAAGTAATGTGTTTTCTGACAATACACTCCAAGGACATGCTGGAGCCATTGTGCAAGCCCGCCAACTCGGCAGTGAACTGTACATAGGTGTCCACTCGGATGAGGCTATTCTCGAGAACAAGGGCCCTACGGTCATGACTTTGCAAGAACGGTTCGTTTGATCTCTCCTCGGCAGACCGTTGAGCGCTTGTAGGTAATCTGCTGACCCGTATAGCCTATCTGCTGTCGACGCTTGTCGCTGGGTGACGCAATCCATCGGGCGAGCCCCCTACGTCACGCAGCTGGACTGGATCACACATTATGGGTGCCAGTATGTCGTCCATGGCGACGACATCACTTCTGACGGTGACGGCGAGGACTGCTACCGCTTCGTCAAGGCTGCTGGTCGATTCAAGGTCGTGAAGCGCACTCCCAGCATATCCACGACGGATCTCGTCGGCCGAATGCTTCTCTGCACCCGCACGCACTTCATCAAGTCGCTCGAGAAGCGACTGCGTGGCCAGGCGGGTCATGGCACACTGGATGAGATCAGGGCCGAAGGCGAGGCAATGACGGAGCGGATGAAGCTGTACGCAACGGATGAGACTGGCAAGGCCCCCGGCGTGGCTGTTTGGTTCTGGTCCGCCTCGGCCGAAGCCAGGGTCGAGGCCACCACGGAGGAAAAGGGGACATTTACGCAATTCCTCGGAGGGACAGGTCCCCGTCTCGGGCAGCGCATTGTCTACGTCGACGGTGGTTTTGACTTGTTCTCTAGTGGACACATTGAATTCCTGCGTCTCGTGTGGAAGGCTGAGGAAGATCTCGCCCGCGCAGACGGCTGGTATTCGGAGCAGGCCACGAATGAGCGTATCGGCAAAGGGGGCGACTACCCACCCGTCTATGTTGTTGCCGGAATACACGACGACGAGGTCATCAACCACTGGAAAGGCATCAACTACCCAATCATGAACCTCTACGAGCGTGGATTGTGCGTCTTGCAGTGTCGAGTAAGCCGCATTCTCCTTCCGATGGAAAATAATCTGCTGACTAGCGTCCCTAGTACGTCAACGCCGTAGTCTTTGGGGCGCCGTTCACGCCCACCAAGACATATCTGACCTCGCTGCCATGGGGCACGCCAGATGCCCTGTACCACGGCCCAACTGCGTTCATGCCCCTGACATATGACCCGTACACGGCAGCAAGAGAAGTGGGCATCATGAAAGAAATTGGCGCGCACGAATTCTCTGAAGTCAACGCCGGCACTATCGTACAACGCATCATGAAGAGTAGAGATCTATATGAGGCCCGGCAGCGCAAGAAGGGTGTGAAGGCTGAAATGGAAGCAGCAGCTCGAGAACGTGAGATGCTAGAGGAAGAACAGCAGGAGAAGGAGGCTCAGCGCGCTGACGCATGAGCCCATGAAAACTGAGCCTGGGTGGCCAGGCGATGTTGCAGATGAGCACGCACAATTCAACCACGGCAGATGCCAACAGCAGGTTGTTTCACAGCCTGCCAAAATGAACCATTTAAACATGGTTTGGGGTACGGCACGGGCGCCCCTTGGTTGAGCCCTTCAACGGGAACGGCCTTCAACAGGTTCCACACCGAGCGGGTCTGGAAAGAAGTTGTCCAGAGAGGACTGAGAACGCACCGCATAAACAACAAATCACGGGTCATGCACCCTCCTTAAACGAATAATTTGTATCAGCATGTTCAAGTTGCCATGCAAACTTGTATTCATTGCCTACCAAGCTCTGCATATTTTTTTAAGACTGAAAACGTTGAAGCGTCAAACGACGTTACGAGCTATTCACAAGTTAGATGGCTGATTGTGGCTGGCTGTTGTATGCAAGGGACACATCCATCGACCTTTCAGTCTTGCACCCTGAAGATCCCTTGAAATTTTGGGTCATATACCCTTTCATCGCAAGACAATCATCGTCTCGTGCCGGCGGGCGACATCATATGGACATAGGCTTTCTAGGGCGGGCTGTTGTTGGTATGATCCAGAAGTTGACACGTTGTATGCCGTGCTCATATTTTGCAGCATCTGTCCCCATATCACGAATGCATACTCTCTGATCATATTGTTTAGGTAAGGACTGTGTGGGATTCTATTCTTTGATATGTAAAGACTGTGCAGCGGTATTTCATGGTAATGAATGTGGTGTGTTGCGTACGAGTCAAGCTTGTAACACCATCACCTCTCACTTCTCTGGAGAGAGGGACAATGCCTTGCCATCGGCTACGCTAGCTTCTTAGTACTGAGAGGGGGAAAAGCGCCCCTGCAAATGGGGTCGATTGAGGTCCCAGACCTCGCCCAGCGCCACCGTCAACTCATGGTACAATGGGAGCAAGTCACGGCCCTCTATACGGTGGGCTCTAACCCACAGGTCGTAGAAGATCGGATCCATCAGTTTCGCGTCATTCCGACCCAGTTCAAGGGTACGTGCGGAGAGCTCAAAAGCCAACGCAGCGTGCGAAGATGATCGAAAGCCCATGTGGCGGGCCAAGACACGCATGACCGATTCAACGTAGCAGTGAAACCTAGGAATAATGACGGGATGGATTTCCTGACTCTGCCAGCCTCCTGAACGGGAGTGGACCGGGGCAGGCAGTGCCGACTTGTCGTACGTAAAAATGTACTCGTCCGGCAAAGTCAACCCACGAGGATTGGCGAACTCGCGAGGGATCCGAGGCAAGGCCCACAGGACATCGGACTGCCTAGACATCATGAGAGTGTATGGACCGCGCCCGTAATGCCTATGGGCAAGGAGAGTAGGGTTCTTATCCTGATATCCACCGTCGGGGCACCCCCCGTCGTCCTCCGGGGGGCAGGGGCGGAGAAAGGGGTGTGTTAGAAGGACCTCCTTCGCCTCCTCCGCCACGTCGTCGGGGACGACAATATGATGGCCCTATAAGAGAATATCAGCTCTGACTACATGGGAAGAAAAAACACAGAAGTCGAGACGTACAGGGATTGTGGTGGAACTGCTACGGATCCCATAGTGGTCCAGGGCAGAGCCTCCCCATGCCACGCAGGGAATACCGTGGCTGTTGAAGTGTCTGACAATATCTGACAGAGCGATGGGATTTCTCGTAAGGGTGAGCTGGTTGTAGTCCCTGAAAGAAAGTTGGGTCTCGAGGGGGGAGGGAGGGCTAGGTTGAAGCTCCATGATAATTGATGAAGATGATTGTCGGGTTCTGAAACTTGCAAGTGAAATTGAATTGTAGTGAATAGTGGACTGTAGTGACCGATCTTGGGGCTCCTCGTCGTGTTTAAATATCATCTCTCAGATATGACCATCGGGCTCACTCCTACACGTCACCAGTCACATTCGTTGGCCTGAAAGACACAGCCGATTAGTTCACCATCACTGTATTTACGGCAGAAAAAGACTGTCAAGGATTCGTTTTATTCAAAGACTTTGCCTTTTGTCACGGCCACGCTCTGTTCTCGCCGTTGAGCTCGAATGATTCGTTCTCTTTGTGTCCCTCAGCCTATTCATCTGCCGCCCATCGAATGTTACGAACACAAAGGCAACAAGCATGCGCCTCACACCAGAAGACCTGAAGCCGCCATCGGACGCGAGCGCAGTTACAAAGAAACGGCGTGGAAGCAATCTCCCCCTTCCCCATGCACGCGGAATTGCCGTTTCGTGTTTTGGAAACACCCCATCGGCAAGTAAGTTCTACATAAGGTCCAAAAACACAACTGCGAGCATCGTCGTGCAAGTTGCTCGTCACGCTGCCTAATCTCGTACCGTTCCCCTACCGCTTCCTTCCCCAAAAGTTCTTCTCAATGAGCCAGCCCATACTGACTTCTGAGGATCTCACAGAGGCAGCCGCTCGAGTCCTCTGTGTTCTGACAAAGCTAGAGTCGTATCAGGACATTCGGGTTGCCGTCATTGGTGGGCTGGCATGCACCCGCATACTTGGTGATGTGGACTATTCGACGCAGGCAAGTGAACGAACAAAGCGTGCGCAGTCGGGTCATCTTTCTACTCACAAGCTAATCAATCCCCTTTCAGGACGTTGACTTTAGTATCGACATTGACCAGGGGTCTGGCCCCGAGACGCTCAAGCGACTCCTGCTCGCCAGACACAGTGATGAATTCAAACAATGCGCGCAGTTGTTCATGTGTGTACTTTCCGATCCCGAACGACTTGTCCCTATCGACTTTGTTCCACACGTGCGTTGAGGCCACCACCCTCCCACACCAGCAGCGAGGGCTATCGCTTGATGGACGCCGATGTCTGACCTTCTTGCTAGTGCCCCTATATTCCCAGAGCTGCGGTAGCCTTGAGAGAAATCCAACAAGACACCTCGGGGGCCGTTCAGCAAGACCACGTCCCTTACACTGACACTACTGATCTCCTCGTTTTCAAAATCAACTGCTGCGGACTTCGGCCCAATCAGAGCAAGCGGAGAAAGGACAGAGCGAGCGCGAGGCTTCTTGTGGACAGAGCAGCCACGCCTGATCACCCGCTGGTGCTCAGTGATGATCAAATGGCGCTGGTCAACGAAGGGATCCATGACATGGTTGTGGGTGAATCGACGGGCGAAGCCTGGTGGAGAAATCGCTTGCGTGTGTCAAACTGAGGCTTGTGCGCATTTTGGAAGCCCCAACCAGAGAGAGAGAAAGAGCAGTGGCAGACGGGTCCTGATGTCCTGGAAAGAGAGGTGTCGTCTTGTGCTGCACTGACGATAGAATCGAAAAACACAACCCCCCCCCCCCCCCTCTGGTGGTCAGCCTCGTCCATCGCGTGTGCTTGGCATGCCAAGACACCCGTGCACCTGGATAGCTAGAGTGGGAGGCAGAGTAAGCCACCCATGCTGTGCCACCCACAAGTTTAAGGGCACCTTCTAGATGGGGGACCTGATTGCACGTGGATGGCGTGAGTTGGATCGAGACCAAGCCGTGTCAGATCGGCACTGGGCGCATCAACAGCAGCCTGCCGTATTAGGGAGTTACCTCAGGAGGTAGGTAAGTAGGTAGGTAGGTAGGTCGGTAGGTATATGAGGTAAGCAAGTACTCATGTGACGACGCTTCCCCTGGCCTCCCCAATCAGGCAGTCGGTAGAGGTAGCAAGGAGTAGCGCAGCAGGCGCAGGAACAGAGGAAAGCAACAGAAGAAAGAGGCTTCTGGAAGGCAAGGAAGGAGACATCAGGTGCAGACCCACACCAGGCCACTGTTCGACCTCCGCACCTCAACCAACGGCTGCTCTGCTGCCCGCCTAGCTGCGGCTACCTACGGTGAGGGGTTGGTTCCGCGTCGGGGAAAAGATGAGGATGATACATGGCAGTTCCCCGGTGTTTGTTTTTTTCGTCGTTCTCAACCTGCGTGCGCACGCGCTTGTTGGCCGCTTGGTAGGGTCATGCGACACACACACGACCCGTCCGATTGGGTGCTGAGGGAACCGAGGGGTTTCGAACGCCGTCGAGTGTTGGCTGCGATCTGTCCTTCAGCAAATGTCCATCAGCAGGTGAGCACAACGGGCGGTGTGCAGCGGAAGCGGCGGTGGCAGAACAGAGGAAAGGGGCAAGAGACAAGGTCCCATGTGGACTAGGGAGCGTTCTCAATGCCGTGCTACCGAGGCGGCGGCCCCCATCTAGATCCATTGTACGCATCGACGTGAGCGGACAAGACCGAGAGGCAAGGCTTTTGGACGGCAGTGGGGAACATCCGGTTGTACCTTCTCAAATGTAGGCCGGTGAATGCCACCACTCTGCTCTGCCTACCTAGGTACCTAGGTACCTGAGGCATGTAGGCTGGTAAGGAGGTTCTGCAATCTTTTTTTTTTCTTTTTTCTTTTTTCTTTCATCGCCTTCGCCTTCGCCATCGCCATCGCCGTCGCCGTCATCCACCCATTCATCCATCCCTCCACCGGGTTCCGGATACCCCTCCGCCCCGCCCCCTCCACGAGATGTCAATGTGGATCTCGGACTGCAAAAACTCGCAGGGCTCTCTCGGCGCCCTAATGTCAGAGACTGTTATCAGCCGCGCCCTGCCGTCGACGCCAAGCGACCCACTCTCGTCTGGACGTGTACCTGTACCTGTACCTGTACCCATACCATTATCTTCCATGCCAACGAACACCGGTAGCAGTAAGCATTGGCGCTCGAGTCACGGTCACCTGTCTCTTCCCTGCTCAGACGTCAGCATGGGCATGGGCATGGGTATGAACGCTGGCTGCTGGCTGCTGGCTGATGGCTCCTGGCTGATGGCGAGGGGGAGAACATGACCATGGATGATGGTGAGGACGGGATGGGGCCGGCGTGACCAGGGGGTCCCGTCGAACAAGTGACGGAACTGACCTTCGACCGCAGCCAGCCGGCATTGGGCCGTAGTAGTGACTTGGTCGGATCAGTCACTCACACAATCCACACGGGGTACAATAAACACCTTCCTTCCTCGTACAAGACTCTTTGTTTCCTCTCCTCCCTCCAATCTTGACTTGACCTACGAAAATTTCCACCTCCAGTGTCCCTCCAACATCTCCCGTTGACTCTGGTCTCCCTCGATTCGACACCGCAACACGCCGTCTTCCCTCCACAAGCCAAAGCACCTCGAATACATCGAATAAATCGCCATGGCCCCCGCCGCCGTCTCCCCCGGCGTCCAGGACGTCGATCTGACCTCCTCCGCCATTGAGCGCAAGCTTGACGCCCTGCCCGTCAAGAATGGCAGCGCCGTCGGCGTCAGCGCCGACGCCAATGGCAAGAAGGTCTCCCAGCCCGCCGAGCTCGACGCCTCCAAGCTCGTCTTCACCCGCAACACCAACCCCCGCGCCGTGCCCTCGGAGGCTGTCGCCAACTCGGGCACCGAGACCATCTGCACCGACCACATGATCACCGCTACCTGGAATGCCACCACCGGCTGGGCCGCCCCCGAGCTCAAGGCTTACGGCCCCCTCTCACTCATGCCCACCGCCTCCGTCCTCCACTACGCCACCGAGTGCTTCGAGGGTCTCAAGTGCTACCGCGGCGAGGATGGCCGCCTTCGCCTGTTCCGCCCGAGCCTCAACGCCGCCCGTATGCTCATGTCGACCCTGCGCATCTCTCTCCCCGCTTTCCCGCCCGCCGAGCTCGAGAAGCTGCTGCACGCTCTGCTCGCCGTCGACGGCCCCAAGTGGCTGCCCCGCGACCGCCCGGGCTCCTACCTCTACATCCGTCCCACCATGATCGGCACCCAGTCCCAGCTCGGCGTCCAGGCCCCCTCCGAGGCCATGCTCTACATCATCGTCTCCTTCATGCCCCGCATGGACTCGCCCCCCGGCGGCATGCGCCTGCACACGTCCCCCGAGGACCAGGTCCGCGCCTGGGTCGGCGGCTTCGGCTACGCCAAGGTCGGCGCCAACTACGGCCCCTCCCTGGCCGCCACCGTCGAGGCGCGCAAGCGCGGCTTCGGCCAGATCCTCTGGCTCTACGGCGAGGACCAGCTCTGCACCGAGGCCGGTGCCAGCAACTTCTTCGTCGCCTGGAAGAGCAAGCAGGACCCCTCCAAGATTGAGCTCGTCACGGCGCCCCTGGACGACAGGCTCATCCTCGACGGCGTCAACCGCCGCAGCGTCGTCGCCCTGGCCCGCGAGCGCCTCGCCGGTCAGGTCGACGTTGTCGAGCGCAAGTACTCCATCGACGAGGTCATCGAGGCCGACGCCGAGGGTCGCCTTCTCGAGTCCTTTGCCACCGGCACCGCCGTGAGTTTTCCCCCCCCTTACCTGTCCCAACCTGGTTTCGATCCGTCGAACCCGTATGCTGACATGCGACGCCCATAGTACTTTGTCTGCCCCATCTCCCTCATCCACCACCGCGGCAAGGACATCAACATCGGCATGGGCTCCGGCGAGGGCGGCGAGCTCACCCTCAAGCTCAAGGGCTACATGCGCGACATCATGTACGGAGGCGAGGAGCACGAGTGGGCCGTCACCGTCCAGGAGGAGCAGTAAAGGGAGAGCGGTCAGAAACAAGCGAAAAGCGAAGAAAGGCAAGAAAAAAGGTTCGCGCGACATATGTGCGAAGCAATCTTTTCTTTTTCGCCCCTGCCCGCCGGAGCAATGGCGACGCGCAGCGGAAGCCATAATGGGGCAAGATATCCCGGAGCAGGCTTGGAAAAAAGAAAAGGGGAGGAACAGCTGCAATTCATGCGAGATAGGAGGAGGAGGTTCATTGGCCCGGCGTTGGTTGGTTGTTTGGCTGATTGATTGGTAGGCAACATGTGCTGATTTCGCACATGAAAAGTGGCGTTGGCATCGGCATCAGGGTTGCATGGCATGAGTTGCACGTGAGCCGGCATATACATACACAGATGAGTTGGTTGGAGTCGATTGGTTCAACCACGAGCCGTCTACCTGCCTAGATGCCTAGACAATCAAAAGATGATTTATACATTTCGCGTTGTGAGACGAGACCTAGCTTCGCTCCTGTCATGAGTACCAAGAACTCCAGTAACGGGCGCCCATCGCATCCGCCGCTTCAGGCTTCCTTACGTGTATGAAGCAATCACTCCTAACCCCCAAAAACAAATGGCTGCGTAGTGCCTCATCTTCTGGGCTTGCCTTTTCCTCAGCGAAACTGTCTGAGCTCAAGCTCGAAACTTGCAGCGCTCCGCCGAATCGCATCGTTACGCTCCCTCTCCAGTGACTTTGGAGTGAAAACCGTCAGTGTCCCAGAACGAACAGTGATTATGAGGCCACGCACCTTTTCAAGCTGGGTCATTTTGTCAGCAGCTCTCTTGGCAAGTCTCTGCATCTCCTTCTCCCACTTCTTCACCTCGCAGTCCAGTCTCCCATGAAGGTCTGGCCTGGCTTTCAGATCCTGGATCAACGAAGCAGCTGCCCTCTCCTCGGCGGCCTTGCACTCGTCCCACCGCTCCCACTCTTCAGCGAGACGCTTCTCTGTCTCGACGAGGTGTTCCTGCAGTTCGGCCACGACATCTCCGACAAAGATCTTCTCGCCGGGAGCGTCGCCTTCTTGTTCTTGGTCGTAGACGTAGCTCTCGGACAGGGGCTGGCCAAAGTCGACCGTCAGGGCCTCATAACGATCGAGGAAGTCTCCTTGCTTTGCGGAGAGGACGGACACGCGCTCGGCGAGGGCAGCATGGCTGTCGTCAACAGCGGCGGACACGTCAGCTTGTAGGGCTGCACTCAGCTCGCCGTAGCGGTCTGTCCAACGCGGCGATGATTAGCAAAGCCCTGCATTCTCGCTTCCTTTCCTCTTTTCTGATCTTCTTAGATCTGGCAAACGTTTCTCTGGAAGACTTATGAGATGGATACAAAAGTTTGGCTTACCCTTGAGCTCATCAATGCTCTTTGCATTGGAGGCTGGGGGTTGGCGGGGTACTTCGACGGCTGATGGGCGCGCTGCTGCCTCTCGAAGCGGCTGTGTCGCCTTGTGGTAGTTGTGCCCAATATCATTCACTATGTCGCCAGACTTGTTGCCGCGAGTGGGTCGCTTCTCACCACGCGAAGAATATACCGTGCCAGAATGTTGGGGCTTGAGGAGAAGCTGCAGTAGTGGGCTGGCCTCACATTTGGCATGGTTCATGTCCGTCGGAGCGCGGGATACCTCCTCCCGCGGGTCTTTCAGATGAACTTTTCGATCACTTAACCTGCCGTGTTCTAATGCACTACGGAACGGCCGATGAGGCTGAAATCCTGTTCGGTCATGGTCTGCAACGGCTGCATTGTAAGGGGTAAATGGGTGGGTTTTCCTGTCGCGACCTAGTCTCCTGACTTCGGGGCCAAGGGCTAGACTTCGGCTTTGGTTGTGGTCATCATAGACAAACAGACGAGACCGAAAAGACGTGAGAGGGGTTCCCGTGCCACGTTTGTTGGACCTTTCGGTATCGCGTGGTGTAGGTATTGCAGAGCCGTGGTGCGGCTCCCGGTATGATTTGGAGGATCGGACAGGGGATCGCGGAAATCGTTGCATGGTGGGAAGACCTCTGAAAGACCTATGGCAGAGTTATCGCTTGTGTGACGCCTCGTGCTTCACGGGGATGTGATCCAGCTTAGCAGGCTCTTGTAAGGAGCTATACATGAGCTTTGCGTCAGGATGCCTGTGTACGTATGGTAAGGTAAGGCAAGGTACCTCAGGAAAGGTATGATAGACCAGGGATTCGGAGAGTAAGATGTGTTTTTAATGGGAAAAAAAGATGCCAACAGCTTCTGGCCCGTACAGATAATCGTATTGCGCTTTGGAGAAGGAATGACCCAGTGTGTGCCGGTGAAAGTTGCTCGTGTGGAAAGAACGACGACGACAGCTGCCCAGCCACAAGCCAGCGTCAGTGTTACTCATTGGTGGCCAGGTACAGCACAGGTCAGCCCCGAAATTGGTCTACATGTGAGCGTCTCAGGTCCAACGCGCACTTGAACAGATCAAGCTCGTGCTTGAAAATGTATTCTGATATACATAATGCCCCCTCATGTGGCTTGGGGCAGATATGGATTCGGAGCCTCTGCTGATCTCCTGCAGGTGATTTCCTTGGCACATCATCCAGAATCACGGCAATGGGCGATCAAAGACCGCGTCCAATAAACTTTGGCAGGGGTATGCTAGAGGGCGAGGAAGCTTCTTTATGGTTAAGGTATGTTTGCCATTCTGCGATCGTGGGTAGCATCGCCATTGCAAAGAGGCGGGGCGGTTACCCAATGTGAGTTTTGTAGTGGAAAAGATGACCTCATACAGCAATGAAACACAACACCAGCTTGCGGGAGGCATCCAACGACCAGAAAAGGCATCCAATAACCAGGAAACAAGACGATGCCCAAAACCACACTGCGATTCGCTACAAATGCCACCGCCCAAGTTGGTTCCCGGTTTTTGGCTGCAATTGATGTTACTGTCGTGCAACCGCCTGCACGTCTGACTGGGCGCTGGCTGGATCGGCAGGCGACTTGGTGGTGCCAGATCCTGGTCTGACCACATCGTTCTACGTCCAGGGGTCCTGGACCCTCACATAGCTTGGGGTCAGTGGCCTGTCCCTGCTGCGCCTCCAGTCTACATCATCACTTGTTCCAGGGCGTTCCAGGACCTCTTTTTCGGCTCGTCGACTTGGAAATAACTTACCTATTTACCCTTCCTCTTCAATTGTACCAGACGCTGGCCATCGATCTCACTGCGGACATTATGGCTACAGCGGAGCCCACCCCCACCACGGCAGGCGGCGCGACGCCGTCGACGGTGGACCAGAACAGAGCGACGACCACACCTATCGAAGGACTACCAGCCGTTGCCCAAGACACCACCTCCCAAGCTACGACGGCTAGCCTTCCTCTGTACCAGGCGCCTCTGCCTGCAAATGCCATATCGCAGGGTCTATCGCAGGCAGATAAGACTCTCGGAGTGTCCACTGCGCATCATCAACACCTCGACCCATCTATTCAGCCAACTCAAGCAGAAGGCTCCAAATCGCCAACCACACCGACGACCCAAGCAGCAGATAGCTCGACGAGAGCGACATCTGTTGAAGTCGATACCTCCAAGCCCAAGGACTTTGAAGGCGAAATTGAGACCAATAACGAGATCCCCTCGACTGAGCTGATCAGAAAAGTCGAAAACTACGTGCTTCTCGATCGCCATGGCAAAACGCACACCTTCAAGAGTTTGCACAGTGGTCGGAATGTGGCACGCCGCATGCTGTTCATTTTCGTCCGACATTTCTTCTGTGGCGTAAGTCTCGCCGATGGCACCCTTCAATCACGCAGACCACTGACGAGCTCTAGAATTGCCAGGAGTTTCTTCGCGCTGTCTCCGAGTCCATCACCACCGAGTCGCTTCTCCGATTGCCTGTCAGTACCTTCATCACTGTCATTGGCTGTGGTGACCCAGGTCTGATTCAGATGTACGCGGAAACAACAAATTGTCCATTCCCAATCTACACCGACCCGACCCGCAGTCTTTATAAGAAGTTTGCAATGACGCGAACTTGGGACCTGGGATCGAAGCCCGCTTACATGAAGAAGAGCATTCTGAAGTCTGCAGGCTCCTCCATTGTCCAAGGCCTAAAGCAGGTGACCACAGGCCTGGCGACCAAGAGCGGCGACTTCCAGCAGGTTGGTGGCGAGTTTCTCTTCGAACCCATGGATCTCATGACACCAGTCACGACACCGCAAGCCGAAGAGGTTGATCGGACACTTGGCGATACCATCACCGCACATGACACGCAGAGGCCGTCCGGCTCAGTCCATGATGACGGTGGCGACGTTCAGTACAGTACCGAGGAGAAGCGCATCACTTGGTGCCACCGAATGCGCTCGACGCGCGACCATGCCGAGGTCCCCGAGCTCATGGAGGTTTTGGGTCTGACAGGCAATGGGAAGCCTATTGATGATTCGCGGCGCTGGACCAAAGCGTTGCAAGAGCGCAAAGGTACAGGTCTCAGCTTGGCCAGTCAGATGAGCCAGCTGAGTGGGCGTTAGAGTTCTCATGCCTGTGATGTTTCTCGGAACACCTCTCGGCCTCGGGGAGAGGTTTCTACATCTGAAGCAGCAGCTATTGTGCTGCAGAGATTCGACCAGCATGCTCGAACTTGTCGTCGGACTCGATTGGCCCGCTATTTCGAGACGTAACCCGTTTTTTATCCCAGTCTGTAGTTGAGAAGGCTAGCTTGAATGAGCTGCAATATGATACCAAGTTGATTTCTACTTCCGTCGGTGTCGGACAGGAAAGCAGTTTCTCGCAGATCCTCCCTGTGGACACAATTTCCATCAAGATCAGGATGCGCGCACCTTGACCCAGATAGTACGTGGTGCAGTATACATCACTAGGCTGTCTCCGTATAGATTTCCAGAGATCAGGAACATGCCTCCAAGGTCGCACATTGCTCCGGTCCTGATAATGAACGTTTCAGATCCCAACAGACTAGACTCCTGAGACATGTCTAGCCTTTGAAATGGCTTGCCCATCTGGCAGAAAAGCAAAGCCGCAGATCGAGGAAAAGTATGGGCATGGGAAATTGAGGAAAAGCGTAATTGCACATCATCGACTGATAGGTACAACTATGCATATCTGGGAAGAAATATCAGCATGCGATGAGCAAGAGTTCTGACCGAGCCTGATTGAGTGGAGCAAAATGCAACAACCCGAATGGCAGCCTGACGGCGAATGACGTGACGGATATTCATGTAACCAGCATGAGCTCGCTCGTATTGCATCTAGGAGGTCTGCCCCGCGCGCCTTGGATAACCGCAGGTGGGGGACAAATTCTCCTCCCACATTCAACCACACCCCAACTTACACGCTACTGATACGACACAAAGCCAACATGGCTGCCCAAGCTCCCACCGAAGCTCTCAAGGAGCTCCAAGGTTCGTGCAACCACAAATGGGCCCCCGCTGTCGTGGAGGAGCCGCAGCTGATCCCCTTCCAGTGGGCGAGGCCGCCACCACAAACGGCAAGGAAGCGCCGGACGGCAATGCGGTAGACAACGACAGCGACGACTCGGAGGACGAGGGCGCTGCGGCCCCCGATGCCGCCGGCGGTGAGGGTGCCGCTAAGAAGAAGAAAAAGAAGAAGAAGAACAAGAAGAAGAAGAAGGCGCCGACCGCCCAGTCCGACCCACCCCGTGTCCTCATGTCGCAGCTCTTCCCGCAGAAGAACTACCCCGTCGGCGAGGAGTGCGAGTACCTAAACGAGAACGCCTACCGGACGACGGACGAGGAGAAGCGCCACCTGGACAACCTCAACTCTGACTTCCTGACCGACTACCGCGAGGCGGCTGAGATCCATCGCCAGGTCCGCCAGTGGGCCCAGAAGAACATTAAGCCCGGTCAGGGACTGACCGAGATCGCCGAGGGCATCGAGGACGGCGTGCGCGCGCTCACGGGCCACTGGGGTCTCGAAGAGGGCGACGCGCTGAAGGGCGGCATGGGCTTCCCGACCGGTCTGAGCATCAACCACTGCGCCGCACACTACACACCGAACCTCGGCAACAAGATGGTCCTGCAGCAGGAGGACGTCATGAAGGTCGACTTTGGCGTGCACGTCAACGGACGCATCGTCGACAGCGCCTTCACGCTGGCGTTCGAGCCCAAGTACGACAACCTGCTCACAGCCGTCCGTGAGGCGACAAACGCCGGTGTCAAGGAGGCGGGCATCGACGTGCGGGTGGGTGACATTGGAGGCGTCATCCAGGAGGTCATGGAGAGCTACGAAGTTGAGATTGACGGCACAACGTACCCCGTCAAGTCGATCCGCAACCTCAACGGCCACACGATTGAGCGGTGGAGCATTCACGGCGCCAAGAGCGTGCCCATTGTAAAGAGCAACGACACGACCAAGATGGAGGAAGGCGACGTGTTCGCCGTGGAGACATTCGGCAGCACTGGCAACGGCTACGTCCGGGACGACATGGAGGTCTCGCATTATGCCAAGCGCGGCGACTCCAATGTGCCGCTGCGCCTGGATTCGGCCAAGAGGCTGCTGAACGTGATCAACAAGAACTTTGGCACGCTACCGTTCTGCCGGCGATATCTGGATCGTCTGGGGCAGGAAAAGTATCTTCTAGGTGTACGTGGTCCCGATTTGTGCGGGAGTATGGCCCGACATCGCAGCTGACGAGGCATTTTAGTTGAACAACCTGGTGAGCGCCGGAATTGTCGAGGCATACCCGCCACTGGTGGACAAGAAGGGCTCCTACACGGCGCAATTCGAACACGTAAGTTGGGGATCCCCCTCCAAGCTCTGTCTCGAGGATGCCAGAAACATGCAGTGCGTGCTGACTTGGTTTCCAGACGATCCTGATTCGGCCTACGGTGAAGGAGGTGATCAGCAGAGGAGAGGACTACTAGGCTGGACAGATAACACGACAGTCGATTTCTTGATGACGAAGCCGCAACTGACTGTTGTGGTGGAAGAACTGATGATGATTGCGGCATCAAGCAATTTGGCCATTGTGATTGTTCCCAATGCGCGGGGTTGTGACGTAAGTGGTGGCCTTTTGATGCTGTTGGTTGGATGCGTGAAGCTGTGATGATCCGGAGCGACTGGTCCAGAAGAATGACCCTGTGGCTTCCAGAAGCATGGGCCAATCGTTGGATTCGGACGAGGACCCTGGATTTGCAGCTGCACATCATTGCCATTAGGTGGCGGATGCTGATAGCTGGCGATGTGTGATGTAATGGAGAATGTACAGTGGAAAAGATTGCCGTGGGTATGCGGAGGCGGCCAAGCAGGTATTGCCGCGGCTAACCAGTCAGCGGCCGACGATGGCAGAGGACCCTGGACCTGGATCTGGCATCCGGTTCAGCTTGGCCGAGTTCGTTCCATGATCAACGGCGTGGGCGACATGGACCCATCTTTTCCGCGGTCCGGCCGCAACCAAGGGGGCGCTCAAAGGATGGCTCTCGAACCGATCAGCAGGCGCCAGGCGCTGTAAAATCGGAGTTGGCGCGGGGGAAGGGGCGAAAGTTCGGACGTCGGGAGCGACGCAGGAAGGGGAAGTAAGGGAAGGAAGTCGCCGGTGCACCAAAGTGGGCCAATCACATGCTGTGGTCCAGCAACCATCTCTTCCGGTCCTTTCCCACCCCTGAAGACGCTAGTCCCAAAGGGTGCTAGACGACCAAGTGCCCGGCCAAGCGCCACTCACAAGCCAGAGAATGCCTCTCCTTCTCCGGAATCCCAGAAAATTTTGGCCCGCTCCCTAAAAAACCCGCACACGACCTCCTCCACTCTTTTCCGTCAAAAGGGAATCAGTCCCCCTTCGATCCATCTACAGATCAGAATCGAACACCGTCGATTATTATCAAAGAAGTTTGAGTCACCTAAGCTCTACCTACAACACCAACTACACGAAAACCAATACTACAACACACGCGACAACTCGATTACTTCTCCAGCTCGACTGTCGCCTTCCTTTCCTGCTACAAACACCAACACGCGAGCGAGCTCTCGTCTCGGAGTCATCGCCACCATGAAAGTCTTCTCCAACTCAGTCACATTCAACTACTCCTGGGAGGAAGTTTCCACAGCCAACTGGAACAAGTACTGCCCGTGGAACGACAAGTCAACCCATGTCATCGCTGTCGATACCCTCGCCCGCCGCGTCGATCCGGAGTCAGGCATTCTTCGCACCGAGCGTCTCATCACCTGCAAGCAGACCGCCCCCGAGTGGCTCAAGTCGCTGATGGGCAACACCATGGATGTTTCTTACATGTACGAGACGTCTTACGTGGATCCCGCTCGCAAGACTGTCACCATGGTCTCACAGAACCTGACATGGTCCAACCTCGTTTCCGTTCAAGAGACCGTCGTCTACAAGCCCCTGAGTCCTACGCAGACTCAGTTTGTTCAGGATGCCAAGGTTACCGCCCTCTGTGGCGGCTGGCAGCGCATCAAGAACAGCATCGAGGACTCGCTTGTTAGTCGTTTCAACGAGAACGCGTCCAAGGGCCGCGAGGGCTTCGAGGCCGTTCTCGAGATGAGCCGCCGCGTCTTTGCCGAGGAGCGCGAACGCGAGCGTATGATGAGCACTCAGAGGGCGACTGCGTAAGCCACTCGTACAACACCACGTACGCACGACAAACGCGCACCGCACAGACACGATTCGACCGAGCAACTTTTCGCCATGACTTGTGAGCGTTCAAAAGCATCACCGGCTAATATGCTGGTACCTAAAATGGGAAGGGTTTAGACAAAGGGACACAAAACAACTGGCGTTGGCAGGGCATGAATTTTCAACGGTTCCGGGAAGCGTTTCCGTTTTTGTATAATTGGCGTCGAGAATACCCCATACACTGCATAGAGCCGCGGCGCGTTCACCACGCGTTAGCACAGTAGAGGAAGCATAGAGCTTCTGAGAATAATAGACTCTCCAATCTACACACACACCACCCTTCGTGCCGCTTGTTCAGTGACTCATCTGACGCATGGTTGTTCTACGGCTGTCCGCGATGCTTGCAGGCTAATAATCGCTTTGGCGAATGGACACGTGCTATAGTGCCCTGCTCATGCGCCCATTGACACTCAGGGAAAGGCGAAGCCGACAGTAACACTGAAGGGACCAAACCCAAACAGGCCATTTCACTGTGCTTGCATGCATCGTAAGGTTTTCATTTCGCTTCATTATCCCCCGTTTTAGCCAAACATTTCTTCTCGTACAACGTCAACACCTCCCTGTGCTCATCATCCAACAGACCGCCGCTGGTCTCAAGCACCCTCCTCGCAAATCGTGCACCCTCCTCATACCTCCGGAAGAAATACAGCTCCTCCACAGCGTGCAGCAGCTCCTGCGCCACCGGCTTGTTGGCGCTCTCCTCCAGCGGCAGCGAGATGCCCATCCAAATCTGCAGTAGCCGGTCAGCCTCCTCAATCACTGCACAGGGGCACGCATGACACGAGAGAGGACTGGCTGACCTCGCCGTTTTCAATTTTGGCCTTGTAAGAGGCCTTGATGGCCCGGAACTCCTCTTCCGTCTGCCCGGCGCGCTGCTTCTTCTCCTCGGCCTTGGCCTCGTCCTCGCTGTCGGATATGGCGATGCTGAAGAGGCCTCCGGCGTCGTCGGTGTCTGCCATGGTGGGCGTGATGTGATGGAGGGGCATGAGACTAGGGTAGGTAAGTGTGAGAGTTTGGCGGGGGGTTGATGACTTTTGCATTCTGGAGTAGGCCGATTGTGGTGGGGTTGCCCCACTGCGAGCTGGGCCTCTCGGCCCCGGGCCGCCATGCGTAGTCTCCCGTCTTGTCGTCTTTCATATGCCCGTCCTTTATTGCTGCGTGTTTGAGTCTCGGTGTAGAGCGAAGAGACTTTTCTACGTTACTGCTGAGCATTTGACAGCCGCCATTGGGCATGATAGAGGTGGTCGGCAAATGGTAGCCGACCTACTGCCCCAGACGTACTGTCCTGGCTTCGACGCCCGCAGTATGTTAAATTAACGAACTCTCAACTACTTGTGATCAATCATATCCTAGTACCTGAGATGGCCAATTTGTTGCTTGTTTATTCAATATGGTTTGCTCTGTGACATAATGGATTAAGCATCATCAATGTCGCACTCGAGACAGGTCGGCCAAGAGCCTGTGAACGCACGTAGGGCCAGCCAGTAAAGAAAAACGTGGGACAAGCGAGTATAGTCGGCCGTCATTTGTCTTGATATATTATGTGTTGAGATGTTCAGAAAATATTCATCTTCGTCTCGAAAAACGACACAGTCGTGGGTTTGTTACGGCCTGTACCTATTTTCCCTCTCCGCGCGGCAACAACATTTTCTGCCCATGGCGTTCATCGACATACAGGCCTCGTCGACGGCTTAGAGACCGCGTTGGAAGGGTTAGTACGGCCGCATCCATTGAGAGTTCCGAAAGCAGTATCGTCCACGGCCGCGTTGTAAGCGGCACCGCAGTTGGGGTCACTGGCCATAACAATCAGTCATCATTCTCGACGATCCAGGCTCATATCTCGACTCACCTCGCGCCGCCGCTGGCGTTGTTAAAGTATGAGCAAATGTCATGGGAGAAGCAGTCCTGCGTGTACGCATTCCCGACTGAAGATCCGGTGCAACCGGCACCGCAACGACCGTTGCAGGAGTAACTATTGAAGCGCGTTAGCCAGGCTGCTCCACTGATATCCTAGTTGCAAGCAGTAGTCTTACTCTCCTGCGCCGGCGCCGTTGGCTCCGTAGTTGCTTCCAACAACGCCAGTGAATGTGCAGCTCTGGCCTGCGGCGTTGGTCCACCGAGCAGTGGCAGTTGCTCCGACTGAGAGGCAGCTGACGGCCCTCTTGTCAAGGCCCTGGGCCTGGGGAGCTGCCAGAACAGGCATCAAGCAGATGGCCAGCAGAGTGAAATATTGAGACAGCATTGTCAAGGGTTGATTGTCGAGCGCTGTGGGAGAGTGTAAAATGATGGGCTAAGATGGGTGGCAAATTTAGACCGAATACTGCCATGTTAAGAGCTCGGCTTGCGATGTCTTGTTATATGGCCAAGGAATCGAGGCTTGTGAACTCTCAATATCAGGAGTCTTTTGGACATCTGCAATCTGTCGGAGTCTTTTTCGGAAGCTTTGACGGCAGATCACATCAATTGGGACTGCATCCCGATTCATTGAAGCCATCCTTTCAGCATTTGTAACAAGCACGCGACGATTCGTGCATCTGTCGTCATCGGCAGATGCCTTGACTGGGCAAGGAGGCGGAGAATCTCTCGGAAGTGCAACCACCCCCAGACGAACACCCTGTAGATCATCCATAATCTGGTTACTTGCCGTTCAGTGCCGATAAAGAGACAGTCTATAGATTGCGGGGAAGCGGTAGCTGAGAAAGTGGCATCCGTAGCAAGCGGAAATTTGGCTAGAAGAGGGTACATGGCCGAGAGTGAAGTCTGGCGAATCAATCACATTGGCAGTATGGTTTGTTAACAATTCTTGAACTAGCACGTTTAGCCAAGTGCAGAGACACGGGGTTTTCTTTACAGCCTTTTCAACTGTTCAATTATAGTTTCCCAAATACTTCTAGGAGCCCTAACCGGCGGTCGAGGCACCCGCAAGACGGCGATGATGAGCTGCTATAGAAGACTTGGGCTGATTGAACACAAAAAGAAATACGGACCAATCATCACAGGACCAAGGAGATAAACAGCTGGGCCATACTAGGGAGGGCAGTTCATCAAGTCGTTGTCTCCAATCAAGCTCTCGCAAAGAAGGCTTATGTTTTCGCAACAGGCAGTGCTTCCTTAGCGAATCCCTCGGCTGTGTTTTCAGGGTCCTGTTTGGCTCTTAATCCATCAAGGAGCCATGATTGAATCAAATTGCCTTTGCGGGGAGTTTGTAAATGGCGATCGGTTTAGACAAGAAACAGTTGTGATTTTATTTTCATTCACCAGGCCAATCCCCGTAATGAAATAGGCCATAGACTTCATCCCCGCTATCCTCGGGAAAATCCCCAGGACCAGCTGACAGGAGATCCGGAAATACAGTAACAACAGTCTGGTGGCGGGTGGAACTTTGTGGACCATGTCGCTGTAGGATCTGAATTTGTGAGTCTCCGTTCGTCCGGTGCAAATATGTCTTGGAAGCGGGTAATAGCTGAGGCACATGCACATAGTTGGCCAAGATCTCCAAGAAAATAGTTGCCAAGGGCTCAGCCTACTTTCTGAAGGTCCGTTCGCTCTCAACCTAAGCATTTCTGCCGCACCTAATTAGTCTTGAGGTAACCCTGGGGGACAACCGGTCTAGCCTTGTCTTGCTATTGGTCCGCATGCATACTGCTCATGCGGATATGCTGGTGCAGACTCAATACTAAGACTTGAACCATATGTGGGGTCGTCTTGGCCTCGTAGGTTGTCCTATCACCATCATGTCCCAGCATATGCAGACCTGGCGACTCCAATGCATGCCAACATTCAAGGATCGTGCGCTTTAGGCGGTTAGACTTCACTACTCGACTCGCGGCCTGGAGCTTCGGAATGTAGAATCAGCTTTTTTCTTGTAGTTCCTGGAGGCTTCTGGGCTATAAATACACCAAGATTCCCGCCATGTTTACTCTAGTCTTGCAAGATCGCAAATCAACACGAGCATTTGGTACGAGGGCGACTGCTATTCCTCAACTATGCTGTTCAATACTTTGTTTTTCTTTGCTAGTTTCGCAGCCGCTTCCAACAGCAATGCCCCCGTCGCTGTTGATGAAGATGGCAAAGTCACCGGCGTGACGGAAGCTGTCATCGCCCACAATGGAGCAAAGTCTGTCGTCCTCGCCATCTGGGAGAAGGACTTGACCACAGGTCGGACCTCTACTGGTCTTTGGGATGCCGAATTCGCCAATCTTCTACAATACGACTGTAGCGACCGTGTCTCGGCCGTTGCCTTTGGCATAGAGGTTGAGTTCAACGCCAACGACAAGGGTGCCGGCAGTGTCTCCATCAATGGCATCGAACACCCCATCGCCGCTGGCGTTGATGCCGCGGCAGGCATCAGCTGTTCAAGGATCTACAGTCATCAGCAGGCATCTGCGGAGTGCTACATCCCACTTGAGCAAATCATTCAGACTCGCGACCTGCCAGGTCTTGAGGGCAATAGCACGGTCGAGTGCTACCCCGACGGTATTGGTCTCGACCCCTCGCTACTCATCGGTGTTTCCTGGGATACCGAGGAGGGACTTGCGGCCGACCTCATCTCCAATGTCTTTGACGCCGATGTTGAAGAGAGCAACCAAAAAGTAAGGCAGGGGCCGTCAATTGAGCGTCGCCAGCTGGATAGGGCCCGACCACACCCGAATCCGGTGCCTTACAGGTACCGTCGACACCGTACTATTGTTAGTGATACCCCCGAGCCAGTTTCCTGGAAACTACGCTGACCACTGTTCATATCGGTAGGCACAAATTGATTGTACACATGGCCGCGTCTGCAGCACTGGTGAAGAGACTTCTTATTCAGTGACTCATACTGCCACCTTCAACTTTGCAGGGCTCGGCAGGCTAGAGTGGATCTCTGGTGGCTACTCCGTGTCCTATACATGGGGACAATCCAAGATCTACAATTGCGAGGGTGAACGTGGGGATATTATCTGTCTGAAGCATCGGCGGTATTTCCAGGGCTACCGTGCCGAGCTCATGAGACACGATTTCTGGGGCAATCCTTATGAAAAGGTTAGGGACATCTGGATCCGATCACCAATTCAGGCAGAGTCCCACAACGGCGATGGACACTACTGTGTCATCAACGGTTGCCACGGCGAAGGCAATACTCACTGGCAACATGTGGGGCCTGGCCTTCTCAAAGTTGCTTAACTTGGGTATCTGCTGCGTTCTTTTGAGAGATTTTCAATCACTATTGATTGAACGTTGCTTCCTCAGAAAAACAGTTCGGCATCATCATCGAATGAATGCCGAACGACTCCTTCCATTTCACGTGGCCGACTTTTGGTGTGCTTCGATTTGATCGGGAACCAGTCAAGATGGTGTCGTATCCACAGGCTTCACGTCGTACCCTGTCGACGGAGCGTTTCAAAGACTTGTACGATGTAGCGACCAGGTATAGGTATTTCAAAAGATGAGCTACAATACACTGATCCCGAATACTCCTTCGTTCTTTGTCTCGCGGTGACCAGGAAATCATCCAGGTGATAAGAGAAAACGACCGGCATGGATGACATGAAGTGACGTGATCAATTCCTCGTATTTCATATTCTACTTTAGTTGGTGTCATGCATTCAGCAACTTCACAAATACATAAAGGTTGCTTAAACCAGTTAGCCTGTTCTTGGGGGGTAGTTTGGACTTTACATCAGCTTGCCATCATTTAGGTCGCCGAGAGCTTTGGGTTCGGCGACTTATTCAGACTTGACGAGGCTATGACAAATGTGTCGGCGACTAAGCCATCCCAAACCACTATTTCAACACGCCAAATGCCAGCGTTTCGCCCTTTCAAATTCAATCGATTAACCAAGCAATCATCTTATTACATGCACGCAAGTCTTTCACAAACGGGAACATCGACCTTCAACATCGCCACCACATTCAGAGTACTATCATCATGACTGCCGAACCAATCGTTCATGATATCTATGAAGCTGTTACAGGCACCTGGCAATATGTTGTCGCAGACCGCCAAACCCTCGCGGCTGTCCTCATAGACACTGTTCTCGACTTTGATCCAGCCAGTTCCACAATCACAACGGGCACTGCCGACGGCATCCTCGCCTTGGTTGCCGACAAGGGATACACCATTGAGAAGATACTCGAGACTCACATCCACGCCGATCACCTTAGCGCGGCAAACTACCTGCAGACCAGGCTCGGGTCGACCCAGCAAGCCCCGCCTGCCGTATGCATCGGCAAGCGAATCCGACAGGTCCAGCAGCATGTTGTCGCGACCTACGGCGTGCCGGAAGAGGAACTCACGCACGCGTTCGACCACGCCTTTGAGGATGATGAAGTCTTCTCCGTCGGCACCCTGAGCGCCTCTATTCTACACCTGCCGGGTCACACGCCGGACCACGTCGGGTACCGTATCGGGCCCAACGATGTATTCTGCGGAGACTCCCTTTTCAACGCCGACGTCGGGTCCGCACGTTGCGACTTCCCGGGGGGTAGCGCCACCGACCTGTACGCCTCAGCGAGGAAGCTCCTGGCGCTTCCCGACGAGTGCAGAATCTGGACGGGCCACGACTACCCACCGAAGGCCGAGGGGCGGCACGACCCCGTGCCGTACCAGACGGTCGCCGAGCAGAACAAGGACAACAAGCACCTCAAGCATGGCGTCGGAGAGGATGAGTTTGTCAGCTGGAGAGCGGAGCGGGACAGCGGTCTCGCGGTTCCACGACTCATGCACCAAGCGCTGCAGGTGAATGTGCGCGGCGGGCGGATGCCCCGCGCGAACGGGTCTCAAGTGGGAGCGCTGCATATACCGGTGAGGGTCGTGGGCGAGGGTTGGTGACGTTCAAAGACATGGGGCAAGCTCTAGCTCATTACACTTAACGTAACCGTCTCATTACGTAACCGTCTCATTACTCTATGATTCCAGAAATAGTGAAGACTTGTCGCTGTGTACACTAAGTCGTTCAGGCATCAAACAGCAATTGGTACCCGAGAACGCCGGTGTGGACGTCCGGGATTAAGTGGGGCGGAGACCTCACGCTTCGGCGACCAGAGGCACACACCAAAAAGCCCGAGTCGGGAATTCTTGATCACATGAGTCAGGATCTTCATATCCATCAGGAGCACGGCTAACGGATGTGTCGATGCCAACAAACTGCAGTTGCGAAGGCATGTATGGTCTCAAACCCCGATGGCGTAAGGTTTTTCGTTGGTATGAAGGGCGACGGCGCTACCCTATCTGGACAATGGTTCCAGATCATTTTCATGTTGAAAAATCCTATCTGCCTTTCATACATACGGGGTGTCTCAGAGAAATCGTCATCAAGGCCATCTGAGACATGGTATACCGACGCTATGGCTGTACATGATAATATCAATGGCACTTGCACCCAGTTCTCCAACTCTTGTTTGCCAAATGATCCCTCGAAACAGTCCCGCATGCAGCCCGACGACCTTGAGACGATAGCCCAAAGGGCCATGGGACGCAGCTACCTTGAAGAGGACCCGACGATTCAGCAATGGCTCGCCACCTTGATACCGACCAAGCAAGGTGCGATTGGATACGCTCTCACGCTTTTCCCCTGCGTGGGGTGGGTGCCGCGCTACAACCTGCGCTGGTTTCTGGGCGACGTCGTGGCAGGCATGACTGTCGGTCTCGTGGTCGTTCCGCAGGCCCTAGCGTATGCTCTTCTCGCGAAGCTGACTCCGGAGTATGGCCTATATACTTCTTTCATCGGCGCCATGACGTACTGGGTGTTTGGGACGTCAAGAGATATAGTCATTGGGGTGAGTTTGAATAACCTGTCCTTTGATTTGAATGAATCTTATCCCATCCAAAGGGTCCTAAAATCAATGCACCGAGACTGACTTGAACAACAAGACCACGGCAATCGGGTCTCTTCTCGTCGGTTCCACGGTCACGGCCGTGGAAGAAAAGCAACCTGGGGTATACACAGCAGCGGAGGTCGCAGCCTCTCTGTCACTCATATCCGGCATGATTCTGCTAGCGATCGGCCTACTCCGCTTGGGCTGGGTTGTTGATTTCATTCCGTACACGTCCATCTCTGCATTCGTCACAGCAGCGGCCATCACCATCCTGTCCACACAGTTTCCAGTAGCACTCGGCATCCGAGGCATCAATACGAGGGACGCGCCATACAGGGTCATCATCAACACCCTGAAGAACTTGGGACATACCGAACTCGATGCAGCCATCGGACTGACATCTATCCTCCTGCTCTACCTCATCAAGACTGCGTGCTCTCAGCTTGAGGTCCGGAAACCTAAGAGCAGGCGCCTCTGGAGCATTATATCGTCTCTACGTTTCACCTTCGTTATCGTCATGTTCACTATCATCAGCTATCTCGTCAATTATAAGCTGCCTCGGGATGAAGCCAAGTTCCGTTTAGTTGGCAATATTGAAGCAGGTGTGAAAGAAATAAGAGATCTTATGACCAAGCATCAAGATGAAGGCTAATACAGACACCCTAGGTTTCCGTCACGCTGGCATTCCCCGCTTCGACAGCGACCTCACCATTCTCATTTTGCCCAAGCTCCCAGCCGTCCTCATTGTTCTCGTCATCGAGCACATCGCCATAGCCAAGTCGTTTGGGCGCATGTATGGGTACACCGTCACACCTTCGCAGGAAATCATGGCACAGGGCATCGCCAACCTCTTCAGCCCTTTTATCGGTGGCTACGTTTGTACCGGGTCATTCAGTGCCTCGGCCGTGCTGTCTAAATCTGGTGTGCGAACGCCACTCGCGGGCGTGGTGAGTGCGCTTGTTCTTGTTCTGGCCTTGTACGTCGTCACAGCAGTCTTCGCCTTCATACCAAAGGCCGTACTTGCCGGCCTCATCATACATGCGACCAGTAACCTGTTGACATCACCAAAAGCGCTGAAAAGGTACTGGCAGCTCTCACCGTTCGAGCTGCTCATATGGGTTGTCGGGCTCGCGATAGCGCTGTTTGAGTCCCTGGACATGTCCATCTACGTCACAACGGGGCTGTCGCTTGGCCTGCTCCTTGTGAGGATGGCGCGAACGCCTGGATCGTTTCTCGGTCGCGTCAGGATTCACCTTGTGCCTGCAGATGATCAGGCAATGCCAGCATCTCATCCGTCCGAAGGAGTCGCGCCGAAAGCGAAGACAGCAGACATCATACCGGGAGAGGTAGCCGTCGAATCCTATGACGCGTACTTGTCCACGCAGCGCAATGAAGGCTTCAACCCCCGGGTACCCTTGGAAACCCCCTACCCGGGCATGTTCATCTACCGCTTCCCGCAGACACTCAACTACACCAACCAGGGGCAGCACGTGGATTTGATTTCCAGCTACATCACGTCCCACACTCGCCGCACGACCCCAGAAGATCCTTCCATCAAGCCGTCGGACCGTCTGTGGAACGTCCAGGAGCCCCGTCCGAACAAAGAGGCGGGTTCTGCATCCATGTTGTTCGACGACCCTCCGTCCAGTCTCGGCTCCACATACGACGACCACCTCCCTCGTCTCCGCACCATCATCTTCGACTGCTCAGCCGTCGATAGCGTCGACATAACGAGCATCCAGGGCCTCGTCGATCTCCGGACGACGCTTGCCCGCCACGCAGCGCCAGGCGTCGTCGAGTGGCATTTCGCCGGGGTGCGCAATCGCTGGGCGAGACGCGCTCTGGCCGTCGCAGGCTTTGGTCACCCTTTGAACACGGACGGGCCGGTCTCGTCGGCGCAGTGGACGCCGTGCTATGCTGTCGCTGGGTTGCCGGCGGACATGGGCGGGGACCAAGGCGTGCAGTCTGGGGACGAAGAGAAGAGCGACGGGACGCTCGTCGAAAGCGGTGCTGACGAAGACGATGCGAGCGTTACAGGGTTTCAGCCTGTCGTCGGTGTCAACAGGCCGTTCTTCCATGTGGGTTTGGCAGAAGCAGTGGATGTTGCTGTGAGGAGTGCAAAGATCAGAAACCAGCGATCCAGAGGTGTCATTTGAATTTGAGAGACAAAAAGACAGGCGGACCAAGTGTTCGTGCTCGAGACCGAAGAGCCCACGACTACAATAACGGCAGGCATCGGGTTGCAGCTGCTTGGAATCTCGAGGCCTTCATGACAACGCAAGAGTGGGGTACAACATCGTACCTGCAGCAATTGCTATTCGGAGATTCACAGTGATTTGTAAATTTTTTTTTTAATTTTTTTTTTTTACTGGCCTCAAGAATGAATTATGATCAAGCACATGACTTGCAAGGAAGAAATGTATTTGTCTGCCTTTCCACGTATTCCGCACCTTCTAGTTGAGACCTAGAGACGAACAAGTTGGAGAAGGGCCTTCCTTAGTCAGCACAACCCCTGAGCGCACCAAAGTCGAACCCCTCAACCATTCTTTGGCTGTCAACATCATCATTTCAAGCAACAACATGAACGAAGCAAGAAAAGAGAAAAGAAAAGCCCGCTCCATATATCCATACATGCCAATGACTACAATAATCACCCAGATCATTCATCAGCATCCTCATCAGCAAGGTGGACGAAGGAGCTCCTCTTGGCAGCCAGCTCAGCCAGCTCCTTCAAGCTGGACCCGCCCATAATGTCGAAAACGGCCATGTCAGCCCCGACCTCCTTCATGAACCAGGTGCGCAGCTCGACAGCGACAAGAGAATCGACGCCATAACTGTGAAGCGGCTTCGACGTGTCAATGTCCCTCTCGCTCGACGACAGCGCTTTGCACAGCTTCTGGACGATGGCAGTGCCCACGATGTCCGCCGCATCGGCGAGCGACGACGCTGCGGGGAGCAGGACGCTGCAGGATGTCGAAGAAGCGGAACCATCGCCATCGCCATCTCCGTGACCATCGCTGTCGCCACGGATCTGGTAAAGTTGACGGAAGAGAGGATCGTGCAGCCAGGCAGGCTCTGGGATGCCCTTGATCCGCAGCGTGGCAGGCACCTCGAGACCGACGGCGATCTGCGGGCTCCCGTTTGCGTCGGCGTCAAGATCAGGTGGACTGCATAGGATGTCCAGCAGAGCTAGGAACTCATCCTCACGCATGGCATTGAAGCCTTCCTGTCGCAGGTTGGCCATGCTTTCCTGATTTTCAGCGGCAAAGCCCACGGAAAGGATCATGCCTAGATCCACGGCCACACCAGGGAGCCCACGGCCTGCGCGATGACGCGCCAGCGCATCCTGGTACGTGTTGCCTATGCAGTAATTGGACTGGCCGCGATTACCGACGACGCCGGACGCCGACGAGAGCAGCACGAAGAAGTCCATATCTCTAGGCAGCAGCTCATGCAGGTTTCGTGAAGCCACCACTTTGGGACGCACCGCCGTGTAGTAGTCCTCCTGCGTCATGTTGGCGAAGAGAGAGTCCTTGAGCACCATGGAGCCCTGAATACATCCTTTGATGGGCGGCATAGTCGCGGCGCACTCGTCAAGGATAGCTGTGAGAGCCTCTCTGTTCGAGACGTCGCACTGCGGAGCCACAACGTTGACGCCAGCCTGTGTGAGCTCGTTGACGAGCTCCTGCGTTGCTGGACGTGACGTGCCCGAGCGCGAGAGAATGATGAGGTTCTTCGCACCACGGGAGGCCATCCAGCGTGCTGTACTTCGACCGAGGCCGCCACCACCCCCGGAAAGTACGTAGGCGGCATCGGCGGGAAATGAGTACGATGGCTTACGGCTTGGCTCAACTGTTACCAAGTCATCGGGACGAGGCTCGAGGACAAGCTTTCCGGTATGCGTTCCTGCCTGCATAATCCTGAACGCCTCCTGGATGTTGGAGTAAGTGTACGCATGCAGCGGCTGCGGCGGAGTGATTGACCCATCTGCCAGAAGATTGACGACGTCTTGGAGCACCCGACCGAAAAGAGGGCCCCGTTCGAGCGACAAAAGGCCAATATCGAAGAAAGAGAAGGTGACGCTCTTCTTGAACGGAGCCATGGGAAGTCCCGCATTGGCAAATATGTCAACCTTTCCAATCTCGACGAAACGTCCATATGGCGCGATGCAGTCCCATGTCGCCCGCAGTGTCTGGCCAGATGTCGAGTTCAAGATGACGTCGACGCCACGGCCTCCTGTCAGCCTCTTGATGCCCTGAACAAACGACAGGTCACGACTCGAAAGGACGTGGTCGAGCGCAACACCATAGTGCTCGTGTACGAAGTCCCGCTTCTCCAGTGAACCGACCGTAACGAAAACGTCGGCGCCAATCTTCTTGGCCAGCTGAATAGCCGCCTGTCCGACGCCACCAGCACCCCAGTGGATTAGCACGCTCTCACCAGCTTGCAATCGCGCCAGGTCGTGGAGTGCATAGTAAGCCGTGGTGTAGACGACGGGCATAGCGGCACCAACGGCGTGGTCAACAGATGACGGAAGCTTAACAAACTGCCACTGCGTGCCACGCGCCAGGTTCTTGAAGGTGCCGCGCAGCAGCCCACACACTCGATCGCCAACGGCAACGCGACTGACGCCGTCACCTACGCGCGTCACAACACCGGCACACTCTTGACCGAAAGCTTCGCCTGTCACCTGGCCGAGAGCGATCATGACATCAAGTAGGTTCAAACCAGTGGCGTGCACCTGTACCTCGACATCCTCAGAGCCCAGGGGCTGCTCTTGAAGGGGATCGTCACGGAACTGCAGCGTATCGAGAAGGCCTGGCGTATCGCAAGCGAGCTTGAGCGCCCTGCCAGAAGTGGCAGCCGCCCACGTCTCTGTCACGGTGGAAGAGGCACCACCCTTTGCCTTGGCGGCGATAACTTCGTTCATGCGGGTGGCCTCGGTGATGCGGGGGATGAGTATGGAACCGCCATTGCTCGCGAAGAAGCTGTTCTCGCCACCAGATGCTTGAAGAACGCGCAAGATGGTGGAAATCGAAGAGTCGATATTGCTGGCGCTTTCCAGCGAGAGTGTCATCATGGTCAGGCCTGGATTCTCGGCGCGCATACACCGCGCGAAGCCCGTGACCATGTCGGCGCCTGGGCTCGCGGGCAAGGGTCCACCTCCCTGATTCACCCAGAGCAGCGTCTTGACGGTTGATATCAGCCTCTGCAAGGCATTGTACTCATCACCTTGCACGTTTTCGAGGAAGTCCGAGTCAATGTCTCCGAGGAAGATGCACCGACGTTGTTGAACATCTCGGGTATCGAGGGCTGCAAAGTCCCGGAGGCCGACAATCTTGGAACCGGTACTGCCCGATCTTTTCAGATTCTCAGCTACGGTCATCTGCAGGGACGAGCTAGAGGGCGAGTCGCTGACGACAATGGTGAGAGCTTCTGACGAAGTGTTGGAGGTCGTAGGGGGCCCGGACCCGGCTGTAAAACTTGCTGGCCCGCCTTCGGCGCTGCAGATAAGCACGCTCACCATCTGGTGTCGGTGATCAGGGAAGTCGTACATTTGAACATCGATGCCACTGAATCCGCTCTTCTTGAGCATTGCAGACCAGTCTTGGGGGCTCGCTAGGGGTGTGTACTTGCGGAAATCCTCGGCGGACAGCCACCAGCCGGGCAGCAGCCCAAAGGCGAAGCCAGTGCGGATCATATCCGTGTTTGTCATCTCATACAGCATCAGCTTGCCACCAGGCCGGAGCAGCTTACGGGCGTTTGTGAGCGTCTTTTGGAGACTCTTGGTTGCGTGAATGACGTTGGCGGCGACGATCAGGTCGTACTGATCGTCTTCGTTCTCGAAGCCCTGGTCTGCAAGGTCTGCCTCAACATTGAGAGCGCGGAAGCTCATACGTCCGCCAGCATCTTTGTCGAACATGTCGCGAGCCTTCTCGAAAAAGCCAATGGAGATATCGGTGAAGGCATAGTGGCTGAAGCGTGGGGTGTCCTGCGTCGTGAGACACTCGAGGATAGGACGAGTGGCGCCGCCCGTGCCGGCGCCAATCTCGAGGATGCGCATGGCAGGGTTTTTGTGAGCCATGGCATCGATGTAAGAAACCATTCGACGGTAGCCCAGCTCGGCGCCGACGCCAGACCGGTACACGTTCTCCACGAGTTTGTCTTGGAAAAGTAGCTCGAGGGCATCAGCCTCGCCCGCCAAGATGGCTGGGAGCTGACGACCAACGCTGACGACGAGTTTACCCTCAGGCGAGCCCTCTTCGAGGAGCTTGCTCTCCATAAGCGTCACATATTCATCGTCGGCAGCGCGCTGTCGCCATTCGGCCTTGGCATGGGCCACTTGGCCAGCCTCATATTTTTCCAACTGGTACTTGATCCAGTCAAAGTATTGAGCGTGGTGGCCAACCTTGCTGTTCTTTCGCTGACTCGCCTCCTGCTCAGGGCTCGACAGGAAAGCGTCATTGTAGCGTCTGATGTATAGATAGCACATCATCTCGACATTTTCGATGAGCAGTGCCTGTTCTGGCGTGGGGCCATACGCGGCATCAGGCTGGAAAACGTCATTCGCGACCCTTTGGTCGACAAATGCTGGATCAATCTTCCAGTCGAGGTCAAAGCAGAGCCGCCTGCCCGCTGCTGAGGCTGCCGCTTCGGCGCTCGTCTCGGCGCGTGCGACGGAGGTGATGACAAAACCATCAACAGTACAGACTGGCTCCCCGGTGACCACGTCAACGCCGACGATTCGCGCCTCAGCCTGGCGCATACCGAGGAACGAACCTTCGCAGGTGACGCGTACCGATTCGAACTTGGCCGTGGGCGATGCCGAAACCCAGATATCTCCAATTTCGGAGGGGACCATGACCTGGTTCATATCTCGGCCGCCCTTTGTCAAGCACACAATGATGCTTTGAAGAATGCCGTCGAGGACGGTGGGGTGCACAAGGTGCTCCTGTAGGTAGCCCAGGGGCATAAGGCCCTCGAGATCCTGGCGCTCAACCGTGGCGACGGCAGCTCCGACATCGTGTCCACAGCGTATGTCGCGTAGTGTCTGAAACGTAGCACCGAAATCGAGGCCGACGGTCGACAGGTGCTCGTAGAGCTGGCGGAACGATGTCTCAACTCTGACCTCGGCCTCTACGCGTGCCAAGGTCTCGAGGCATGCCTGTCTGAAAGACGACTCTTCGCGCCCGCCGTCAACGGCCGTGGGCGGCTGCTCGTACTCGGTGACGACAAGGCCGCGACAGTGCTCGTGCCACTCGCCGCCCTCGTAGCTGCTCAAGGCGAACTCACGCACACTCTGCAGCGCCGTGTCAGGGTGATCGCGGGGTGCAGGGCGCAGGTAAAAGTGCGTCTCAATGCCCGTCTGGGAGGAGGGCACACGCAAAGCGACGGCGAAGCGGGCGTCGCGGATGCGGAAGCCTCGAACGACGCGCGAGGGGTCGGCTGTCTGGCGGCTAGCCTCAATGGCCATGACGAGCATGCCGGCTGCCGGGTAGATGGTGGCACCTGTGATGCGGTGGTGCTTGACCCAGGGGTTCTCGACGAGGCGGAGGTAGTTTCGCCACACGGCGTGCGCCGGGTCCCAGTCGGGCACTGGGGCACCGAGAAGCTCGTGGCGGATGGCCTGGCGGAAGCGGTAGCCACGGCTGATGCGGCTCTCATTCCAATACCGGTTGGCGTGGTTAAAGGGGTAGCCGGGCGCCTCAGTGAGGAGGCGACTAGAAGCAATAGGATTGTCTTCATGGGCCGCGTCGTTGGCCGTTGCCACGTCGATGGAGTGGCCACGACACCACAGCCAGCCAGCCGCCGTCAGGGCCGTGTCGGTGGCCGACGTGTTGCGGCGCAAGATCGATTCATAGCCGACAGCCGTCACCTGCGGCGCGAGGTCGAGAATCTCCCTGATGGGCCCGCGTAGGGCGGCGTGTGGCCCGACCTCGAGGACATCGCTAATCTTAGGCCGCTGCTGCTGATGGGCTGCGCCGCGAGAGCCCAGCTTCTTGAACTGTGGTCCTGCACTCGAACACATGAGAGCAAATGCCTTTGAGAACTGTACAGGCGAAGTGAGGTTCTGGACCCAGTATGCAGGGCTTTGGAGGTCTGCTATGGAGGCTGTTGTTCCGGTGAGAGACGAGTAGAAGACAGGACGGCTCTTCTCATCTTCAACATCGACAGTGTCGAGACAACCGATCGATGCGCGGTAGGCCTCAGCAATGGGTTCCATCAGCGGCGAGTGGTAGCCGTTGTTCACTTGGAGCGTGCGCGCGAACACGCCATCAGCCTCGAGGGCCTTTTGGATTTTGTCGACGCTCTCAGCATTGCCGCTGATGGTCACATTGCGAGGGCTGTTGACGCACGCCACGACAATGTCCCGCCCAACAGCCGCAACCCCAAGCTTGTCACCGAGGTATCTAGTCGCATCCTCGGCGGTCATGGCCACAGATGCCATGCCGCCTCGGCGATGGTCGCTCCCGGTGGTTGTAGCAAGCGCCGACGACAGGGCACCACGATGGTATGCCAAACGCCACGCCGCCTCGCGCGACAAGGCGCCCACGGCGTACGCGGCCGCAATCTCGCCTGAAGAGTGCCCGAGCACGGCGGCGGGCCGCACACCCCAAGTGGCAAGCACATCGACAAGCCCAACCTGGAGCGCCGTACAGAGTGGCTGGCTAAAGGCAGCGTCGGCGACGCGAGACCTTGACTCGTCCTGTAGAAGCTCGCCAACAAGAGACCAGGCGCAGCCGATGCCGCGCAGGTAGCGGTCGGCAGCAAAGAGGGAGGCACTGAAGACGGGATTGGAGGTCAAAAGCTCACGACCCATGGCGTGCCACTGAGCACCCTGGCCTGTGAATACGAGGGCGAGCTGGGGGTCTGAGGCGGCGCGGGTTGGTGAGGGGTTGGCCGCGAGACGAGAGACGAGATTATCGACGCTGTTGGCGACGACGGAGAATCGCCAGGGGAAGGCGGTGCGGCGTGTGAGTGTGTGCGATAGATCCGAAAGGAAGTTTGGCGACGGCGGCTGGACCGTCTTGCGGGAGGAGAGAAAGGTCTGGTACGTTGACGCGATACGGGCCGCTCCGTCTTGGTCAAATGTTGAGAAGATGTAGGCACGCGGTTGAGTGATGGCACTATGACCATGGCCATTGACTTCATGGCCATTGACACCATTCGTCCCATGGCCGTTGACGCCGTTGGCGGCATGTCCGTTGGTAAGGGCCTTCTTCAGGGTCGCCTTCTTGGCGGTATGGTGTCGCCCTCTGAGGCCGTGCTCCTGGAGATAGTGGAGAGCATCATCGAGGACGACGTGTGCATTACTACCACCGTAGCCAAAAGCATTGACGGAAGCACGCCTCAGACCCTCACCCGGCCACAGCAGAGGCTTGGTCGGGAACCGAAGATGCCACTCGTCGACGGGGATCTTGGGGTTAGGCTTTTCGAACCACGTGTTGGGAGGAACAACACCGTGCTCCAACACAAGTACCGTCTTGATGAGGCCTGCGATGCCTGCGGATCCTTCAAGATGACCGATGTTTGTCTTGACAGCGCCTACAACCATAGGCTCTGCGGCGGAACGGTGCTCTGAGAAGGCACCACTAATAGCGCTGGCTTCGATGGGGTCACCGACCGGGGTGCCAGTGCCATGGGCCTCGAAGAAGCGCGTCCGCGTAAGGTCCAGGCCGGCGGCGTCATAAGCGGCGCGGATAAGGTCGACCTGAGCCTGGCGTGTCGGCTGTGTAATGCCGGGCGACCTCCCGTCCTGGTTGCTTGCGGACCCCCGGATCACGGCCCTGACGGTATCGCCGTCGCGCAAAGCGTCGCTAAGCCGCTTGAGCACCACCATGCCGAAGCCCTCGCCGCGTGAATAGCCGTTGGCACGGCTATCGAAGCTGTAGCATCGGCCGTCGGGCGACAGGAATCCCAGGGCTGTCAGTGGGATGATAGTATCTGGGTTATAAAAGAGGTTGCAGCCGGCGGCGAGTGCCGTGTCACACTCGCCGGACCGCAGGCTCGCGCACGCGAGGTGACACGCCACAAGGCTACTCGAACACGCCGTGTCGAGGCTGACGCTGGGGCCACGCAAATCATAGAAGTAGCTCAGCCGGTTCGCGAGCATGGTTGTCCCTGTGCCCGTGGCGAAGTATCGCTGCTGCGTCTCCGTCTCCTTGAACATGATGGCCTCGTACTCGCGGGTGAAGCACCCAACGAAGACGCCAGTCTTGGAGCCCGTGACCTTCTCCAGCGGCTGGCCGGCATTCTCGAGCGCACGGTATGTCGACTCGAGGAGACCGCGCTGCTGGGGGTCCATGCCTGCGGCCTCGGCCGGCGTGATGGAGAAAAATGGCGCGTCAAAGGCCGCGATGTCTCCGTTGAGGAAGTGACCCTTGGTAACGTTGAGAGAGCCCGCGCGCTCAGGGTCGGGATGGTAAAAGGCTGACACATTAAACCGGTCCGTAGGAATCTCACGCAAGGCCGAGCGGCCCTCCATCAGCATGTCCCAGAAGGACTCGGCGTCAGTGGCGTCACCGGGGAACTTAAGGTCCATGCCGATGATGGCGATGGGCTCCATGGTTGCGAAGAATCGTAGGGTAGCGTGACAGAATGTAAGTTATGAATAAAATGTGTGATCAGGGTGTGTGAGGAGAACGATGTTGAGTATATGTCCTTGATGAACGAAGGTTGTTGAGTTCATCCGTTTCAATCGAGACGAGGGAACGTATGTTCAAAGATTAATGTATGGTGCCATATACATTCAGCAACACTATCGATGAAGGCTTACAAGTTTGGATGCAGAGAGAAAGTGTGTTAAATCACGGCAATTTATGGACGGCGAGATCGGTTTTCCTACCTTTATATTCCTTCTTGACTCTCAGGTTCTGATTACTTCCCGTACGAAACCACGTACTGATCATCCATGCGACTTCCTTAGCTGCTCTGACGCTCCTTGTCTGTCTACATGTTACTACCTCGAGGTACGAGTATACGCTGCCTGCAAGAAGAGATTACCTGATTCCTACCCTGAATTCGGTGATGGCTATTCTCCGTGATGTCTTGCCAAGTGACAGAAATGGGCGCTTATCTGACTTGTGAGATATCTAAGTATGCTCTGATCCAGGTCAGTTATTGTGTGTTGTTTTACCCAAGTAGATGGTTATGTATTTTTGTTGTTCCTAAACTTGCCAGAGACCTATTGCCTCCCTTCTCAAGATATCTCTACCGTGTCTTGAAAAGAGCCTTGCATCACTGTTTCCTGACTTGACGCGCTTTCAACTACTATACTCGCAGGTGTACTCTTGATACAACTTGTGACATCCAGGTCTATCCACGCCGACCCGTTGAAATGCATTGGCACCAAACTTGTGACGAACCCAACGTAGTACTACGTAAGTAAGTACTTACAGAAACAACGATCAAAGTACCCTTGGACTTCTATCAGTCACCGGCTGCGTTGCTTCCACCCTACAACTTGAGACCGGTGAGGCGACGTCTTCAGCAGGAAGCGGGGGCTTTCTGATCGAATGCTGTGCCTGCATACCATGTGCACACGAGATAGGAACCATTCTTCTTTGCTCGTCAGCTGAGAGCAGTTTGTAGTTTTGCCGTTATCGTCGTTTCTCAGCCATGTGGCGCGTTCATTGGATCATACGCGATCGCTACGCCGACACCCATCGGGCGGCAAGGCTGTGCCGAGAGATGCCAAGCAAGGCATACAGAGTAAACATGCCATGTTGCAGGTGTCAAAACGCTCATGCAATGCACAGAAGTGCCGTGTCACGTCTGACGATGCGTAAGCACAATCTCGTCCCATCAAGACGATTGCGACGTCACAAGTCAGCCGGCGGATAAAGGTACTAGCGACCCAATGAGTTCGTCGTGTCTCTCGCATGTGCCGTTCCATCCTTCGAATCCCTCCTGCACCTGTTCCTGTGCCCGTGGCCGGCAGGATCCTCCCGACCGCCGGTTATGCAGGCTGTGTGTTCCGGAGGATCTTCAGAGACGTCAAAACGCTGATCCACCCGCCACTCATCGATCGATTCGTGAGATTTGGCATGTCGCCCTCAGCAGACCGCAAGAAAGATAAGGCAAGAGTCATTTCCGCCAAGGCTGACGACAGCTTCCCCGTGCATTCGAGAAGCGCCCTGACGCGACCCCCACGGGACCGCCCGATTCGGAAGCGACGAATTCCAGGGTCTTTGGACGGCCACGCCATGTTCGCCGCCATAGTCTCGGCATTGTCCAGGCAAGGGAAGGCGTAGACATGGATGGCTTCGACGTGGTTATACGAACTGACTGCGTGGAACTCGCTCCAAGTTTAGCAGTGTTGCATCGGCGAAATTCCTTCCGTCAACACTTGTCCAATGTTATGCACCACATGTGATCAGCATCGGAAGATTTGCTGGCGAGGTTATTTCCAGTACTCTGTGTGAACATTATGCCCAGTTCAGGTAGGTCGTAATGCCAAAATATGTCGGTGAGGAGATGAATCGAATGCTACTGGCACAGCGAGGCCAGCTTGGCGCATTGTGCCACAGGCGTTGATCTTCCTCATGCCATTTCCGTCCCGTCCCTCCAAGACAAAAGTCCCTACTGAGAGGTGATTCTGCATGCCCGGGAAAGGGGCTCACATGAACGCTTGAGTTAAGCCACTGCCAGTAGAGCGACGAACTCAGGCATCTACCTGCATTGGCTAGTCTGCGCAGCATGGTGTGCAACACAGACTGCTGGCAGATATCTCGATTTTCGAAGCGTTGAACGAACGAAGGCAGCCTGAGCAAGACTTCAGCCAAGTTGACAGACTCAATCCCGTAGGATTATCCCGCCATGGATACTCTTCCCAAGGCAAAGGTTCTCGTTGTCGTGACGGTAGGGGGCTCCACAAACTCCGGTATGTCAGGAGTAAAAAAAGAAAACACCACCGAAGAAGACAATTTGATGATCGAAACTGACTTGGATTTCTGTCTGCAGCCCCTATGCTTGAAGTGTGCGCGATACTCGCCACCAGAGGTCATACTATTGAGTTCGCAACACTTGAAGGGCGACAAAAGTTCGCCGACCCCTACCCGTTCGTGTCTGCCGTTCACATAGTAGGGACTGCCATCTCGGCGGCCGATGAGGAAGTGCACTACCGACGATTCTCCAGGTGGGACTGGGACACGCCAGCCGGCAAGCGGGACATCGTCGACGGCAAGATTGCGTTTGACGCCTTCTGGCCCGAGACATACCGGCGGCTCGGAGACGTCGTGAGGAAGACCAGGCCCGACTTTATCTTTGCCGACTACCACGTCGAAGCTGCCGTGGATGTGGCCTCTGACTTTCGGCTCCCTCTGGCCGTCATGTGGCCGCAAATGCCGTGGCTGGTGATGCCGCAAAAGTACATTCCCGGCCAGTCAGGCATGCAGCAGCGCTGCCTGACGAGCGAGAAGGCGTCCCTGACGGACCGGCTCTTCGAGATGACCTTTCTGCTGCGGTCGGCACCCTACTTCTTGCGCTGGCTCTTCTTCGTACGCTCCATGCGCAAGAAGGAGGGCGTGCCGCCGCGGCAGAAGCAGTCCAAGCCAGATCATCTCGTGCTCACCAACTCGTACTATGGCATCGAGGTGCCGCGAGACACCCCGCCGCTGGTCCACGCAGTAGGGCCTATTCTCTCCGAGTCGTGGCCGGCCATGGGGGATCCGTTTGCGTCCTTCTTCGCCGCCCGCAAGCGCATCTGCTACGTCGCCTTTGGCACGCATGTCATTCTCGACAGCGCGCAGGTGGACAAGATCGTGCGTGGTCTCGATACGGCCCTCGCTACGGGCGTCATCGACGGCATAGTCTGGTCCCTGAGTCTCGTGGCCCGCCGCGGCATTGAGTCCGAGCGGCTGTCCTCTTCCTCGTCCGCCGGCGGCGACCGCTGCCTGACCGTTGCCAGCATGCTGGCCAACGAGCACCCAGCCTGGCTCAGCTGCACGTGGGCGCCGCAGCGCGCCATTCTCGCCCACGGCTCGACGGCCGTCTTTCTGACCCACGCCGGCCCGTCGTCGGCCAACGAGTCCGTCTTTCACGGCGTGCCCATGATCGCCATGGGCGTCTTTGGCGACCAGATGAACAACGCCCTCCGGCTCGAGGCCGCGGGTGTCGCTGTCCGGCTGCAAAAGAAAGACTTCACAGCCGCTCAGCTGACCGAGGGCGTAACGCGCATCGTTGTCAGCGAGAAGGATGATTTTGAGAGGGAGTCGGCTCGCCTCCGCAAAATCGCGGCCGTGGCATCTCGGAGGAGGTCTCTGGCAGCCGACCTCATCGAGGAGCACCTATACGACTGGGACGGCCGGTTCGAGCACCAGCTGCTCGGACGTGAGCCGCGTGGTGTCGAGATGGAGGGCGGTACCTCGTCGCCTCTGTATGTCAAGGATGCGGATTTCTACCCACGCGGCCGAGAGCTGCGCCCGATGCATCTGCAGACGGCCGACGTGCGCATGTCATGGCTGAAACTGAATAACGTCGATATTGCTCTGTTGCTTTGCGGCTCGGCTGGTCTGTTGGGGGGATTTATTTACATGATTTACCGGGTTAGCAACTTGTGAGAAGATATTCAGATGTCGTGACTTGTTCACATGAGCTGGTCATTTCGGGTATTGTTTACCAGATTGAAGAATTATCAAACTTTGTGTCCAGTCTTCAATTACCCCTATTACCAAGTCATAAGCCATCACTGTCCAAAGGTAGACTTGCGCATGACCTGCGCAACCACGCTCGCCATGTTCTTCGTAACCTCCACAGGAGCCAGCGGAATTTCATGCCCCGCGCCATGATCAAGCAGAACTCTCCCCCACTCCTGGCACAACTCAGCTAGGCCCGTGCCGTGCGCGACATCCGGATCTCCGCGTCCGACAATGTGCGCCGTGGGCACATGAATCACGGGCCCAACCCCATCAGCGGCGCGCAGAAACTTGACCTCGCCGGCGCGCAGGCTGTCCTCGCAGTATGGCAGGCCGGCGCAGAAGAAGACGCCAAAGGAGAAGAGTGGAGGATTGGCGAAGCGGGCGCGGGCCATGACCATGGCAGCGAGGGAAGCGCCTTGGGAAAAGCCCATCACGCCATCAAAGGGCCCGTTCTCGGTGAGCCAGGAAGAGAGGTCATCAATGGCATTGAGGATACTGGGGGCTGATTTTGGGTCGTAGTAGGCGAGGGCCTCATCAGCAGAGATGAAGGTCTCGATGCCGGGCGCCAGGTCGCAAGGCTCGCCGCCGTCAATAAATTCATAATGATGGGCTTGTGGATGACCGAGTTGATGTCTCAGAGCGGCTGCTCACGTAGGCTCATTTTAGTGTGATGATTGGATCGGAGAGTACACAAGGCAGCACTCACTTGTCTGCATCTGGAACACCTGAGGCTACATGAGCGTGGGAACCTCGAGAGGGGGGATGAAAATGGAGGAAAGAAACAAACTTACCTTACTATTAGTGCCCATGCCGTGGAGACAAAGGATACGCATGTTGATGGCAAAGCGTAAATGACTTGGGAGCAAATAGACGCAGAGAACCGATGATTATTCGCAGATGCTCTACTTGAAGAAGTACGTACGGGTGCGTTGGGTCGGCGACAAGATGGCGGAGGTGTAAGGGATTATAAATAGACACACGACACGCTCTACCCCCATAGATATTCAGCATGGTGAGACGCCTACATCACTTCAGGCTCGGCTTTATCTCGTCCCTTGGCAGGTTTTGTTCCACCGGAGACCTCGCCCTTCATCCACCTGCCCGACGTGGGCTTTCTGCATGCCTCTTGGACTGTCCTGTTCTAATATGCAAAGAACCTCGCTGCGTAACTCCGGTACCGCCATTGACTTCATCTCCCAACCAGGAAAAGGCGTTGTCAAAGTACACCTCCCCCGCCTCACAAATTAGCCTTCTACTGACTACGGCCAGGCCTTGTCTCTTATGCCATCTTGATCAGCAGGGCACCATATATATCATGGTGGCGCTAATCTCCGCGGAACCCCTGAGCTTCGGCATCATCGGAGGTGGCTTCTACGGCTGCCACATCGCGACATCCCTCCGAGCCCTCGGCTTCGAGGTGAAGGTCTTTGAGCAACACACGCGGCTCCTGCATGAAGCATCCGGTAACAATCAGTTTCGACTGCACATGGGCTTTCACTATGCGCGACACAGCGATACACGGATCCAGTCTCGCGACGGATTTCTGCGATTTCTCGAGCGGTACCCAGGCCTCAGCCGCAGCGTACCATGCAACACATACGCCGTGGCATCGCGGGAGTCCCTCCTAGACTATGGGACCTATCGCGCGGTCATGGCATCGAGCGGCGTGGAGTTCACGGAGGGGGCGCCCATGGGGGTTGAGCTCGCCAACGTGGCAGGCGTTGTGCGTACGGGGGAGAGGGTGCTGCTGTTGGCCAAGGCGAGGGCGCACTTTGCGGCTGAGCTGGCGGGTGTGCTCGCGTTAGGACAGGCCGTGTCGAGCATCGTGGACACGGGAGCCGGAGTCTTCATTGACGGGGAGCGGTTCGACTACGGGGTTGATGCGACATGGGGACACCTCGCGAGGCCGCCGGGGATCGAGGTCGTGTACGAGCCGACGTTGCTGCTATACTATGAGGGCCCCGTGGATTTCCCAGCCGTCACGCTCGTCGACGGCCCGTTGTGCTCGGTGTACCCAACAGAAGAGCCGGGCCTCTTCACGCTGTCGAGTGTACCGTACACGCCGCTGGGTCAGTTCCTGTGCCCCCACGAAGCGAGGGCGGCGCGCGACAGGGTGGCGGCAGCGCCCGAAGTCATCGCAGCTAAGAGAGCACTCATGGAGGAGCAGGTGGCGCGATACGTGCCCTCGTTCGCCAATACCTTCCGCTACGTCGGCCCTCAGCTGGCCATCAAGACCAAGCCTTGCGGGGCGTGGGATGACCGCAGCTGCCAGGTGGTGCGTCGGGGGCGGATGCTGTCGGTGCTATCTGGCAAAATCGACACCGTCTTCTTCGCCATGGAGAGAATCGTGGCCCTGGTTGAGGAGGCACAAGCAGCGGCTGGGCTAGAGGATGCGGTATCGTCATTGCGGGCGGACATCGCACTGATCAACGGGCGGGCTGGTGTGGATGGTGCGGATGAGGGCGGGCTGCGAGAGCGTCTGTGACCGGGATCCCATCGAAGGAGATGAATCCTGGCGATGCAGTCATACGCAATGTCACGTTGATGGAGTATCGAGAAAGAATCTAGACAATGCGTGATTTGTTTTCGGCCAGTGGTTCGAGGCTTGTGAGGTTCCGTCGCCGTCAACGTCGACATCGACGATATCAGTTCGGCCCGTCTGCCGCGACTTGATGCATCCTTTGATGTTGACTCTGTTTCAACGCCATGGGTGAAGGATCAACCAGGATGGATCCTCTGTGAAAGATTGATTTGTCACATAAGAAGATGTTGGTGGTGGTGGGTCGTAGTTGATAGAGTGGTAGTTGGATGATGTGTGATAGACGGCAAGGCATGAGGCTGTGATGCGAGGTTGCTTGAGGTTCGGATGACCCCTGCCTTGTAGAAGGCCCCTGGGCTGCAGCTTCCTCAGGTACCCATAGATAGGGCAGGTGAGGTAGCTACAATCAACCAAGTACCCGCACGGGACGCAGCTGTGGCACAGGGCGTGGTCGCATCTGAGTGGCTAAGTTCTCCAGGAGCCCCGATTCTTTTTCAGTACCCCGAAGCACGTAGACTCAAGTATTTCTGAAGCCCCTATCATGTGCGGCCGATCATGTTGCATGATCCGTGGGGGGAAGCAGCCGCCGCTCAATTTCGCAAAGGTGCTTGCAAGACATCCAACCTCGAAGGAGAGAACAAGCCGAGATGCTTGAGTGCACCAAGCAGCATAGCAGTTTCTCCCGGAGAACTTGTTCCGGCCCACCACAGATGTGTTGCTCTTTCTCTTGCCGTTGCCAGTCGCTGTCTGGACCAAGGCAGGAGGATCCGGGACCGCTGGAAGCCTCCATGCATCAAAGAACGAGGGAGAGGTACCTCATCCAGGTGAAGACCGGATTTTCAAGATGCGCATGGCGTGCTGGTGTTGAGTCTGCATTTCTGCCTCTCATCGTTCGACACGCACGTCAGCCAGAGGCCGTTGGCTGTTACACTGCATTGGCCGGCCGGTGAGAAGGTGGAAATGGCCAGTCATATGGGCCATTCGGCATGGGTGCGAGCAAGCATTGGCAGTTGGCAATCACTCTTTGTACGTCGACACCTGGGTGTACATCTCCCAGCTTTGCCAGTTCGCTGCCTCGTCTTTTGTCTCGATGACCATCTGTCTATTCAGGCACTTGCCGGCTCGACATCCAACATTCACACGCCTCATCTTGAAGCCTCTCGAACCTCCGCCTATCCGATCCACGCCGTTCGTGTCACGGCACTTATCGCCCGTTTTTTCTCGCTCAAGGGCCCGATCACGATCAAGCTTGCAGTTCTCGGCCATTTCCTCGTCGTGTCACCTTTCCTCGCTCCTTTTCCCTTCTGTCAAGTCCTGGATTCATTTCTCGCTCCTCTTCTTCCAATGGATGTTTCTCCGTCTTCTGGCGAGCCCAAAACGCCTCCTCCCTTCCTCAGAAACCCGGAACCTGATGCCGATCTCGGTCAGGGGGGCAAAGATGCTACCCGCAATGGCAGCGTCGCCTTGTCCCGTCCAGAAGCAGAAGCAGACCCTACGCCGCCAGATATCCACCCCCCCGACGTGGCCACTCAAACTCGACAAAAGGTCTACCATACTGGATGGAAGCTCCATGCCTTGACAGCAGGGTAAATCCATCCACCTCTGCACAGCAGCAGCCTACCAAATTGGCAAGCTAGGCACACATACATTCTCGCTAACCACCGCCATATCTCAACAGACTATGCCTCAGCTTGCTGCTCTCGACACTGGAGACCACCATCGTGAGTACCTCCCTGGTGTCTATCGTCGACCACCTTCAAGGCTTCGATAGGGCCAGCTGGATTGTGACCTCCTATCTGTTGACATACACTGGTTCGTGGTCCCGTATGCGTTGCTTGATGTTTCGTCGCGCCAGTTCACTATTGACCACATGAATTTTGCCTTCAGGCTTCCTGATCATCTTTGCAAAACTGAGTGACATTCTCGGCTGCAAGTTGATGCTCGTCTCTGCCATCACTCTTTTCACCATTTTTTCCATTGCCTGCGGTGCTTCCGAGTCTATGCTGCCATTGTATGTCACTGTATTCTGCTTCACTTATAGGGCTACCTTCATGGCCTGATGGGCGCGAAATGCGATATCAAACATACTAATCTCATTTGGGTCCACGACAGGATCGTTTTCAGAGCTCTTCAGGGTATGGGAGGCTCTGGCATCTATTCGCTCTCCACCATCATGGTTCCGCTGATGGTGCCTCCGTCCAAGTACGCAACATACATCGCCATTGTAACCTCCGTCTTCGCCATATCTAGTGTTCTCGGCCCTCTTCTGGGAGGCGCCATCACCGACAACACCACCTGGCGGTGGGTCTTTTACCTTAAGTCAGACTTCAACCTCACAATACTTTTTGCCGAAGTCACTGACGGGTCATCTTCGCAGCGGCCCAGGCGGAGCCCTTGCAGCCGCACTCATAGCGCTCGCGATACCCTTTGGCTTCCCCTATGGCGACTCGACTACATTCTTCCGCAGCTTGATCTCGGAAAAGAGGTGGAAACGAATTGACTTGCTCGGCGCGACCCTTTCGTTGGCCGCATCCATCCTCCTTATATTTGCTCTCCAGCAAGGGGGCGTAGAGTATGCCTGGAACAGTGGCGCCATCATCTCAACGTTTGTCTTGTCTGGTATTTTGTGGCTGGCTTTCATCGCCTGGGAGCGCAAGCTGTCGGGAAGAAGCGGCGTCTGCGAGCCCATCTTCCCCTGGCGTCTGACCTCAAACCGATTTGTCGTTGGTTTGCTTCTGTGAGCAGCGACTCTTCAAGCCACTTAACCGAGCTGAAAAAAGGGACAAATGACGCTAACAATCCTGCAGAAATGGCTTTCTCACGGGCTTCCCTTTCATGGCCGCAATAATCAATATTCCGCAGCGGCTGCAGACGGTCAACTCGACGACCGCCATCGGCGCTGGACTCCGCATGCTACCTCTGCTACTTCTATCCCCGGTGGCAAGCGCTCTCTCCGGCGTGTTGATTACGAAGCTCAAAGTTCCCCCGCTTTACGTCCTCACCCTGGGCGGTGTGCTTCAGGTGATTGGCGTCGGTTTGTTCAGCTCACTTGATTCGACCACTCTGAGGGTCCCAGATGCGCAGTACGGCTATCAGGTCATCATGGGCCTCGGGTTTGGCTTCAATCTAGCAACCATATTGATGATGGCAACCATTATCGTCTCAGAGAAAGACCTAGGTATGATTTCTGTCCATGATTCTTGGCCCTCTGTGCTCCAAGACCGGATGCCTGGCTGACTCAAGTGCGACTCTAACAGCCGTGACAATGGGCGCCGTGACACAAACCCGTGTCCTAGGCGGCACAATTGGCCTTGCCGTCTGCTCTGCATTGCTTATTGACCACATTAGGGCTCAAGCCTCGGCCATCTTGACGCCCACGGAACTGGCTAGCATATTGTCATCGTCAGGCAATATCGCCTTGCTGCCCCCGGAAAAGCAGTATGAGACGAGGGTCATTTTCGCCGAGGCCTATTCGCGGCAAATGAGGGTCATGCTGTACTTTTCCTTGGCGGCCCTCGGTTCGGTTCTATTTCTGTTTGAAAAGAAGCCCAGGAGAGCAGTGACTACGACGACAGTGGAGGATCCGACACCCCCGTCTTCATAGCTTTTTCGATTGGCTCTTTCACTCTTACATTTGAGGTGATCCCTGACGTCAATGAAGTTGTCTTCCTCTCTCTTCTCTACATATATATCCTAGTGAACGGAGAGCTTGTCTTAGCTTTTGATGTCTCTAGGTGTTCCACCATCTTCTCCGGACTCGAGAAGAGCTTGCAGAACCTTCAGATCTCCCAATGCCTCTAAGGGTGTTTGCAGCTGATCAGACACTCCACCTGGCAGGCTCCTACAAAAGGCCTCAATTTCGGCCCTCACGGCATTGTCGTAGATGAATTCCTTGACCTCGTTCACCAGGCCTGTTGCATCGGTTACTTGAATTTTCACCGGCGTCCAGGTGACGGAGCCCCTTGTTGTAATAATGACGATCTCGAGGTCAGACCTGGGCTCTATGCCATAAGAGAGGCTGATGGTGCCGCTTCGGCCGGATTCTGTCAAGGCGACGGCATGGATTGTATCCACGGGGACGAGGTGCTCCTGGAGGAGCGCAGAAGCTGCCATGACCCTGTTGATCGTGTCTCCCGTCGCGCACAGCAAAAGCCGAAGCGAGGCAATGAAATGCACGGCCCCGTCGAGGAGGAAGCCGCCCTGGAAATCCGGAGTTTGGCGCCCTATTTCTCGAAATGCCCCGTCAGGTTGGCTCCGTGAGTACGAGTTTCGAGATTCGAGTACATACATTCAGTCTGGTAGTACTTGTTGTCCTTCTGAACACACGTGTAAAAGGCCAGCCGAAACGTCACCAGCCGCCCCCCGATGTCGCGCAGCCTGGCGGCGGCGTACTGCAGGCTCTCGTTGAAGCGGAAGTTCTCGGCAACGGCCCAAACGGGCGCGCCCGGCCGGCTCACGTGCCAGGCAAGGAGGGCGCTCGCCGTCGCGACGTCGCGCGCAATGGGCTTCTCGCTGAGGACGTGCTTGCCTGCCGCCAGGGCGCGGCGGACGATGCCCGCCTGCACGGGGATCGGGAGACAGATGATGACGGCCGATATGTCAGCGCGGGACAAGAGATGGTCGAGCGAGGAGTTCTCCTTGTCGGGGCTGTCATAGTAGATGTCTGGCCTGGGCACGACCTCGGCCGAGACGGCGGTGGCTGTCTTCTCGGATCGAGAGTACACGGCTCGCAGGGTGAGAGACGGGGAGTCTCGGATGGCTGGTACGTATTCTATCATGCTGCATTAGCGTTTGGTCTGGAAGAACGTACGGAGAAGATGATCTGGGTTTCTCGGCGATGGCCGGCAAGAAGAGGATTCCAGTGCAGAGGATGGGGCTGGCCTCTGCAGGTTCACCTACGCTCTCGAGCAAATATGCCACCACCAAGCAATGCTACCGCGATCATCGTGGTCGAGCCTGCGAGGAACAAAAGCAATCAGCAGTTGGCAATGGCCGCTTCGAATGCGTCTGTGAGACGAGGTAACATCAGCACGGGGTGTCTGTGTTCTTTATAGTTGCCCTCTCTGATGTAGTTGCTCTCCCTGAGTTTGTCTGCCCTGAAATGTGTCATGTCAGGCGTAACAGGGACCTATCATACCTCCCTGGGTATGCAATGTGCTCGGGTGCAGCAGGTACCTAGGTAGGTCAGGCCTTCGGGCATGGAGAGTATACCCGAGATGCATATGTACCAGGCATCTTGCTGAGGCAGGGCAGCTACGGTAGCTGCAACAAGCAGGCATCGAATGTTGCATCCTTGGTGACGAGCAAAAAGACCCCTGTCGTGTCCCCCCACGCCATCATCAGTCGCCGAGACGGGGTCCAGCAGGGCGAAAATCAACGGCGATTCAAGCCGTCCCAACGGCCCCGCACTCGCCAGTCAAGCTGCCAGATCAGCGTAGCCCGTAACCCACCGACAGCATGGACAGTCTTCCGTATGCCTTATGTCACTCAGCCTGTGACCCACTATAGCTTCTCACGACCCCGAAACCGCTCTCATCCTCACCCTTCGTCAATGAGCCCTCCGTCCTTGTTCACCCACAAGCTTCAGTCGGCTAAAGCGCATCGAACCTCCTCCTCCCTCAAATTGAGATATCTGCCATCCTATCAGCTACAAGTATGGAATCTCAAGTCGACCACCTGGTCTCCAAAGCCTGGGAGAAATACCAGTCCACGCCACCAAACCAACGACTACGTACGTCATCCCACCACCCTACCACCAAACTCACCTCGCCTGACAGCACCGCATCCCGCCAAACATAACCACCACAAAACAGAGATGAACTGACGTTTCTCCCCCTAGTCATCGCCATAGGCGGCATTCCCGGCTCCGGAAAGACGACCCTCTCTGGCATCATCACAACCCGGCTCAACGCCCTCGCAGCAGCAGCAGCAGCAGCCGCCTCGACCTCCACCACCTCGCCCTCTTCCTCCACCCCCCCAGCCTCGGCCCCGGCCGCCTTCGTCCCCATGGACGGCTACCACCTGACGCGCGCCCAGCTGTCGGCGCTGCCCAACCCAGCCGAGGCCCACGCCCGCCGCGGCGCAGTCTACACCTTCAACGGCGAGGCCTTCCTCGCCCTCGTGCGCGCCCTGCGCGCGCCCCTGACGCCGCACACGCCCACCATCCGCGCCCCGAGCTTCGACCACGCCATCAAGGACCCGCGGGAGGACGACATCGCCGTCGACCCGGCGCACCGCATCGTCGTCTTCGAGGGCAACTACGTCGCGCTCGACCGCCCCGTGTGGCGCGACGCCGCCGCCCTCATGGACGAGCTGTGGTTCGTTGACGTCGATTTTGACGTCGCGCGCCGGCGTCTCGTCAAGCGGCACGTCCGTGCTGGCATCGCCAGCGACGAGGAAGACGCAGACAGGCGCGCTCGTGAGAATGACCTCGTCAACGGCAGGGAGATTGTCGACCACCGCCTCGACGTTCACGAGGTCATCGTCAGCCGGGAGGATGGCAGCTGGGTGCACGAGTGAGGTGGGAGATACACCAATACTGAACTATGAACAAGAGAATGCCCATATCATGACAACCATTTTGTTTAGACCAGAGATAGAAACTCGCCAGCATGGTAGAAGCGATCCCTAATTCCTTATGAAACTACCTACGCGGTATTCGACCGAATCTTCGGGACAAGCCTCCCATTGGTTTTTGTTTTTGTTTTTGTTTTTGTTTTTTAAAAAAAAAAAAGAAAAAAAAGGAAAAAACTCCAAACGCCTCATCATATACTCAAGAGCCAACCGCTCTCCCCGGCTGGTGTCAATCACCAGTTTCAGTCGCTAGTCCATGCGAGAATCCCCTCCGAGGCCGCCTTCTCGCATCCATCATCATTGTCGCGCGTTCCTCTTGCCCCATCGTACTCAGAGAGTGGTACTCCAACCCTACCCCCCTCCCAACCCAAATCACTGCCGACGCTCTGATACTACTCGTCATTCACTTTTGCACCCGCCGCAGTCTACCCGAGCATGGTTCCTGTGAATCGGCCCGCGTGGCTGAAGCCTTGTGAGGGCTGTGCATACTTCGAGTTGGCGAGTCCTTTGTGCTGCTGCTGACTCTTGGCACCCACATGGGATCCTTGGGCAGGCGCACGCTGAAAAGTGCCGCCATGACTGGGCTGGAAGACTGGGGCGTCTCCCGACAGCCTGGTGGCTGCATCAGGTACGCTCTTCACATCGGCCACAACACTACTGGGCGCAGGCTGCGGCATGTTCATCTGGCCGTGACCTGAACCCGGAAAAGAGGCGCCTACGGGAAGAACATACCGTCTGGTAGTCTTGACTGTGGTGGTCTCCTCCACGACATCGATCGCGTTGAGGCTATTCATCATGGATAACATCGACCAGGCTTGTCCAAGCCCCCTGTCGATCGCACTTTGTTCGTGGGAGTGATGAGGAGTGGGGCTTTTGAGAATAGTAACTGCTGGGACCTGTTGAGTTATAGAATCGTTCTCCTGGGTCTTGTTTATTTGAGGCCGGCTGGCCTCCCTGGTCTTCTCGAGACGGAAGGCCGTGGATTTCTTGGGCGTTGCCAAGGTTCTTCCAGCCTTTAGTTCGGGCGTTGAAGAATCATCTAGAGTCCTTCCAGTACTAAACTTCTTCGTGGCCCTATCCCCAGTGTCTTTGACTGCCGATTTCTTCGGTGAGCCAGGGAGAGTGTTGAAGTTGAACTCTACCTCAGGCTTGGCCTTGGCGGCAACAATTATCGGCATCGCAGGGGCACCGGGTGGGCTGACAAAGTCGAATGTAGCCTTAGACTTCAACCGCTTATTTGATTCAGGCGCGAATTTGCAACTTCTGGTCTCAGTACCTTTCATACTGGTGGAAGGTGCTGAAAAGTTAATGACAATCTCAGGCTGTCCAAAATCTTGAGTCTTAAAATCTTCACCCTTCGTCGATAGGGTGGCAAGATTTCTAGTGATGGGGCCTGCGTTCATCGACGCCTGCTTCAAAGACTCCGCGGGTTTTGGTGTCTCGTTGAGACGACCACCCGTCAAGACAGACTCGGTGTATTGCCAGTTTTCCAGCGGTGGGGTTACCTGAGTTGAGGTGTTGCTCATGCTTCTCAAAGCGCCCGGGCTGTATTTGATAATGTCGTGCCTGGGAGAGCTTTGAGGCGTCTGCCCTTTTCCTTCAAAGACGACGCTGACAGACCTTTCAACACCAGCTTTAGTTAAGTTATCAGGGTCCTCGATCTTGGACACCATTTTAGTGCTGTTCTTGGTGTCGTCTTTCGGCTGCACTGAGTCGAGGTTCGGCGGCCCAACTGCAGACTTCGTTGCATCATTGGTGGTCTTGGCTGGCGCAGTGTCTGGGATGCTTTCAATAATATCAATCCCGGCAACAGCCTTAGAGGCCACGGCCGCAGCTTTCTGTGCATTCAGACGGTTTTGAAGGCTGATCTTCTGTTCAGGGGTAAGTCTGCTGATGCTCAGAGAGGTCTGCAAGGCAATAGCGGCGCCACGAAACATTTTCATCGTCTCTGCGTCATCGAATAAGAGCGTCATATCCTTTTTCTTGGTTCCGGACACGAAAGAAACGTCACACCAGTTGTCTTTGTGCTGGCCGTCATTGGCTCGATACGATGTCATGTCGTATACGAGGTTGACGTATTTGCCAGTCGCTGCCTGAGCTTCACTACCCTTGACGAGTATGACAGGGTCATCGATATCGCAGTCAATGCTATCGTTGATATAACGTAGTATGAAGCCTGCCTGTTGTCGGCCGTTGCCAAATTCGATCATCTTCAGCAACACCTTGGCGTCAACCGTCTTCAAGCCAGTGCTTGGGGTGATCTTGGCCTTGCAGTCTGTAGACCACGCCCAAAGAACCCTCCCAGATGATCTATCAAGGGTCTTGTCGGGGCTTCCTTGCGTCTCAACCGATAGTTGTGTAACTTCTGGCACCTTAGTATGTGGAGGCTGCGGCTGGGACTGAGCTTGTTTCTTTGGGTCTGATATCTGCTTCTCAGCCTGTGAGACAGATTGCAACTTTTGAGAGTTCTTGCTCGACAGTATTTCTGCAGCCTGTGCCTTTGACCGTAGATGAGGAGCAACGACGGCGGCAACCCGGGCGGACGCCAGATTCGCTTTAGGATCACCGTGGACGCGATTCTCAGAGGCCTTTTTTGCGGATTGATGCTCATCGATACGGTTTTGAGTTGCATTTTTCCCATTCGCGCTGTCGGATAGCTTCATATCTTTCGGGTTGAAGACCTTGACTGGGACTCCAGGACGATCGAGACCACCAAAGTTGGTAATGTTGGACAAAGTACCGCTGTTGACCATTAGTCAAGTGCCAAAATCTTCTTCAAGAGGGCTCTTACAGTTGCTGCGGACGGGGTCGGTTACTGATCTGCTTAAGTTGCTCACTACGATCTCGGCTTTCAGTGTCATGCTGGGCGGCATGCATACGACCGCCGCCAAGATCAGCCAGACCTTGAACGCTGCGAGCCTCTTCGTCGTCGATTCCCTTTTCTCCGACAGCTTCGAGTGGTCAGTCTAGTCAAAAAGGTCGTCAGGAGCCACATACCTTTCCACGCCGAGTTGGCGGTCTTTCCTACGGCGCGTGATGCGCGACGTCCAGGATCATAAGTGGTCTTTCTATTATGAGAGTTCTCCATTGGCAGTTCATCATTGCGGTTGAGACCAAGGTCACTCTGCTTCACCTGTCAGCTCTGAAGAACGAGCTGCCTCGTTGGAGACAACAGACGGCCATGGAAGAGCGTCTACAACGGCACAGAACCTACCAGCATAGCATTTCTGATGGCATTTTCGAACTCAATATTGGTAGCCATTTTTTGGCTGGAGGCAGCTTTCGCGCTGTGGAGGATGCCTCCCAAGACGTTTGGCCACCTGTTGGGTAGGTGGGCTTTCGGTGGGCGGGGTTAGGTAGGGCAAGTCAGACAGAGATGACGATTGAAGGGCCCTGGTTGTAGGAGGAAAATCAATGAATCAACTGGTAGGTAGGCCTAACAGGTGGGCAGAGGCGGAGGGCCTTGAGACTGGGAAGGTGCAAGGTACATCCAGGTCTTGCCTCGCGGATAGGACCCCGATGAATACCTACGTCACTGTATGCCCTTTGGTAAAGCGTAGGTAGGACTTAAAGCATCTCAATGGGTTAAAGCATGACCCCTTTCCAAGTGGCGCAGGCGCACTTGATTGTTGAAATGAAGCAGCGTGCTTCTGAAGAGGAGGTTTTGTTGAATGTATCTGTGGGTGGAACCAATGTTGGATCGATGCCTGGTGGCATGGACCTTTTGAATCTAGCCCTGTGTGTCAGTACATGAGAATGTCAACATTCATAAGTACAGGGTGTGTGAGTTACATGCTCACTTCCGCAAAAGAGATCTCTCTACCACGGCGCCTCAAGCCAACTCGACTAAGAAGAAAGACCAGGATAAGGGATGGTTGTATCAGTTTGGGGCTTTGTTGAACGGGGCTCTTAGTTCTGGACGGAGGAGGGCGCTTTCAGTACGTTGGTATGACCTTCAAAGTCTATGAGGAAGACGCCGGAAAGCATCTCCTGGGTGAAATCGCATCGGGTGGCCAATGCTGGGCTGGTTCGAGGATTTGTTGTCAGGGTTACAGAAAATGGCAGGCGAGAAGCGTCAGTTCCAGAATAGGTAGCGGGAGTATCAGGAGTGCCCTTTGTTTTTCTCAACTGCTGCCTGGGAATTCTTCACCGGTGTCGTCAATCTGAGCAAGATATGCCGGATTGTCTTCGGGCTGTGGGCTCAAGTGAGCACCTACCTTGTTTAAAACTTCTGCCTGGATCCGAGTTGACTTTAAACCAGGCGACGAGAACCGTATTGGGGGATACTCTTGAGTAATCCACTGAATGCCATGACCACTGTTGTGAATGATAATCCCCTGGAGGCAGGGTTTGATGTAGTGAATCCCGTGCATTGATACACACTCATAATACTTGAATAGCAGCATTATCAGCCTTGAGACACACTGCATGGGGAGCTGTACTCGTGGACAAATCATCATACACATAGATGAATCAAAGGCAACACGCAGGAGGATAGTCATGATGAGTGAATATTGGTAGATCGTTATGTGACGTTGTTGGATTGATCATCTAGTCATGATAACTTTAAAAAGCCAAACGCTGTCCTACTCCCAGTTTTGCTCTATCTCATTTCGCAGCAGCATCCTTGGGGGGACCGCTCAGGTTGTCCTTGCCTTGACGTCCGACGTTGCTCAGATCCGCGTCGTTCTTAGATGCGGGTTCGCGAAGACCGGCCTGCGCGGCGGAACCAGTTCCAATGTCAGCCTCAGCGTCGCCGCCGCTGCCGACGTTGACCTTGGATGCGTCGGCGGATTGCCAATCGGAGGCGACAGGGGGCTGCTCGGGAAGGGGGAGGTTGGCGCGGGTCTCTTCGATCTTATCCCCCTTGGGAACGTGCATGTTCGTCATTTCTACGACTGTTAGGAAGGACACAAACTGCGGCTGAATTCAGGCAGACATACTGATTGTTGTCGTTGGGGGTAGTGCGAATAGTAGCGGGTGTTTGATGTTTGAGGATGGAGAGACTAGCAGGATTGGACGGTGGTATGGATGTGTAATGTATCAGTCAATGAGATAAAAAGGTCTTCTTAAAGGTTGTTCTTCTTATATGAAGCAGATCGCCTCAAGCTCCAAAGCTCCTAGACCCCGCTGACGTCAATGACGTCAAGAATGAAGTCAGATTCGACGGAAACCATACCGATCCTCGATCTGTGGAGAAGTGTCACACTTTGGCCTCTTGTAGATGCGTTGCCCTCGCAGGTACCTTGTGCAGGTGGAGTATTCAATGTAGTCTGAAGAATTTTGATATCCATATCTGCGATTGAAGGCTCCTCGGCAGGCAAGACTGTTGTACAGAGAGATCGCGATCCGTGGGTCTGGCTGGGAGCAAACACTCCTATCAGATCACAGCTCCACACATCACCCACGCGTGTCAAGGGTCATCACTAGCTAAGGCACAGAATGCCGTGCATGGTTTGTCAAACAGATCCTTTCAGGCTATTGCCCTCGTGTCGCGATCCTAGGTACGGATGCTCTAGCCCCAAACGCCTAACTCTCCCAATGGAAGATACCGGAAACCTTGTCATATCAAAGCGCTCAGGTACAATCATGTCATGCCTTCATTCTTGGCGCGCCATCCCCACTAAGTTACACGACGCTTTCTCCTCAGGATCCTCAACCCATTCTCTTGTCTGTCTCTGCAGAAGTTGGGATTTCTGCTTCAGGGTTCAGGTAATTGGCATCCTCGGCCGCCTCATATTCCTGGATCAGGTCCTGCACCACCTGACGAGACTCGTCGAATTCGTTGAGGTTCTCTGCGAAGGGAGCCGTTTTCTTGTAGCCCTCCATGAAGGCATTTCGTTTCCGCATACCATCAAACTGCTTGACGATTCGTTTGAACAGCTGCGGTTCATTAGCTAGACGGCCTTGTATCATGTTTGGATAGCACCATGTGCGGACGTACCGTGGCAATGCTCGTGTGGTTAGCTAGCATCAGCCCGCTAACACGGTGTGCCATTGGAATGTAGGGACTCCGTTTTGTTAATGCGACCTGGATGCTTGCAGGACCCCAGGGGATAAAAGTTGCCAATCTTCGCTCTCGGATGCGAAGAAGACTCTTGTGGACATCAGTCGGGTCAACTTCGCCTTGAATGACGTTGAGAATAGAGATGTAACAGCTCTTCTTCCCAGGTTGCGTTGACACCATCCTGTTCTTAGGTTGAAGAAGCCGCCTCATCACGTCCAGCACTGTGGTCTTCCGAACAGTCTTTGCCTGCTCAACTTGGTCGCCAGTAAACGGGGTGTAGGATGTCATCAGGAAGTGACAGCGTGGGGTCGGGATGAGGGAGGCTAAGATGCTGACAAGGTCGTTGTGCATATAGCCAGGGTATCTCAGGGTCGTGGTGCTCGCAGACATGACAGTGGAAACCTAGCTGGTCAGCATGGTGCCTTGCGATAGAGACAGACATGACGTACAAGTTGATTAGTTTGTGCAAAGGACGGCTCGTGGACGTGCAGTCTGTCGGCGGCGATCCTTGACAAAGCACCGTTGTCAAGCACCACCACAGAGTCCGCATTCTGTGTTAAACGTCGCATGGCCAGCACGCTGTTGTAGGGGTGAACAACGACATCGCCAGCGTTCGTTGTGTCGGGAAAGACGGAGTAGGTCTGTATGATCTTCTTCGGAAATCGGTCATTCAGACGCTCGAGGAGAAACGACCCAAGTCCAGATCCAGTACCACCTGCGATGGAGTGCAGCATCATGAAGCCTTCGAGCGAATCGCTACCATCGGCCTCACGGTCAATCATCTCCATGATGTCCTCAAACACCTTCTCGCCAGTCTGGTAGCCGTCACCCCAGTTGTTGGCTGCACCCACACCATCTTTGCTGACGTAGAAGTTTTCGGGATTGTATATGTTCTTGTAGGGTCCTGTTTGTATACCGTTGATGACGCGTGGTTCAAGATCAATCAGAATGGCTCTTGGAATGTATCTCGTGTCGTCGCTCTGATAGTAAAAGACGTCTTTTCGGTCGCCACCCTCGGTCGCGAAGTCTTCAAGGTTGCCGTCTTGACTGATGCCATGTTCCTGACACAGTTGCTGCCAGAACTGACTGCCAACTGCAGAATCGTTAGCATGTACCTCCAGGCGGTATGAGGCTCGCGGCCCGAACGCGGTCAATGGCGGGGTAACTGACTGCTGTTGCCGCACTGGCCGGCCTGAATTGTGATGATCTCCCTGTTGTCTGGTGTTAGTGATAGTCATGAATCCTGTGGAGCTTAAGCGAAGTACCTCGGCATGCTGATAGCTGGCGTATGGCTTGTCGAGAGCGCGTTGGTAGTAGAACCGTCGTTACCTGCTATCATGCACAATTGATGCGGACCCGCGATGCTCGACGCGTTCCTCCCTTATCGATAAGCGTTGGGTACCTTCACCCCTGGCTTCCTGATTGGGCCTTAAGGAAACCAATCGCTACCGGTCGTTCTACTAGGGAGGGAGATTCTCAGTCCGTGGCTGCGTCGCCGATTCAGGGGAGCGAAGATGGATTACTGATAGTCTCATTCCATAGTCAAGGTAGCCAAGTCGCGATGACAGTTCTTTGCTGTCGCGCTGGCAATTCATTGTTTTCAAGTCGAGGTACAGCGTTCTGCTGAGCACATTCATTCCCGCCCAACCGCCGTAGATCTCAAGATGGCATTCACTTTAGGCTGTCGCACCAGCTTTTAGCATACGCGGGAAGGACCCGCCTGCTGCGCCACCTGTTACGTTCCAAAGTCTAAAGGACTACACTCAAAACTCTCAGAATGGCAAGTTGCATTTGTCGTTCTGCGACATGTCGCTGCCAAAGGTCATAGCCTCGTACGTATGTGCGTGAAATCTTCTCATCTGCTTTGGCCGGCAAGATGCAATCTCGGACACCTCGGATGCGTCTCAACACGAGTCACCGCCTGACCTTGATTAAGGATTTCATGACCTGTGCAAGCCACAGGTTCAAATAAAGACGGCGCCATATTGGGATAGCATCAGCCACGGCCAGCGGGGGACCTTGACATCATTTGATGAAACGAGAAGCTAAATCTCCCTGCCTCAGCACTGATTGGCGCTGAGACAGCGCTACTGAGGCCTTGCCGAGTCACTGGGCTGGTCCTTCTTTCAGGGTTCCACCCAATGCCACAGCACCCCAACAACCCCCTGCAACCCCCTGTAGCCCTCCCAGGCGAGGATCGCTGTAGGTATCTTTTCGGGGTGAGAGACAGGGGCAAGGGTACGCTCCACGGAGGCATCCAATACCGCCCGTGTTCGCGCCGAGAATGCGAGATTGGGACTGGCACCCAGGGAAAGAGTGACTCTCCGCTCCTATTTCCTTCAACTGATCGGTCGTCTCGAGACAACACCAGCAACACCTGACTACTTCTATAGGTTGCTCGACTTGAAGTTGTTGCTTAGCGACACAACGCTTGACAGTCGCTGGTACCTGGCTTCCCGGACTAGCTACGACGATCTGACCACGACATTTCACATCCGTCCCACGTGCAGAGCCACGTCCACCCGCAGCGCATCAGTTGTTCCCCGGTCCTCTCTTCCGGCTTTCCTACGACCGAGTCTCGAATTACGCGTCTACAGCATACGGTGCTGCCAACCAAGGAATTGAGTGGACTGTCGCCCCAAGGGTTTGGATTCTTTCAGAGCTGGCGTGCGTTCCCTGGAATACCGAACAGGCCGCCCGACAACAACATCGACGACACTCCAACGAAACGACCACAGAGTGCTTGCCATGCCCTGCACTTCCCTTGACAGCACCAGTACAACCTTGCGAACCAGATCCACAACATTTCGGACACCTTCTTGACGACACCTACACAGCTCATCATGGGCGACAACCGGCGTGATGATTCTGTCTCGCCCATGACCAGAAGTCCCAAGCCGACAAGGGTAGCCATCGCTGGCTCTCCGGACCGTCCAGCGAGCCCACTGCCCTCGATTCTCAAATCATCGCCGTTGGCAGGAAGCCCGAACAATGTCGAGTCGACCACTGAAGCAAGGGACTACATGAACGGCGGACTACCGCACCGACACCAGTCGCCCGTCGATCCGCTCGGCCGACCGATACCACCGGCTCTATACGTTCCTTCGACGCTCAACAACTCGTCCGATGTGAATGACCGAACACCAGACCCGTCTTTTCTACAAGAGAATGGAGGCAACTCGGAACCCACGTCGCCAGGTGGTGGGCGTCGCAGTGTTCAGTTTGCCAGGGCCGACGTTGTGCTGGATGCGCCCCCCGCCCACACGCATTCACGAAACACCTCCTGGGACGACCCTGCCAAGTCCCTTAGCTCGTCCCTGATGAACAAATTGAAGCAGTTTGCTGGCTCTAGCACACAGATCCCTAGATCGCCGAGCTCGGGCGCCCTAGGTGAGGCCGGAAGTCAAGCTCTGAACGCATCTCCTACCGTTACCCGTGGTGGATCAAGAATACCTGGTACATTGGCAGAAGAAGGTAGCGACATTGATGCCGATGCAGAAGAGACTGCCGACGAGGGGGTTGTCTCCGACACAAGTAGGGCCAAGAAGAAGAAGAGGATGATGCGCCGGCCTCGAAAGCCTCCAATCTCCATCCCCAGCACGCCCAACATGAGGGCAGCAGCCTCCGATTCGCCCATAGTACAGAGCAGGCTAGGTCTCAGGAGACGCTTGAGCATGCCGGACCCGCCAGATCATCAACACGGCTTGTCTGAAGGCGAAGGCCGTGATCAGCTGACGACACCCTCGTGGATGAGGGGCAACTCATGGATCGTAGGATCAACGAGGTCCTTGCGCAATGAATCCCGCGACACGGGTGGTCCCTCTACGAGAGGACCGGGCCATGTCCGCCGGATCACAGTTCTTGGTGGTGGCGGCGCATCTGACGGCGATGCCATGACGCCGCGACGTCCGTTCTTCAGCGGTGAGCGAGCATCGACGTTCGGTGTGCAGAAGTGGAAGCAGGTGAAAAATACTCTGAAGCTTCTTAGGCAGAAGAAAGAGGACCGGTTCGACTTTGCCAAGTCCGCTGAGCTCATGGCTGAGCTTCGAGCTGGCGCGCCGGCGGCTCTCATGCTCGCAAGCATGATTCAGCGAGATGAGCACGGCAACAAGCGGATACCTGTACTTCTTGAACAAGTGAGACTTCACATCAGGGACAGTGCCCCCGAGCCAGGCGACGACAGCGATCGACATTGGCTTTTCACCATCGACATGGAATACGGCAGTGGGCCCAGCCGCATGAAGTGGACGATCATCCGCACCATCAAAGACGTCTACAATCTCCATGTGCGATACAAGTTTGCCATGAGTAACGACAAGTTTATACACGGAAGAGCCGACATTGGCTCGCGGCCAAAGCAACCGAAATTCCCATGGGCCGCGTTTCCTTACCTTCGTGGGGCGCGGACCAAAGACGAATCGGAAGAAGACGACATGGCTAGTGTTCGCGGTGATGACCCGGCCGAACAGACCCCTGGCGAGCGCACTGTTGACGAGACAGCCGACGAGACCGACGGCCGTCCACAGGGCGGCCGGAGAAAAAAGTCTAGGCTGGGCATGCTTGGCATGCGAAGGAGGTCAACCGGACTGACGGATCCAGGCGAGACTTCTGCACTGGAGGGACATGCGGAGATGATGCAGTCTCGACGACGTTATGTCGAGAGGCAACGGCGGGTTCTCGAGAAATACATGCAAGACATGGTCCGATGGCTCATGTTCCGTGCGGACAGCAACCGACTCTGCAAGTTCCTCGAGTTATCTGCACTTGGCGTCCGCCTGGCTGCCGAGGGCAGCTACCATGGAAAAGAGTGTTACCTTCACATCCAATCCTCCAAGGGTCTCGATTTCAGACGAGTTTTGACTCCAGAAAAAGTCATTGCTCGGCACAGCCGCAAATGGTTCCTCGTTCGGTCCAGCTACATCGTGTGCGTTGAGTCACCAGAGAACATGCTCGTATACGATGTGTACTTAGTCGACGCCAAGTTCCGGATCGCATCCAAAAAGAGTTCGCTCAAGCACATTGGCTCCAGCGGTACCAGGGAAATTGATCTGACGAAAGAGCCGCCACCTGACAAACACCATACCCTGACGCTGCACACTTCTGAACGCAAAGTCAAGCTCTTCTCAAGAAATCAGGCAGTGCTCAAGCAATTTGAAGACTCCATCGCCGAGATGTTAAAGCAGACAAAGTGGCATTCTGTCAATCGTTTCGACAGCTTTGCGCCAGTAAGACAGGGCGTATTCGCTCAATGGCTTGTCGATGGCCGAGACTACATGTGGAACGTTTCGCGTGCCATCAGTATGGCGAGGGATGTCATTTACATCCACGATTGGTGGCTGAGCCCTGAGCTCTATATGCGAAGGCCGCCAGCCATCAGTCAAAAATGGCGTCTGGACCGGCTGCTGCAGCGCAAGGCTCGAGAAGGTGTCAAGGTATTCGTCATCGTGTACCGCAACGTCGAGGCCGCCATTCCCATTGACTCAGAGTATACGAAACATTCGCTGCTAAACCTGCATCCGAATATCTTTGTCCAGCGATCGCCGAACCAGTTCAAGAAGAACCAATTCTTTTTTGCCCACCACGAGAAGCTTTGCGTTATCGATCACGATATTGCCTTTGTCGGTGGCATTGATCTCTGCTTTGGCCGGTGGGACTGTCCTCAACACCCATGCGTAGACGATAAGCCCACGGGCTTCGAGCAGAGCGAGCAGCCCAAGGATGCGCTGCACTGCCAGCTGTTTCCTGGAAAAGACTACTCCAATGCCCGCGTACAAGATTTCTACAAGCTTAACGAACCTTATGAAGAGATGTACGACAGGGGCAAGATCCCCAGAATGCCTTGGCACGATATTGGCATGCAGGTTGTAGGCCAGCCGGCGAGAGATCTTACACGGCACTTTGTCCAGCGATGGAACTACATTCGCCGTGGCCGCACAACGACCCGTCCTCTGCCATTCCTTCTGCCGCCGCCAGACGTCAAACCAGGCGAGATGGAAGGCCTCGGCCTAACTGGCACATGCGAAGTTCAGATCCTGAGATCTGCGTGCAACTGGTCACTCGGTATTGATGACCCGGAGCACAGCATTCAGAATGCCTATATCAAGATGATAGAGGATTCAGACCACTTCGTATACATGGAGAACCAGTTCTTCATCACCAGCACAGAGGTCATGAACACCAAGATTGTCAACCGCATTGGCGACGCCCTGGTGGAGCGGATTATCCGCGCCTACAACAACGAAGAAGATTGGAAGGCCTGCATTGTCATCCCGTTACTGCCAGGCTTCCAAAGCAGGGTCGACGAGCAAGAGGGTACTAGCGTTCGGTTGATTCTGCAGTGTCAGTTTTACAGCATCTGCCGTGGAGAGAATTCCATCTTTGGACGTCTTCGCGCGGCGGGCATCGAACCCGAAGATTACATCCAGTTCTACAGCCTGCGTCAGTGGGGTAAGATGGGCAGCGGTGAGCTCGTCACGGAGCAGCTCTACATTCACGCGAAGTGTATCATTGTGGACGACCGTGTGGCTCTCATCGGGTCTGCCAACATTAACGAGCGATCTTTGCGAGGCGACCGCGACTCCGAGTTGGCAGCCATTGTCCGTGACACAGACATGATCTGGTCCACGATGGGCGGCAAGCCCTACCGCGTCGGCCGATTCGCGCATACGCTTCGTCTGCGTTTGATGCGTGAGCATCTTGGTCTCGATGTCGACGAGATTCTCGAGGAAGAGAGGCAGGCAGAGCTTGACAAGGAGGAGGAAATGGCGGCACAGATGGACGAGATTTACAACGACGAGCCCATGACGCCAGGGTTTGATGCTGATGAAGCCGGCCCCAGCAACTCGGCCCCTTCGGCGAGCAACGAAGATCATCTTTGGCTGTCGGATGCCAGACGGTTTAATCGCGACGCAGATGCTACTCCTCTTTCCCGCTCTGAAGCTGCATCGATGGTCGAGGAGAAGGACCTTCGAGTGTCCAATACGGAACACGCCCTGGAGGTCGAGGGCTATGGGCCGGATCACTGGAAAGCAGCTGAGAAACGTGGTCTTGATACCGGCCGGGACTCGGTCATCATCAACGGCCGCGAGGTTCTTGTCCACAACGTGCTGGCGGAAGGCAAGGGAACACTTGAATCCCCAAAGAAGCCACACGAGCGACGCGCCTCCCTGTCGCAAGCGGAAGAGCAAGACAACTTGTCGCAGAATGACAAATTGCCACCCATGCCGGCACTCAACCGTCGCACTACGGATCAGCTCGGCCTGCTCCGTGCCAACCAGCTTCCTACCCTGCCGGCCGTCGATGACACGGATATTGGCGGGCCGCCCGTCTATCTGGACGTCAATGGACAACCATCCATGGGACCAGCCCATCCCTTGGCGGCCGACATTAAGCAAGCCCGACTCGACAAGGACTGCATGCGTGATCCCGTGAACTTTTCGTTCATGGACGAGATATGGAATCGTGTCGCCGAAAACAACACCAAGCTCTTCCGCCGCGTCTTCCGCTGTATGCCGGATTCCGAGGTTCTCACGTGGAATGATTACCGCGACTTCACCAGCTACAACGAGAGATTTGTCAACAGCATGCAGGGCAAGAAGGCGGGCGAGGAACCAGAGGTTGCCCCCGAGGCTGCGGAGCAGTCGAATGCTGCAGGTAGCGGCGGAGCCGGCATTGGTATCCCTGGCCCTGCCGCGATTGCGAAGGCGGCAACAGACAAGATGGAGGAAAAGACGGGTCTTGACAAGGTCAAGGAGCACGTCCATCCCCCAAAGATTATGGTGCCCAGCAACACTACTGGTAACGAAGAGTTCAATGAAAAGGCCGACCGTGCAGCTCGCCGCGACAAGGTCGATCATCAGGGCGTCGCACCAAGGAATGGCGCGGACCCTGAGAAGTCGATCCCATTCGATGCCCCTTCGCCTATTCTCCCTGCTGGCGACACACCCTTCCCGGCATTTGACGGAACAGAAGAACCTTCAACGTTGCCTACTCGAGAGAAGAGTCGTGATCGACGCGCGACGTTTCAGCCGACGGAGAAGGAGCCGGCCAGAGACAGAGATAGGAGCGCGTCCGGTCAGCAGAACCAAGGGTCTGTCCGTCGCCGCAGACGTGCCACTACTAAGGGCAGTCGCCGTGGCGGGACCCCCGAGGACGTCCTCCCGGCCGCGGAGGCAGAGGAGCTGCTCAACCTGATCCAGGGACATCTGGTACAGTTCCCTTACGATTGGCTGGCGACTGAGGAGCAGAACGGCAATTGGGGCTTCCAGGTGGATGGCGTTGCGCCTCTGCAAATTTAGTAAGTCGATGAATGCTAGGAGATCGTGCGGCGTAGGTATCCTTGCTAACAAACTCGCAGCAACTGATGACTTTGAGTGCTGCCCGTATCTTTTCGAGTTCCTATCATTGGGGGTAGGACATGGTCATGTCAGCTCGGCGTTGGATGGGTCGTCGCATTTCAGCATGGGGAGAAAGACGGTCCTGGACATGCCCGTTTCTACTACAGGACCAACGCGCTTTGTAGGGTAGCCTTTGCATTGTAGCCTGGCCTTCGCATTCATGTGTGGTTGATTAACATTGCCTTCTTTGGGCGATTTTTGCATTTGATTTCTATCCATCTTGCACAGTGGTGTTACACATATTTCTTCCCATGGTAAGCCAACCCATGGTACGGCCATCCTACAATTTCCGCGTCCGTCACCGTACAAATAACAAGGCAACCTATATCCGCCCTCTTCCTCTCTTCCTCTCTTCGTCTTTCTCGACATTGAGGGCATCGTGGAAAAGTCCTGTCGGGGGAAGCACCGCTCAGACCTTCTCGCTCACCCAGATGGCGCCCTTGCAGCCGGCGCGAATGACGCCGGTCAGCAGCCAGTGGGGCTCCGCCTTTTTGGCGTCGTGCTCGACGGCGTGGTCGAGGTGCTCGAGCTCCTCGTCGCGTATCCTGCGCAGCGTGGCGATGAGGTCTGTGAGCTCGGGGCCGACGTCGTAGCCGTCGTCGCGCCAGCGGGCGACCATCTCGAGCAGGACGCGGATCTGGGCGTTGTAGTGGTCGCCAATCTCCGTCTCGACGGCCTCGGTGCAGGCCATGGCGGCCTCGCGGCCGAGGACGGCGGTGCCCCAGCCGAGGCCCGTGGCGAGGACCTGCCAGAGCGGGTAGAGGGCTGTCGGGCGGACGCGGTGCTTGGCGAGCAGGGCGTTGAAGGTGCGGAGGTGGCCGGCCTCCTGGTCGTACATGTGCTTCATGAGGGGCCGGAGATGGGGGTGGCGGGTGACGATGGGAGGCGTCTGGGCTGTGTAGATGAGGGTGGCGGCGAGCTCGCCGGCCTGGTTGACGCGCAGCTGGGAGAGAGAGAGAGAGGACGTCAGTTTCGGTCTGGAGTTTTCCGCGCATGCGGAGTGCGGGCAGCGGGCGTTCATACGGCAGAAGAGAGAAAGTCGCGTTGCTCTTGGGTCAATGGCTTGAGCTTGGGAGGGGTCGTCGGGGAGGATGTCTGGGTCGTCGCATTCGAGGTTGAGGTTGAAGAGAGCTCTCGGCTGGCGACGAACGAGGGGCGGGCCAGGTGGTGGAGTGGTCTGGCAAGGGCCAGGTGTGGCCTGAGAAGACACCGGCTGCAAGACATGGTCGGATCGTGTAGTGCAGTTACGGGTTGGGAAAGGAATGGTGGGTGCAGGTGAAGTCGTAGAGTGAAGGACCCATCATGATCATCGACTCGAACACTGATGATCGAACGACAAAAGAGTGGCCCACTCCGATAAGGTACGTACCTTATGCAGCGCCTTATGCAGCACCGTAGCACCTGGTACAGGATGCGGATGACATAATCGTCCGACAAGGCACAGGCACAGCACGTTCGTCGAGTCGCGACTTTGGATTCGTCGCATCCCGTTTCCCAACGACCAAGTTCCTTTTACCTTTTTCTGGGAGAGATCCGCCCCCGAACACGAAACCCTGGCATCCTTCTTCCCTCTCCCTCCTCCCCCCCCATCGACCCGAACCCCGCCAACGCCGCCGTCACACATCGCACACAGGTCATCATGAGCAACATTGACGACGAGCTTCTGGCTCTTGCAGGCGGCAACGACTCGTCCGACGAGGAGGAGGTCATGTCGGACAGGGACAGCAGGGCCGACTCTGCCTCTCCGCCTCCGTCCAAGAAGGCTGGTAGTGGCGCGAAAAGGGGGGCCAGGGGCCGCGGTGACGATGATTCAGATGCCGAGGAAGGCGAGGCGTAAGTTGCCACGCCCCATCGACGACGTTCACGACGTTCTTTCTTCTTTCTCCTGTTGCGCCCGTTCCTTCGTTCGTTTCCAAGAGCCAGACCTCCTGACGCTGCGCAGCTTCTCGCCACCAGGCAGTCCCAAATCCGACGGCTCAGCAGCCATGGACGAGTCCGACTCGGAAGCCGAGGGCTCAGCCGACCCAGACGACGAAGACAAGTACCCCGTAGACGGCATGTTCCGCAGCGCCGCGGAGAAGAAGCATGTTATGGGCATGCGCGAGGTCGAGCGTGAGTCGCTGCTCGCCGACCGCCAGGCCGAGATTGAACGCCAGCAGCAGAACCGCATGCTGCGGCAGCTCGTGGCCAAGCAGGAGAACGAGGAGAAGAAGAACAAGGTCAAGAAGCGGACGGCCGATGCCGCCGACCTCGACGACGAGGACTCCCACAAGTCGGCCCGCCAGCGCACCGAAACGAGCAAGACGGGCGCCGCCATCGACTCGCTGCGCCGCGCCCGCGCCGAGAAGAACGACCGCGCCCGCGCCCGTGAGGAGAACCGCCGCACGGGTCGCGACTCGCCTCACCGTGACCGCCGACACTCGTCGTCGCGATCGCGTTCGCGCGACTCGTACGACGGCGGCCGCCGGCGCTCCTTCTCCCAAGACAGGCACTCGCCGCCCCGCGAGCTGCCGCCGGCCACGATCCGTGATTTCGAGCGCATTCGTGTCGGACGCAGCCGCTTTGCCCAGTACTGCTTCAACCCTGGATTTGAGAACGCCATCACGGGCTGTTACGTCCGCGTCAGTCTGGGTCCTGACCCCAAGACGGGACAGGACGACTACCGCCTGGCCAAGATCAAGGGTACGTGTTTGTTCCGGAGTGACTCGTCCTCGGGCTTTCTCGCTGACGATTGGCAGGCATCGCCGTGGGTAAGCCCTACGCGCTCAACGGTCCCAGCGGGTCTTTTGTGACGGATCAGTACGTGATCGCGGCGCACGGCAAGGCGGAGAAGGAGTTTGCCTTTATTTTCTGCTCCGACAAACCCGTCACAGAGGTGAGACTGGGCCGAATGTTTCCTTGACCTGGGGGGTCCCTCTCCGAGCCCTTGACTGACAGGCAGCACAGCGCGAATTCAACCGCTACGTGACGACGCTGCAGGTGGACGGCATGGCGTTCCCCAAGACGCAGGTGCTCCTCAACAAGATTGACGACATCAACAAGTTTGTCGAGCGCAGCCTCACGAGCGCCGAGATTGACGAAAAGGTGGCGCGCAAGAACGAGCTGCGGAAAAAGTTTGACCCCGAGCGGCGCGACCGTCTGCGGTGGGAGATGGAGGAGGCGACGGCGGCCGGGCACACGCGGCGGATCGCGGAGCTGCAGGAGGAGCTGGACGACCTGCTGAGCAACCGGCTCGCGTTCCGCACGACGCTCGACGCGCCCAAGACGACGTCGACGAACGCGGCGCAGCAGGACCGGCTCGCCGACATCAACCGCGAACGGCGGCGCCAGAACGCGGCCAACGTCGGCAAGGCGCAGCTCAAAGAGAAGCACGAGGCGCGCAAGAAGGAGGCGGCCATTGAGCGCGGCGAGGTGACGGACATTGACCTCTCGCGACGCATCCGCACCAAGACCAAGTTTGTGCACCAGAACCACCAAAAGGCCGAGGACAGCGCGGCGAGCGGCCACGGCACGCCGGCCAGCGGCACGCCCAAGATGGCGGCCGCCAAGAAGGAGTCCGAGGTGCTGCCGCACATTGCCAAGGCGCTGGAGAACGCGCGCAAGGCGGACAAGAAGGGCCTGCCCGTGATCCACCGCCCCATCTGCGACGACGACATCATCGGCGAGATTGACCTCGAGCTCGACGTCGACTTTGACTGAGGGCACACCGCGGACGTAGGGCAGATGGATGTACTTTTACCTTGTGTACGTGGAAAAGAGAGAAAAGAGAGGCGAGGGGTCCTAGACGGGGTTCGGCAGGGGTGACGATTCAGGCTTGGTGGTACCGGCGTTGCGGGCAGAGAGGTTCTTCTCACACACACACACACACACACACAAACAGTCAGTAGCAGAACATCTAAGCGGGACAACAAATAAGGGCGGCCAGCAGCTTCTACAGAACAGATCACATCAGACAGAGCAAGGCAAGATGGAGGCATAGCCGGCGAGAAATAGGAAAATGGAAGCGCTGTGATTTGACCTCTCGATGTCTGGACACAAATGCAAGGCAGGGCGAAGGTGACTTCAGGGGGTTCTGGCCGAGGCAGTGGATGATGTCAGCACGGAATATCGGCGAGCACCACCACCGAGCTCCGATGTGGGTCTGCGCACCCCCCCCCCAAACATGTCGAAGCTCCGACGCTCTCCTTCCTGTCTCCAAAAATCGTCAATTGGGAAACCTGGCCAGCTGCAACGAAAACCTCAAGTCAGCCAGCAGCAGCACCTCGCAGAAACCTCGCAACAACCTCCCCAGCCGCCATGAAGGCCATCACGAGAATGCCGCGCCACGCCATTCCGCGCATCGCGACGGCCACAGCGCCCCTGCTGCGCCAATCCCATCGCAGCCTCTCCTCGACAGTCTTCAAGACGGCAGACGTCGCGCCCGTCGTGGGCACCGGCCCGCCGCCCGAGGCACCACGATCCGCCGCCGAGTTCTCGGCCGAGAGCAAGCTGGGCCAGGAGGCGGCCGCCAAGCTGGCGCGGCGGAAGAGGCAGGCGGAGATGCTCGAGATGGCCCAGGAGATCCGCAACGCCGCGTCGATGAAGGGGGTCAAGGGCGGTCTCAAGAGGCGGTTCTGGAAGGAGGTGCGCGTCGAGGAGGTGGACGGTACGCTTCTCTTCTCTTCCTCTCTCTCTTCCTCTCTCTCTTCCTCATACACACACAAGACTCGGCAAGAGACACACGTCAGGGTGACTGACAGACGGAAAATGGTGAACAGGCGCCCTGCAGGTCATGCTCGACAACCGCCCCCTCCGCCACCCAGGCACCACCAACATCATCCGCCTGCCAACGTCCAAGCCGCACCTCGCCTCGGCCGTCGCCATCGAGTGGGACCTGCTGACGTCCGCCTACCAGGCGACGAAGCAGCACCTCATCCCCCTGACATCGCTCATCTGCCGCGCCATCGACATTGAGGCCAACGACAACGGCGAGGAGGTCCCCTCAGCCTCGGCTGCCGCGGCTGCCGCTGACGGGGAGGCGGCGCCAGCGGCACCGGCGCCCTTCTCGTCGACGGCGAACCCGGACGACGTGACGATCCGCGCGCAGATCGCGACCACGCTGATGCGCTACCTCGACACGGACGCCATGCTCTGCTGGGCGCCGCCGCCGGGGCCCATGGACATCCGCAACGAGGACGGCGACGGGCTGCGCGACGTCCAGGAGAAGACGGCTGTCGACGTGCTCGCCTACCTGCGGGCGCACGTCTGGCGCGGCGTCTCCATCGCGCCCGTGCTCGAAGGCAACGCCATCGTGCCGCGGCCCCAGGCCGACGGCGTCCGCGACATTGTCAAGGCCTGGGTCCGCGGGCTCAGCGCCTGGGAGCTCGCCGGCCTCGAGAGGGCCGTGCTCGCCGGCAAGAGCGTCGTCGCCGCGAGCCGCCTCGTCGTCGAGTGGAGCGAGGACGAGCCCGCCGGCGGCCTGCGGCCTGCGCGCGAGGCCGCCGAGGACAAGTTCGGCGTCGAGCAGGCCGCTGTGGCGACGAGTCTGGAGGTCGCCTGGCAGACTGGCCACTGGGGCGAGGTCGAGGACACGCACGACGTCGAGAAGGAGGATCTGCGGAGGCAGTTTGGCAGCGTTGTGCTGCTCGTCTCTGGCCTGAACAGACGGTAGACGTCAGATCGTGCCGACTTTTTTGCTGTAGGATCACGTATGTATCATGTAACATCACCTCAACTGTACATTACCTGATGCCATTTACAAAACTCAGACCGCCACATTTTCCTTTTCATCGACACAGTAATGAGCTGCAGAGATGATGTTGCGTACGAAGCCCAGACGGTAGCTACTCGTAATGACCCATTCGAAACCTTACACTAGTACCTGCCAGTGAGCGTATATCAATGAGGTACAGGGCCGGTCAGCTGCCTTGCGTTGGAACACATCTCCTTCGTCTCCTGCTCTTCACCTTATTCTTCTACGAATGTGGTCAGGTCTTTTTTCACCACAACCAAAATTCATGCACAAGAATGACTACAGCTCCCGCCTTGCGCCGCGGTCTACATCGGTGAGAGAGCATCCATGCTCTTCAAGCATTCAGACTGCTGCCTCATGCTCATGACCATGTTTCCATCCCATAGTGTCTCCTGTTGAACCTTCTTTTTCATGCTGTTCATCACCAAGCCAAATGTCTTCAATGAACACGGTCATGATGGGGCTGGATAACGATCGTTCAGAGCTAACATTGTTGATGAGAAAGACCTGTGCCAGCGACACCGTTTAGGCCAAAGCAAGTTCGATAACAGTCAAGAAACCCTAACCCGTTGAACTGCATGGCTCCATTGCTCAGATCTTGTCGTAAGATCAGAACCCCTTAGCCACAACATGCATGCATCAAAGCCAAACCAACTGAGAAAAGAATTTGTGCAACCCGGAACTAGAATGGTTCGTAAGAGTCGGTCCAACTGCCGACATTAGTACCCATCATACGTCCACTGTCCCGCCTCTGCGGGAATCTCTCCTTTGGTTATGGCATTCTCCTGCTGGTCTTCTGGGATTTTACTGATGATGATGTTTCGGCACGTCAAGGCGAATCGTCGTTTGCCGCTGGGTTCGACCTTATGCTGAAAGACACGTTGTTAGAAGACATCGCTCCAAGGGGTTTAGCATTGATCAACTTACGTCGTACTGCTGGTGGACTTGAGCCCCATGCATGACCACCATGTCGCCGTGGTGAAGGGGAAACGCGAGCACTTGGTTGCGCGCCGTACTTCTGGTTCCCTTCTTTGTCTTAGGGTTGTACTTTGTCTTCTCTGCGAACAGCATGCGCGCAGAGCTTCCAAGAGACAGAGTTGCAACCGTGGGTCCCAATGTGTCTTCGCCATCGTCGTGGTACTGCGGCCGAGTGGTTAGCTCATGGCCGTCACTCAGTAAACGGGCTGATCTCTTACACTAATGGCATCATCCTCCATGTACCCAATGGTCAGCAGTTCATTGAAGTCAACGAACTTCGTGTCCATTGATGGCGACTTCAGTGCATGCCCTTCCTCAAAGCCGTCATTACTTGCTTGCACGGATTTCCGTCCCGCCCATTGCATCCGCTTGAGAGCTTGCATGACGTACGGCGGCGCCTCTTTGAAGCTGGTGGAATTGACAGCCACAACAAACTTATAAGGGGCGCCCCAGTTCCGCTGGAAATTGCGTGTCATGATCTCCGATGAGGCTGCTCAACTTCGTCAGCATGCATGAACAACCGAAGGGGGCGATTGCAAATCTTGAAGACTTACTCCCAGGACATTTGACAGCATTGCGTTTGAAGTCATCGCCATATGTAGCCGCCTCCTGAATGTCCATCCACAGATGATTTGGGCCGTTCTGAGTGTTGTTGATGGCATCTGTAGCACGGAAGATAAGGACAGTCCCACAACATCGACCCTTGGCCTCCATGTCAGGCAGGAAGTATTGCTCGACCTTGTGACCACAGATCATCAGGTCTCGCCGGACAAGGAGATCGTTCTTCTTGACCTGCAAAAGAGTCTTGCGCTTGGTGGTTTCGGCTCTGATGTCCTCGATGGATAAGGGACGTGGCGCAGCTGGCAGTATATAGTTGCATTCCTTGTTATCGCACGACCATCGATTCCAGTAGACCCTGCGACTACAGCCGTGGCATTGAGGGCAGACCATACTAATTCGAGCTGCCTTTTCTGTGCCACAACCTTGGCTGGGGTTCGGCATCGGAGGGATCAGGGAATCTGGAGGCGTAGGAAAAGTGGTGCGCTCAGAAAGAAATGCCTCTGAGTATGTGAGAGCGCCAATGTCTACCTCGGCAGGAAATTCGAATGCTCTGGAGCAGCTGCGGTTATTGCAGGTCCAGCCCTCGTCGAATATGGTCTTGCTTGCGTGCTTGCATTCGCTGCACCAGGCAATGATGGTGGCCGAGTGGCCAGCATAGGAGAGATCGGTAAGTGACGTTCCGTCGGCGAGCGTGAAATGCTGCTCGCAGTTGCCATTGAGGCAGGCCCATCCTTGTGCAAAACTATACATGGATATGACACCACAGTGAACACAGTTCAACTTTCCGTGGGGGAAAGGTCGGGGTTCGACAGTCTGTGTAAGGGCATCACAAGGCTGGCACCAGGATGGTGTGGTGCGGTCGGTTCGTTCAAGGCGGATCTTCCAGAAGAAGATGTCATTCTGTCCATCCTTCTCAATCCACATGTCCGTGACAGTGAACCAGTCAAGGACATTGTAATTGTAAAGGACTCGTACTGAGGCCAGTGTGCATTTACGCCCTGATCGAGGCCATGTGAGCTTGATGATTCAAAACAGCATGAGTACGAGGTGAACAGACCAATAATGACAGCGACTGGCACATCTCTTTTGAAGGCTTCTCTGCACTGATTCACAATGCAGTCACGCGTCTCGTTGACGCGTACGGACATCTTGGTCGTTGAGTCTTTCTGACGACCTCCGCCCCTGTGCAAATAGTCGTCAGCTCCAAGTATTATAGCAAAGGCAAAAGAGTCAGGCTGAGGGATCCAGACAGCGTTATTTGCATGATTTCGTGTGCATTTTATTGAGAAGACCGACTGGAGTGCCGTTCTACAGCAACAAGGAGAAAGACTCACAAAGTAGATATGATGACATCTGGGGTCACGATATCCCGGATCGTCGACTCGCCATCGAGCAGAAATCCTCTGAGAACGCCATCAATGGGGTAGCTTCCGGCTTGGTGTTGTTTGAAGTACCACAGAGAATCACACAAGGCCTGTCGATTCTCCGACCAGACTACAGGTCTACCCAATGGCGACGCCTGTGAGAGTGACATGGTATCTTGGCTTCGAAGATGTGATCTCGTGAGAATGATATGAATGTACAACAAGAACTGTAGACGCTTTGAGGAGCTATTCCTGGTTACAGAGAGGGAGGCCAGTTCTCTTCAAAGAGGCTTTGCTGTTGATGAGGATCAGCAAAGCATTTGGGAAGGCCAGACGCGAATGAGGTGCGCCGCCATGACATGCCCTCAAGTGAACAGCATCGAAAGAGAAGGTTCACGGGGAGATCTTTTGTCAGCTTACCTTTGAAGTCCCTCGTCTTGGATTCTTCAGAAAGATTCAGATACGTTCTTGAAGCCTTCTCAAGCGTCTGCTTGAGTTGACGCGTCGTGTGGTAATCGACGTGAGGCGTTCGATACTTATATGTTTACTTCTTGACCACCTTCTTGGTGACTCAAGTTCCTTGAGTGGTAAGAGGAGACCGACGCAGTGAAAAGGGGTAAGGAATCGCACCGGCACGGCAGGTTGATTCAGGGAAACGTATGCTGGACTTGGAAAGGGGATTGGTGTCCGAGACGATATGGTTTCAGAAGCCGCGATCGATCGAACATATATAGGTGTGGGAAAACTGAGTGTGGCCAGTGAAGAAGGTGGCAGTGACTCGCCAGAGAAGGGGCGATGGCATCGTGCCTGCCGTCATGTCGAGGGCGCCGCTGCCGCGACAGCAATTCACGTGGTCGCCACAGTAAGCGAGCCATTCTCACGGCAGGGCCGTTCCTGCTTGTCACCGATTCGAGGCAGTCGTGGTGATGCAGAGCGCTGCCATTTTATGGCACGTGACGAGGGCCACCAACCCAGGGGCTGCTGAGGCAGTGTTGACCGTAGGGTCGAGTTGAGAGTTCACGGCTTATGGGCATGCTCTTATATAAAGATGGTCGAACTTATCGTCATTTATTGTCCACAGCGAGTGATGAGGACATTTCCCCTGTGAATCGAACCGCACATGAATTGATGCAGTGGCGAGCAGGAGGGGCACTGGTCCGAGAGCCAGGGTCAATGGATGAGACGACCAAAGATGAATGAGCCAGACAATGCATGCAAAAGAAGAGGTTTAAATAGTGAGAGACACATCCCCGTGATACCTGATCACACAACGGTGAATGAACAAATGTGTGCCCCTGGGAGCAAAGAACTGACATTTGTGATGCAGCGCGTGGCATGGGAAAGCCGGTCCCCATCGGGTTTGTTGTCAAACTCCATGATTGCCATTACGGATATAAATCCCGTGGGCTGCTTGATTGTGGATTGCCCTCACAACTGAGCAATCGAGCAATGGGCAATTGGACGACAGAGGAGCAAAGACAGCAGGTATAGCCGCAGCCGAGGCAAATGACATGGACAAGCTGACTCAGAGTTGGTATGTGTCGTCTGTCGTCGGCTTCTCCGTCGGCTTTCCATTTTCGAGTTACCATCCATCTCCCCTTAACCCCGGCCATGTCTGCCTCTTCCCCAACCTTCTGACGCTAGGCGCGTCGACCAAAGTGCGGAGAATTGCAGCGCTATGCCTATTCAAGGATGGCATCCCTACCCCATATCGTCACGAAGATCCCAAAAACGGGGGGCTGAGGCCCGTTGTGCTGCTTGTGCACGACTCGGTTCACCTCTCACCATGCGCCAGAGGCCCCAAAGCCGGCTCATGGCTCCATGAGGGGATCGTTTCCACTCCCAGCGGCCCCCAGAGCTCCAACACCCAGGTTATAAACGCCGATGGCCGCCTCACCATCTCCGAACGACGACCGACTCGCCCTTTCATATCCTGCCGACCTTCGCTGTCTGACGACCCAGTTCGCTCTGCTTCATCCCCCTCCGATAACGAAACTTCACAGCAGTCTGCATTGACCGCCGGCTTTTGAAATCCGAAAGCCCAGTGTCGTGCACCAAGCTCAGTCTCGGTAAATCCCCATACGCCTCTCACCCACACAAGCGCAAGCGACACTCTCACTCCGACGCACCGAACCCGTCGCTGCTGCGACAACGACCAACATGGTTTTCACATCACCAGCATGGGTCCCCAAGCTGCCAATTGGTATGAGCCACTGCTTCCAGACGAGTCGACTGTCCCCGGCTGGTCGAGGTGTGAGCTGACGATGCCCCCCCCTCCCCCACTAGACCCGCCCGACTCGATCACAATTGACGAGTTTATGAACACGGAGAAATATGGCCGCTACGCCGGCGCAAAGTCCAGAAACCCCTACACCTGCGGCCTCACCGGCAAGACGTATACTATCCCCGAGGTCAGGCAAAGGGTCGACCACCTGTCACGCGCCATCGGCAAGAAGCTCGACTTCGCGCCCAACGAGGGCACAGAGTGGGACAAGGTCGTGGCCCTCTTCTCCCTCAACACGATCGACTACGTTCCCCTGACCCACGCCGTCCACCGCCTGGGTGGCGCCGTGACGCCCGCGAGCGCCGCCTACTCGGCACCCGAGCTCGAGCACCAGCTGCGCTCCTCCGGTGCCCAGGCCCTCTTCACCTGCGAGCCCCTTCTCGAGACGGCGCTCAAGGCCGCCAAGGGCGCCGGCATCCCCAACGAGCGCATCTTCATCCTGGCCACGCCGGGCAGCACCGCCAGGCTGCCCTTTGCCACGCTCGACGAGCTCATCGAGGAGGGCAAGAAGCTGCCCGCCGTCGAGCCTCTCCGATGGGCCAAGGGGCAGGGCGCCCGCCAGGTTGCCTACCTATGCTACTCCAGTGGCACGTCTGGCCTGCCGGTATGTCGTCCGTCGTATTCTTTGTTTTCCCTTCCCTGTCCCATCTCTTCCGTGTTGTCATCCTCCGCACGACACCTACTGACGACCTCCTGCGCCATGAGTAGAAAGCCGTCATGATCTCGCACCTCAATGTCATTGCCAATATTCTGCAGTACACAACCTTTGACTCTGTCGCTCGGAAAAAGCTCAACATCGAGACCCAGGTCGACCTGGGCCTGCTGCCGTTCAGCCACATCTACGGCCTCATCATCATCACCCACAGCAATTCCTACCGCGGCGACGAGGTCATCGTGCTCCCCAAGTTTGACATCAAGACCTTCCTCGGCGCCGTGCAGCAGTACAAGATTTCCCAGCTCTACGTGGTAGGTTTTTGCCCGCCAAGACAAAGCAACGTCAACCTCAGTGCATCAGAGACCTAGTTCTGACGTCTGCCGTTTCGTTTAGGTGCCCCCGATCGTGATCCAGATCATCCGCAGCCAGCAGCTGTGCAGCCAGTACGACCTCGGCTCGGTGCGGTACCTGTACGCGGGCGCCGCGCCGCTGGGGTCGGAGACGATCGACGAGGTGACGAAGCAGTACCCGGCGTGGCACGTCGGGCAGGCGTACGGCATGACGGAGACGTGCACCGTCGTCAGCACGACGAGCGAGCACGACATAGACCAGGGCTCGTCGGGCTCGCTGGTGCCGGCGTGCCGGGCCAAGATTGTCGACCCGACGACGGGGCGCGAGATCACGGCGTACGACACGCCCGGCGAGCTGCTCGTGCAGGCGCCGTCGGTGGTGCTGGGCTACCTCAACAACGAAAAGGCGACGGCCGAGACGTTTGTCTGGCTCGACGACGGCCGCTGGATCCGCACGGGCGACGAGGTGCTCGTGCGCCGCGCCGCCTCGGGCAACGAGCACCTCGTCATCGTCGACCGCATCAAGGAGCTCATCAAGGTCAAGGGCCACCAGGTCGCCCCGGCCGAGCTCGAGGCCCACCTGCTGGCCCACGAGTTCGTCTCCGACTGCGCCGTCATCCAGGTCCCCGACGACCGCGCCGGCGAGGTGCCCAAGGCCTACGTCGTCAAGACGAAGCGGGCCGACGGCCGGTCGGACGAGGACGTCGCGCGCGCCATCGCCAAGCATGTCGAGGACCACAAGGCCCGGCACAAGTGGCTCAAGGGCGGCGTCGAGTTTATCGAGATCATCCCCAAGAGCCCGAGCGGCAAGATCCTGCGGAGGCTGCTGCGGGACAAGGAAAAGGCGGACAGGAAGGCCCAGGGCGCCAAGCTGTAATTGCTGTGAAAGATGTCGTCGTTAGTAGGCCACGCGGGGGAACAAATAGTAAGGAGTCACTAGCATGGGACCTTTTTTTTTTTTAATCTTTTGGCCGATGTCACCTCGTGAGGCTCCGAAACAAGTGACCCGGCTAGCGCGGCACTCGCACGGCCTGTGGGGGAGCTTGCGTGGGAGATGCCAACCAGGACAGAGAGAAACGCCAAGTCCGGTGTTCGTGAAGTGATGTCCATCGTGATCCATATTCATATTATCTTCAGTTCTGGCAAGACTTGTATTCTCACATTCAACAAGGGACGTAGCCCATTTCAATTGAACGGGCATTGGGCATGCCTACGCCCTGTCAAGTCTCAAGATTGTCACGACTCCACCAGCAGAAAGAGGGAACGGGCCTCCTCCGCCCCCGTGCCTGAATCCTCACACACGTCCCGGTCGGACGAAACAAGCATGCCCGGAGGGCTTGTTACATCCTACAGTGTTTCCGGAAGGAACAGGCCACAACTGACGCTCGCTTCTAGGAGTGAGGAGTTGCAAAACACAAAGTCACAGCACGGATGGGGCCCATGGGCTGAACCCTCGACGATACTCCTGTCGTCCTAAGTCTTAGGCATGGTCCGTACCTACATAAAGACACAGGGCAAGCCCGATGGGTTCGTCTTGGCCCTCCCCTTTTCTTGTCTTGGCTTCTTCTGAGAATTCTGGAAATTCTTCAGCGTCGAGCTCAGACCAGCCCACCATTTTAAGACAAGAGTAGCGACCCGCCGGTAAACCTACGATCGAAGCAGGATGTTGAACATCCGCTCATTGCTCGCGGCGCTGACGCTACTACTCCTCGTGGTGAACGCCGCGCCGAGCCCAAACCCGCAGAACCGCAGGCCAGGTGGTAGCAACGGAGGGAACGGCAATGGCAACGGCAATGGCAACGGCAATGGCAATGGCAATGGCGGAGGCAACGGGAGAGGAAACAAGCAAACGGCACAGCAGCAGGCGGCCCGGGTGCCTCAGGGAATCTCCCAGGCCACCGACGGTTCCACGATCCTCGATATGACTGCCGAAGTCAAGTAAGCCAACCTACCTGTCCCCCCATCCCTCTGTTACCCCTTAGCCGCCATGCCACCTGTGGGCCCTACTAACGGTCTCCCAAGTGGCCTCCCTCTGCGCTTCAGGGTCTCCATGCCCGCCGATCAGTTCGTCGCTGATAGCCCCGTCAACACGGCCAACCCTGTCGCGGGTGCGGCCCAGACCCCGGGCGCAGCGGGCTCCATGGGCCTCAACGTGCTCCTCCACGGCGACGGCGGCCAGTCCTTCTTCGACTTTCCCAACCAGGCGGCGCAAGCCAACCTCGCCGGCGTCGCCGTCCTCGCGCCCAATGCGAACCTCTTCTGGGGCGGCGGCCAGGGCCTCGACCGCACCGACGGCGTGGCCCACGCCCAGGCCGTCACTGACCTCGTCACCCAGACTCTGCCCCAGGTCGTGGCCTTCAACGCCTCCAATGTCTTCCTTACCGGCGTCAGCGGCGGCTCCCTCCTGCTCTCCGGCTTTGTCATGCCCGCCCACATGGACGCTTTTGGCGCTACGGGCGTCATGCTCAACTGCGGCGCCATGCCGCCCCAGGTCGCCGTCACCGACGCCAGCGCCGCCGCTCTCACCGGCGCGCGTGTGCACTTTCAGACAACAACCCAGGAGCTCGACCTGCTGCAGGGCGCCATACCTGCCGGCATCCAAGCGTACGAAGACGTCCTGCAGACCCAGGGCCTGTCGACCGATCAGATCAACGCCCTGCAGACCGTCGACGGCACACCCAACGGTGGTCACTGCGCCTTTGATGGTCAGGACTTTGTCTCTGGCGTGCAGCTCATGGCCGACAACTATGCCTCTGTGATGCAGGCCGGTGGCAGCGGTGAGGTGGCGGGTATTGGTAACGTCAAGACGGGCGTGGTTGGTAATGAAAATGTGCAATTCACGGGGGCGAACAAGAGAAGCATGGTTGGCTGACCCTAAGACCCCATAGTAATGAAAAACAGACAACAGAAAAAATAATTACTGCGGAATCCATTTCTTCCCGGTCACCCATCTAACACACCGTCCTGTGAATGCCGTCCTGCAGCCTCTTCTTACCGTGTCCCTCAAGTCTACGCTTGTGCCTCTCGTGATCTTGCTTGGTGACAGGCCGCCTGCCGTGCCCAATGTGATGCCGCTTCAGCGAGGAAAGATCGACCTGATCGTTCTCAATAAGCGTCTCCGTGACCGTTACAATGTCGGTAAGCAGGAGCTCCAAGAGGTCGAAGGTCATATTTTCGCGAACGACGACTCGCAGAATTTCCGTCTTCTCCTCGCCGGGCGGCAGAGCGTAATTGGGAATGATCCAACCCTTGGCGCGCAAGAACAGCGACACCGTCTCCTGTTTGATGTGGCTGTACTGCTTCTGGAACTCATCAGTGAGACGGAACGAAACGACGGGCAGGCCAGCAACGTAGTCCGCCGAGGTCTCGCGTTGGGTCTCTTGTTCAGCGCCCCCCTCAGTTCCAGACTTGGGTGCCCTGTCGGATCCGCCATCCACGCGGCGGTGAATGTCGGACACGACGGTATACCAGCCTGTTTCTTCCAAGCTGTTCGCCAGCAATCGTGCATTCGCGAGACAATTCTCCATAATACCGCGGTACCCGGAAAACCCAAGATGCACAAGGTTGTAATATTGAACGACAACCTGCGCACCAGGCCGGGAAAAGTTGAGCGTGTAAGACTTTTCGGTGCCACCGAGATAGTGCAACTCAAAGACGAGGAATTCTGGAAGGTAGGCTTCGTCCCGCCAGATAATCCAGCCGAGGCCTGCGCTCACAAGACCAAACTTGTGACCCGAAGTGTTGATGGATTTGACTCTTGGAAGTTCAAAGTTCCTGATAATGGAGGTCAGTTCTGTAGAGTCTATTCACAGAGCGAAGGAACCCACCACTTGGCACCACCGGCACCAGCGTCGGTGAATGGAGCGATGAAGCCGCCAGAAGCAGCATCGACGTGGATGGGAATGTCAACACCCGTCTTTGCCTCAAAGTCGTCAAGAATCTTCGAAATTTCCTCGACCGGCTCGTAATGACCTGTGTACGTGCTTCCAAGGATGACAAAGACGCCAATCGTGTTCTCGTCAATGTACTCCTTTACAAGCTCGGGATCTAGACGGAAGCGGCTTTTCGCGCTGACGGGTAGGATACGGGCCTCGACTTCGAAATACCGGGCAAACTTCTCCAGGGCGACTTGTGCGTTGGCGCCCATGATAATGTTGGGCTTGGATGCGTCCTTGCCTTCAGCCTTTCGCTTCTCCTGCCATCTGCGTTTCATGGCGAGACCACCAAGATGGATGGCTTCAGAAGAACCTGTGCAGGCGGAGCCGATTGCCCTCTCACCGGGCTGTACGCCCCAGAGGTGAGCAATGATGCTGATGCATCGCTGATGGATGTCCATCATGGCCGGATACTCGTCCGAGTCGGCCAGATTCTTCGTCAAGTTCTCCTCCATCAATTGCTGGGCATTCGGCTCGAGGAATGTGCTGACGAAGCTGTGCTGGCATAAGAAACTTGTTCCAAGTCAGGAGAGAGCATCTGTACAGGCTTACCTGGCGAGGTTCAAGTTTGGCTTGCCATCGAGATCCAGCTGGTTCCTCACCATGTGGTAGACGGTATCAGCGGGGGCGCCATCTTGAGGAATCTTGAACTTGGGGATGTTTTCTTGACTCGAATACTGGGTGTCAAACGGGTGGATGTGGGCAGCTCTCCCTTGGCTGTTCAGATTAGTGTGGCCAGGTGCCGTGATGTGAGACGCCTGGAGTCGCTGGATGATCTCGTCAGGGTCGACGTGGGTTGCAAGAGACATGATGAAGAAGATATGAAAGGATCCAATGCACTCGCGAGATGGACTGTTGTCTCATGAACGGGCGATGAGAAGCAGAGCGAGCAACGACGCGGGGGAGGGAGGCGCCATCAGAGTATAAGAGCTGAGCTCTCGCTCGAGCTGCTGCAGCTCTACCCAGCTCCGCCCAAGCTTGATACCGCATTGGGATGACGACATTTGGACGGCGCCAGTGGAGGGGGGCTTGTAAAACGCCGCCGTCTGGTTGCGTAAGTGTGACCCTTTCATCTGGTGCTTGTCCAATCCAGAGAGCGTGGCGGGTGGTTCGTGAACATGGCCAGTCCAGCCCGCTTCGGGCGGGAGCTCTAGCGGCGTACCACATGCGTTCCTGGAGAGCACCACTGCCAAGAAATCAAGACTGCGGGAGCTCCGCGTCCATGGTAGTGACAGCGGCCTGCAGGTAATGCTGCCGAGCTTTCCGGGGTTAGGTGGATGAAATACTTGTAGCATCCACCCGACCAGGTGAAAGATTGTTATTCCCGTATTTTTTGGTCTTTTTTTTTTAACCCAATCTTGGTGGTCACATCTTTGCTAAACCGTCCATACGACAAACAATGACGTGGCAGAGAGCGATTCGGCTCGCTGCTGATGTGCCTATCGGCGATGCCCTTGTATTGGCGCCTGTCTGTCGCACATATCCCGGGGGATAAGGTGAGGGGTGAATATTGAAGGAAGAGACATCAGAACATCAGACCACCTTCGTCAACCCAATGGCCACGTCAATCGGTCGCTTCAGGTAATGGGTACCGAAATATCTCTCCCGGCGGCGTACTTATGCATGGCCAAGCATGCTGAGCCCAAACCGAGCCCAAGCCATAGCACACAGGGCGATTGGTATTTGAACGTTTGCGGCATAATGCTAAGGTGGTGAGGGGTCAATTGGGCAAGCTGTGGCACAGGCAGAGCGAGACAATAATGGCTGTACATGCCTTCCATACCTTGCCCCATCGTACCTGCCTACCTCTAGTAGGTACCTTGGGGAGGCAGCTGGAACCCACAGGTCACTTCTACTCCATGCCTCGCAATCGTACGAGGCTAGCACTGCACATGCGCTGCAAGGAGGCCTCACCTTAGACGCACCTGTGCCTCATCACGTAACCGGCGACCGTGATGCTGTCGCTTTCTACGGATGTCATTGCCCATCTTACCTTTCCCATCGCCTTCCGAGACACCCATCCTTGGGATTGCTGCATTACTGGAAACGCCATGATCACTAGTTGCCCCAGCATCCCACCCCACTAGTCTTCAACCTGCATTCCACGATGAGCTCTCGCGCAATGCCGTTGATATGGACTTCAGTGGGCACCCAAGATCGAGATGCTCCGTCTGGCTGATGTTGGTGGCGTGCCATCCGAAACCCAAGATGATCTCCGAAGGAAAAAGAATATTGACTGGGCTTCGTAGTCACTCCCTGACTCTCCTCGAACAACCTGGCTGTATCACTCGGTAAAACGCGTCTCCCCAGACGACATGATGAACTCATGGAGGAAATGACTGATCGAGAGATACAGCCCGTCACGGCATCATCAGCTCGGCACAGGCGGACCAAACCCGCCCAAGACAACGTACCCTGAATGGCCATGACGCTCCAACAAAAGAAAACAACGCGACCTTGACATGTCGGATTGGCCCTTCTGCACCACGCACGAAAGAAGCATTCTCCGACCACCTCGTCGGCGCCATCGCCGGCCTGAGCAGAGGTCACGACACGCTGTAAACATCCACAATCTCCCCGAGCCATCCAATACGCACCTTGACGAGGTCTTTCTCCCTGTCGCAATGGCCCGATTGCGCAACGCCCTACGCGCTGCTCCCTGGGCCCAACAAAATACCAACGGGCTGACCCATGTCTCACCTCGACGAGAAAAAAGAAATCCGCACCTTTCAAGACTTTTTGCTGGTACCGTCAGTTCCAGCCCGAGTCAGAAAAGATATAGAGCGCTTTGCCTTGATCAACCTTGCTTCCGCTGTCGTTGGTGTCTCTGCACGACAGTTTTCACTCTCATCAAACACAAGCCATCCCGTCGTCCACGGCCAGCCGAGGAGAAGACATCTTGACAAGCAGACAAGCAACCTATACCAGGACAACATCAAAAGGAAGACCATGTCATTTAAGAACAACGATCAGACGACAACATCAGACAGTTTTACCTTTCCTGACGGACTACACCACGCGCGCCAGAACTGTTACTCGTGTAGCGCTGAACTTACACGCCAGCTCCCACCAGGCTGATCGACCTTTGTTCACGAGCATACGGAAGCGTCTACAGTTTGGCGATTTCAGTATCAGTTTCCCGGATAGCACGAGAAGTGGAGATGGGACGCTCCGGTTACGACACCACTTTCGTGCCCACCCCGGGGCCGAAGCGCGACGCTTCCCGACCTACAGGTCCGAGCAGCCAAGCCGATGCCGCACACGCCGCCTCTTCGGGCCAGGGCTTGAAGAGGGAGGCACAGGCCGCGCGCAACAGCAACACGGCAGGTCGTAGCGCGGTCAAGGGCGGGAGAAACGCTTGAGAGATGATTGTTCATGGTGAGCGAACGAAACTCAAGCCAAGATGTCAGATCTTACATCCTCACTGTTGTTGTTGCTATAGTCGTAAGAGACCGATTGTCCGTCTGACGTGGCACATACTGACGAGAGGTAGGAATGCGTTGTCGATGCGCGTCCAGCAAGGCCTCGCAACAAGTGCAGCGGCATCAATGCCAGCAAGGTGCTGTGCCGGCCACCGCCGCGGCTTTCACGGAGGACAACAGACTCTAGAACCCCACAGTAGTGTTGTCCCGGAGCCGTCGAAGGCGGCGTGGTGGAGTATCCTGACCGCCGCACGGAAGCTAGTCGGCAATCCGGAGGCGGCGGTCCAGGTCACAGGCCCATACAGGCAGGGTGCTCCCTAGCGCCATGATAAATTGGCTTTGGGAGTGAAATTGCGACCAGCATGGGGCCAAAGTCGTACAGAAGAACGGGGCTACCGTCAGTGCATCAATGGGATGATCTGATGACGGACCTGCTCTGATCTTAGCTTCGGCTGTCCTAGATCCGAACTGAGACATTGGGTGCCAGGACACAGAGGCTGGACAATCAGCGGCGTGGGCAGTCGTCGTCGGGACTATGGACTCGTCCTTCATCGTATTCTTGGGTTCAAGCTAGACGTTCAACAGACTTCTTCGTCGCATCATTGCTTGCCGCTGTTTCCGTGTCGGTGAGGGTGCTTCGAACCAAAGCGACGTGCACAGAAAGTTTGTGGTTGACCCATCCCCGAGCCTTTCTCATCCACCGGCCGGTCATGACCTTTCACAACGTCCTGATTGGCTTCTGTACTGATGGTAGGGAGGAAGGCAGGCTGCCGAATACACCCCTACCTGCATGGGAGGCATGCCCGACAATTCATCTCTTCTGAATTTGGCTCTAGTAGGACACCAAGTACCTCAAAAATGGACCCAGAATTCGCAGCTCTGCACATCATTCACTGACAGTGCGGATTCCCTGGTACAGCAGCCGCATCTCTAGATGGGTTGGTTTGCCGGGTGGCTCGTCCGTTTGTGGCTTCTTAATTCTCGCAAAGCATAAAACGCACCGCCAGGCCTAGCAGATTGTTTTTTCTTTTCTTTCTTTTTTGATTCTTGTCCCCTTTTGAAGCCAAGGCTGTCGTCAAAGAGCACCTAAAGTACCAATACTCGCGAGCCTTGACATGTTCTCTAGACTTGTCCTTCTCGCGGTAGGTAAGGTAATATGGACTATGTACCTAGGTACCTAGGAAGGTAGGTAGGTATCTTTGGCAGGCTAATAGAGCCGGATCTGACAACCCCTGGAACTAAAACAGGCTCTGTGCATGGGGACCCTCGCAGGTCCAGGTGCGCGCCAGGGGGGATCGCTAACGCACGCTAACAGTTTGACTCCAGCGCGTTCACCCCCTATTCGGGGTGCCAGCAGCGGGGCGCGGCGCGGGAGCTTGGACCGCCGAGGGGGGGCCACGATGTCACTTGTCCGGCACTCCACGCGGCATAGGCAAGGTGGCTCAGCACCAAAAAAGAACAAAGGCCAAACCTAGATCTGCCGGTTGTGTGTACACGCGCACCAGCTCGGTTGCTGCTTCATTTCTCACCCTACTAACGGCCACGATATCTCCTCTGGCTTCTTCATCTGCTTCTTCTTTCTTAGCCTGTTCTTGACACCCTGTCCAATCTACCTTCGTCGTCGCTCTTTGCCACCCCCTTCGACCCGCCGACCTCTGGTTTCCTAACGCCTCGAGATCCCAATCGCGGCTGGTCCCCGATCATGGCTTCATCTTCGCCCATAGACCCGGCCACGCGCAAAAGGGTACTCAAGGTCATTGCCGTGTCGCTTCTCCTTGATCTGGTATGTCTCGTGGGACACAACGTGGCGCCGCGTGGGCAAGTAATGTGGCTGACCATCTGTCTAGATCTCCTTCACCTTCATCCTGCCACTGTTTCCGAAACTGCTCGAGTTCTACCGCGATCGCGAGGCGCCTTCCACCATATCCGGCAACCCACAGACGCTCCTACAGAATGTCATTACCTACTTGAACAAATACAAGGCGTCCTTCTCGCGCCCTATCGACTCTCGCTACGACATTGTCCTGCTCGGCGGCGCCCTGGGCAGCCTCTTCTCGTGCGACCGCCCTCTTCCCTCTCCTCCTACCCCGCCATCAGCACGTAGTGACCATCAGCTAATCACCGCCCTCTATCTTCTAGACTCTTGCAAGCCGTCGCATCTCCCATCATTGGCCACCTCTCCGACCGTCATGGCCGCCGGACCGCCCTGCTCGCGTCCATGATGGGCAACATAGTTTCTGTCCTTCTCTGGGTGTGCGCGGTGGACTTTCGCACGTTCGTCGCCTCGCGCGTCGTCGGCGGCCTGTCCGAGGGCAACGTCCAGCTCGCGACAGCCATGGCGACCGACATTTCGGATGACGCCTCGCGAGGCTCGACCATGGCGCTTATCGGCGCGTGCTTCAGCATCGCCTTCACCTTTGGGCCCGGCCTCGGCGCCTGGCTCAGCACCATCTCCACCGTCCGCGAAAACCCCTTTGCCACCGCCGCCGGCGTGAGCCTCGCGCTCATCGTCACCGAGACGGTCTACCTCTACTTCTGCCTGCCCGAAACGCTTCCTGCACTTACCGGGCTTGGCAAGCCGGCAGGCGACAAGAAGAAGAAGTCGAGCGACGAAGTGCAGGTTGACGCCAGCACCAAGGGCCCGACGACGAAGACGACGCCGACGCAGAGGACAAACTCGCATTTTCTCCTCAACGCCGTGCACTTTGTCTTCCTACTCTTCTTCTCGGGCATGGAGTCGTCGCTGTCGTTCATGACGTACGACCTCTTCGGCTACGGCTCGGCCAAGAACGGCCGCCTCCTGGGCTTCGTCGGCCTCGTCGCCTCGCTCCTGCAGGGCGGCGTCACGCGACGCCTGCCGCCGCTCGTCTCCGTCCGGCTCGGCGTCGTCGCGTGCCTGACGGCGTTTGTCCTCCTCGGCCGTACGACAACGACGGCGGGCCTCTACGCCGCGGCGACCTGCCTCGCCATGACATCGGCGACGGTCGTCACGGGCCTCAACGCGCTCAGCAGCTTCGAGGCTGGCGAGGGCGAGCGCGGCGGCAAGCTGGGCATTCTGCGCAGCTGGGGCCAGCTGGGTCGCGGGCTCGGCCCCATTCTCTTCACGAGCGTGTACTGGTGGGCCGGCCGCGAGGTGGCGTACGGCATGGGCGCTGCCGGCATCACTGTCGTGGCCGTCGCTGTGTTTTCCGGCCTGAAGACGCCGCCGGGGTCGGTCAAGGCCAAGGTGCCGAAGGAGAAGAAGGAGCTGTAGAGGAGGAAGGGTTCCTGGGCAGCTCGTGTTGGTTACGAAGGAGGAGGAGCAAGCGTGGCTGTCCGTCGCATGATGATGAGCATAAACTGTGGACACTGTATATGTACATGAAAAGAACGAAGAGAGACGGCTCGCGAAAAAGCAAAAGAGGCATATACGAAAGACAAACTTCACCATAGACTGACTCTGGTCTGTCTTCAAGCTGGATCATGTAGCCAGTCCTAAATACCTACCTAGGTATCTAGGTGAGATAGGGGTCGTGATAACGGTGCGGGCTGACCGTGTCAAACGGGTCATGAAAACGGTGTGGGACTGCTGCCCTCAGCGAACGGTCAATCCACCGACGGAAGCGGCGGGCGGCAGACGAGGGCGAAACCGTGAGGCGAAACCCACTTCACTCCAGGTTTCTTTCGACCCCTCATTGACGACGTGCGGTCGTGTCTGTCTGTTTGCGTTGAACCTTGTTGCCGTCTTGAAACTACTTTTTCTCATACAGGTGGAAAACGGTCGCCTTGCCAGCCGTCAGAATGCACATTCAGCCCATCGACAACCTCACTGACATGGAGCCGTTCGTCAACGACATGCCTCAGCACATCCACATCACAGACCAAGGCGACGAGGGCGCAGGCGAGGGCGACATCTTTGACGACGTCTGGGGGTCCGCGCCAGCATCCCCCACGACGCAGACTCGTGACGCTCACTCGTCGTCTGCAGCGGCCGCGCATCACCCATCGGACATGCCCCGCCTGCAGGCCGAGCACACGACCGCCGGCTACCGCGAGGGCGTCACGGCGGCCAAGGCCCACAGCATCCAGGCCGGCTTTGACGAGGGCTACAGCCTGGGCGCCGCCATCGGGTCCCAGGCCGGCCAGATCATCGGTCTCCTCGAGGGCGTCGCTCACGCGCTCGCGGGTCACGACGACGCCAGCTTGGCGGAGGCGGCCGCCCGAAGTGTAAAGGAGGCGCGGGACGAACTCCAGGTTGAGAAGCTGTTCGGGCCCGACTACTGGAACACGGACGGCACGTGGAACTACGAGGTGGCGGCGAAGAAGCAAGCCGACGGAACCCAGGAGAAGAAATGGGCAGGAGAGGACGACATTCTGTTTGCTGACGTCGCTGACGCGCACCCGCTGATCGTCAAGTGGACCGAGGTCGTTGAGGCTGCAGTCGCGCGATGGGGCATCGACCGCACCGTCTTTGCCGATGTCGGTGAGGAGGAGCGTCTGGCCGCACAGGATAGAGCTGCTGCCAACGCGGGACCCCAGCAGACGAGGAAGCCCCTTGACTGGTGAACAAAGCTGGGGAGCTTCTGCAACGGGTGTGTGCCCCCAATGGCACTGTCGCCAAATCCAATCACAACAGAAGCCCGGCTGTGTAACCGGAGCTTCTCTGGCAGCCTCTTGCGTTCTGGATGGCCAGCTAGTGTCTCCTTTTTCCAGTCCAGGGGGGAGAGCCAGCCAGCCCCTCGGATTGTGGCACACGACGACATGCGTGCGGCCGGTGACACAGCGGCGTCTTAACCTTCCTGGCCACTCCCAACACCAGCTTGTGAGGCGGCTAGTCGCATGTCACTTCTGGGTCGTGTCTCTAAGACTCCAGTCGTCCTTTCTTCTGGTCGTATGACAACGCCTCCTTCTCAATATCCCATGGCGCCAGGATCAATGCAGAGGATGGATGTTGGCATGACGATCAAGCTCGCTTGCATTCAGCCTCCAGTCGCGCTCACAGATGTCCCGAGCGTGAAGGGCTTATCGTATTGGCCGGCGATGTTCATCTCATTTGCCGCCGCCAAGTGGTGGGTGCTGTGGTGTAAAGAAAACGAGACGGCATCTGTCTTGTCGGTCTAGCTTGCTTTGCCAGGAAGTGGGTGTGTGTGCTGGGATTTCGGACGGAGGGACGGATTCTGCGAGGTCGCGACATCATCTGTCAACGTCAACATGGTATGATGGTTTTGGGCGAGGAACTTTCTCGACAGATGGGGCAGCTCGTCTCCGAAAAGACACCAACATGGGACGTGATCATGGAGCGATCCGCAAACTTACATTATGCCAAGTCTCTTCCCGCACAAAGTTTCGGTCCAGAGTTGGACTAAAATCTGGACATGTTGATCTCCCTCGCCTCTTGGACCTAGGTGTCATCACCGAGTGTCATCATTTTTGCCCTCCCAAGACCATGTACGCGCAACACAGCTGGCCAAGGACGGAGTCTGATTTTCGATGTCGATTTTCGATCCGGAGAGCAAATCGCATCCACTGTCCCACCGACACTCTGACCCAGGTTACATCGCCGGCACGGATGAAAGGGGAGTTTCTGAACAATCCCACCCAATGCCACGGATGATCTGGTGGTGTGGTGCCTTCGGCCTCCGTCTGATGGGCAGTGCTCAACACCAGTCTCGCTGTTGTTTTTTCCTGTCGTCGCACCTTCCGTGCACAGCCGTGATGGCCGTCATGCGATGCACACCCTCCCTGTTCAAGAGGCCCGGGCTCCTCATTCCTTTTCTTGCCCTGGGTAAGACGCGGCAATCCGGGCAAGGCGCGGCCACCGTGAGAACATGCACGATGGCGCGGCCGACCAAATCCACAGCCTACCCTGTCAACACCTCACTTTCCTGACCATCACCATGGCTTTGCCCCCCCCCCCCCCCCCCCCCCGCCCAGTCCAGGTGCAGCGCTAAACCGGTCGATTTCCTTGCTTGATGGGTAGCATCGCGGAGCAACTCGATATTAAGATGTTCACACGCGGGGAGCCCCTGTGTTTCAGAGAACCTTTCGGACGACGCCACTCTTGCGTCACAACGCAGGTACCAGCACCCCAAGGACGGATTGGGCAGGTCGGCGAGGGCGGGCCAAGAACCTGCCAGGCCCGGATAGCAGCCAAGATCGCGCAAGAGGCGATCCGGGGCATCTGGTTCGGCGATGCGAGCAAGGGGGGCCCCTCTCCCCGCTGATCTACAGGTGTGCCAGCGGCGCGTCCACAGCCATGCGACTGGACGCGATCGACTCTCCCGTCTTTCTGGCTCAGCGCAACATCCATCCAGCCCAATGCGATGTCCATCCAAGCAGCCCAGCTTGCCCAGCAAGTCTGGCCCCCTCTTCCCCAGCAGCCCCCCAAGGCAAGGCGCCATGCTACCCACCGTGACGCAGCCGCAGTGAAGGCCGTCGTGCTCGTCTCTTCGCCTTTGCACCCCTGGCCCTGGTCCTCGACACCTGGGCCACCTGCTGTAACCCGCCAATGGGCCTGCCTGGCGTACACGAATGCAGCCATCACGCTGCCTGCTTTCTTGTCGTACTGCTTGGTGTCCGGGCTACGGGCTGCAAGCTGCGGCTGGTCCACGAAGAAACATGCATATGCGCTGTCTGTGGTGATCGATGGACCAGCATCCCGGCAACATGCTGCGGAAAGTCGTGACTGGCTGGGAGGGTCATTCCCTGTTTCCCAACCCACCATCGCTCAGCCCACGACCTCATGCCGTCTTCCCCCCCCCTCTCCCCTTTTCACCACATATGCCGAGAGCAAGAATCACTCAAAAAGGACACCTCCCATCCGTTTCTCAGGTCTCTTTTCTCTTCTCTCCTCTCTTCAGTGTCTTTGATACCCAATTCATTCGCTCTTGTTGTCACTCGTTGGACATATAATACAACCTCATCCCTAACCTCTCACTAATACCAACAACCACCCCAAACGCCAAACACAAACACACACATCAAGATGCGTTTCTCCTCCACTATCGCTGCCGCCGGCCTCGCCGCCACCGCTCAGGCTACCTGGCACGGAGAGTGGAAGTTCCCTGACGGCATCAAGGGCCCCAAGGATGATGGCGGCAAGGAGGTTGGCCCCGGCTACGCTCCCCCCGATGGCTATCTCCCCATCTACCACCCTCCTCACCACGACGTCGTCATCGACGACTGCGACAAGAAGGACGATGATGACTGGCACTGGGTCCACCCCGGCAAGGACCACCACGAGGACGACTACAAGTGGACCACCAGCACCATCACTGCCACCCACATCTCGACCGTCATCGACTGTGGTGACAAGGACTGCTACGGCGGCGGCGGCAAGACCCAGTACACCACCGTCACCATCCCCCAGACCACCACCATCTGCCCGGTGCCCGTCGCTCCCGAGCCCACGCCCGAGAAGCCCGAGGAGCCTGAGCAGCCGTACCCTGAGCCCCCTGTCGAGACGCACCCCGTCCCCACGCCCGAGCCCCCCGTTGAGACCCAGCCTGTTCACGAGCCTGAGCCTCCCGTCGAGACATATCCCGTCCCGGCGCCCGAGCCTCCCGTCGAGACGCAGCCGGTCCACGAGCCTGAGCCTCCCGTCGAGACGCAGCCGGTCCACGAGCCTGAGCCTCCCGTTGAGGAGCCCCCTGTCGAGACGCAGCCCGGCTACGAGGAGCCTCCCGTTCCTAGTGCCCCGGTCGAGGAGCCCCCTGTCGAGTCGGAGCCCATTCCCGTGCCCGCTCCCCCTCCCACGTCCATTGGCACCGTCACGCGCCCCATTCCCTCTGCCACCGAGGGTCTCGAGCCCGTGCCCACGGCTGCCGCTGCCAACGTCCGCGTCGGTGGTGCCGTGCTCGCAGCCGCCGTTGCTGCCGCGTTCCTTTAAACCGGGGTCGCATAGCTTGCAGTCTTCTGATCTTCTTCGTAAAGAAACAAGGTCATTTTTAGGACTGTCGCTTTTTCTTCCTTCCAAAAAGCCGAGGGAAACCTGCTATCTAGTCCTTCGCTCCCTGCAACACTTTTTTTTTCTTCACATTTTCGGTGAGATTCTGCCGATGCGTTGAGCGCCGGGCCAGTGAGGCGGCGCGCGCTACAGTCATGCGATGAGACGACATGAGATGAGATGGCCACCCGAGACAAAGCCCAGGTCTGCGATAGAGCGACGCTGGTGCCCGTCAACAGGGAAATGGGATTTTAATGGTACGAAACCCGTTCTGGGCATATCTGTATGAATACACGCATGTGGCTGTTACCCTGTACGCTTTGCCCCGTCTTGTTTCGCTCCGTGACACCTTGTGCGAACGTGATGGTGGCCCCGCCGGACCCGCGGCCCTAGCTCTGTCGTGATACGGCGTGACTCGATTGGCACGCGGACGCGGCGATTAGAGAGCGTTGATCGTAGGGTAAAGTTCGTGTCCTACGCAAGGTGTCTGATTTGAAATTAAACCTGTCATGCTAAGAGGGGAGTATACTGGGGATGGCCCCTATCGTAGCTGATGAACTCATCCGCGTGCTTTCTTCGTCAAGCTGGGAAGCACGACTTCCCCTGGTCTTGCTCACGCCCAACTTCCAGTGCCGAGACACAATTTGGGCCGCGGTGACACGCCGCATAGAAAGGGACAAACACCGGATGTATAGATCCATCGGAAATAAAAGGTTGTGTATGTGTGTGTGTGTGTTGAATTAGTCCTACGCCCTGATGCAACAAGGGGTCCCCCTATTGCCAACGAACAGCACCTGGCCAGTCTGTCTTGCATGTGTAAGCTCAAGCCATCCATCCATCTTTCCACAAGAGATTCTCATGGCGGTGCGCTAGGATGCAGAGCTTGATCGTTGGTCCCAAACCCGCTGGCCAGGTTACGCAGAGGGCAATCCGAAGTGAACCATCCCACCAACTCGGCAAGAACCCGGTCACTAACGGCAAGGGCGCGCGCTGGACAAGCATTCGGCATCCGGTTACCGTCTTGAGGCCGATATTGCAGTGCAAGCCCTGTATTTACTACACGCTGTCGTCGCAGAGTCGTCCGATGTTTCGCATTCAGCCGAGTCATGGCTCCGAACATGAAGGCGGGCGGGCTCTCCTCCGCCGTTGTCGCCGTCTCAGGCGTAGTGGTTGCCGAGTCAGCCTTAACCGTCGTCGCATGTGACGTGATTTTCTGCGTTGCATCAATGCAGCAGCATTTCCTTTCGGTCCTTTTCTTTCGTTCCTCTTCCTCATCAAGACGGCTCGTAGATCCCCTCATTCATGCGCTTTGCAATATCCTCGACGCGTCGGCTGTCTCCCCTCAAAGCGCGCGTCGTCTCCCTGTCGCGCGTCTCGTCGCGGAACACGACCAGCTTCTCAAGCTGGCCGTCGTCATCCATGACGAGGCGGCCGGTGCGGCCGTCGGCCCAGGCGAGCTCGGCCTGCTTCGCTTGGGCGTCAGCGGCACGGACATCGACGAGGGCCGTGCTCCGATCGGCTTCGGGGGTCACCGAGGCGCGGTCGAGACGGGCGGCGGCAGCTCTGCCGAGATCGCCGATGACGGCGGCGCGGTTGTGGTACCGGACAATCTCGCGGCGCAGGGTGCGGGCGAAGCGCGACAGGTCCTGTGTCGTTGGGGCGTCGGCGTCGGCGGGGCTCGGGGCAGGAAGATGGCGCCCCGCGAGGCCATTCAGGGGGATGCACGGCGGGACGGTGTGTCTGTGGACGCGCAGGTGTCGAGAGTCGGGATAGGGACGGTGGAGGAGGACGTAGTAGGGGCGCAGGAAACGGGCTTTGGACATGATCTCGAAGCGAAGACCAAGCACCTTGCCGTTGTCTACGGCGTTCGGGTCCGGATCGCGCATCCTAAAGGTCGTCACGGCGGCGCCCATACGGTAGAGCGATTGCTGGTCGTGGGCGGCTTGGGCATCGGAGCGCGCTAGCAGCTTCTCACGCAGGACGAAGGGGGTCTTGTCGCTGCCATCTTGAAGCAGTTGACGGATTGTATCGGAGATGATCAGATTTGTTGCTTGCGTTTTGACCTGTTTCTTCAATGACGCGACTGGGAGGAGATGTCCGTCAGTCGGGCTGATGGCGTGATTGGAGGGGTGATGAAGACATGCAGCTTACCTTGCTCTTGAAGTACGTTGATTTCAGCCTCCAGACCTGTGCTGGTCTCATCTTCGGACGGTGCGGCCATGAGGAATGACACGACTCTGAAGAAGACAAAGTGGGCGAAGGATGGCGGAAGAAGAGGGGGAGCTGGAGGATGGGAGGATGGCGATGGACAATGACGACGCGTCGTCTCGGATGTTTGGACCGAAGCCTGCGTGAAGCTTGTCGACCTTCCCCAGAAGACGGAGACGCGATGTCCCCTCCATCTTATCGATAGACGGGAAAGGGTAAAGGGCGTGCCCAAAGGGGCATCGCTCCAGGGGTCTGCATTGGCGCACGTTGGCCCGCAGCGCTGTACTGTAACTGCACCTGTACCTGTACCTGTACCTGTACCTGTACCTGTACCTGTACCTGTACCTGTACCTGTACCTGTACCTGTACCTGTACCTGTACCTGTACCTGTACCTGTACCTGTGGCTACCCATGCCTGTACCTATACCTAGGAAGGTGCCTGGTCTGGCCAAGTGCGGGCAGCGTTTTGCTCGACTTCACAGCTCAAAAGCTTCTTCTACGTTCCTTTTCCCATCCACCGCCCAGGAGACTCGCCACCTTTCGCCCATTCCTCGTCGTGCGTATTGGAATCATTTCGCTGCTCGGGATCTACTTGTCATGGCTGTCGACGCTACGTTCTGATACTCCTCCATTTCCCCATCTCGTCCTTTTTTTCATTCCGTCTTGTATCCTAGCGCGCCCGGACGGGACCTTTCACTCCTTTGCCCTCGCCACTGGCGCTCCGTTCCTGAAAGGCCACGGTTGCGACTCACGCCAAGGCATCCAACAGTCACGAGCGACACCATCTTACAACATCTTTGAGATCTGCACTATCGAACTTCCCGTCCCATCCTGCGTTGCTCCACACTTTTGGTTCATTCCCATCATCTTGCTGTACCCTCCGCTACGACATCCCTCACTCGGGCCGCGTTGAGCTACCTACTCGAGCAAACACCACCACACCAGTCATCCCCGCGAAGGATCTCCGAAGAAATCCCACCGCCGACCCCAACTTCCCACCCTCCCGCGCAACTCTTCCAGCTCCAAGACGCTTCAGTCCTGATAATTATACGTCCCTTCTAGACGCCGCCTCACCTTGGCTCGACCCCCAAAAAAGCCCATTTGCGACAAGACCGACAAGCCATACCCCTCCCTTGCCAAGCCGAGCCTCGAGCTCTCCGACCTCACTGCCTCAGTATCTGGACGCGAGCTTCTACAGATCAAATGAGCGTCCGCACCCGCCGAAACAAATCGCCCAAAGACAAAAGGCCACCCGAGCTCTCCGTCTCGACGACGGCCACCTCCAACGGCAAAGGCAACGGTCACGCCGCCGCCGCCTCTACCACCACCATGAACCAGAACAATGTTGAATTCCGCCGCAAAGCCACGACGCCCGGCTCCGACTCGGTCACGGCAAACCTCATGTCGCGCGACACCTTCACCCTCGACGAGCCCGTCCCCAAGACGCCCACGGCGAACAACCACGGCTTCTTCGAGCTCCCCATCCAGGACCAGAAGAACTTCCTGCTCCTGGTCCTCCTGTATTTCCTGCAGGGCATCCCCATGGGTCTTGCCGGCGGTTCTGTCCCCTTCCTTATGAAGGACCACATGTCCTACAGCGAAATCGGCATCTTCAGTCTCGCCTCGTACCCGTACTCCCTCAAGCTCTTCTGGAGCCCCATCGTCGACGCTGTGTGGAGCCCAAGCTTCGGCAGGAGGAAGAGCTGGATCCTGCCCATCCAGATGCTGTCGGGCATTGGCATGCTCTGGCTCGGATCGACCGTCGAGAACATGATGGCCACGACGGGCAAGCCCGGCGGTCCCACCGTCTGGACCTTCACCGGCTGGTGGTTCTTTCTCGTTCTCATGTGCGCCACCCAGGACATCGCCGTCGACGGCTGGGCCCTGACCCTGCTCACGCCCGGCAACGTCTCCTACGCCTCGACCGCCCAGACGGTCGGCCTCACGGCCGGCCACTTCATGTCCTACACCGTCTTCCTCGCCTTCAACTCCAAGGACTTCGCCAACCGCTACTTCCGCAGCACCCCCCTCGACACCGGTCTCATGTCTCTCAGCGGCTACCTCACCTTCTGGGGCTGGGCCTACCTCGCCATCACCATCGGTCTCGCTCTCTTCAAGCGCGAGGAGAAGACGCGCAACGAGGACGGCATCTGGGACGTCTACCAGATCATGTGGGGCGTCCTCAAGCTGAAGAATATCCAGACCATCATCGTCGTCCACCTCATCGCCAAGATTGGCTTCCAGGCCAACGACGCCGTCACCAACCTCAAGCTGATTGACAAGGGCTTCGGGCAGGAGAACATGGCCCTGACGGTCCTCATTGACTTCCCCTTTGAGATTGTCCTCGGCTACTACGCCGGTAACTGGTCTCAGAGATACACGCCCATGCGCCTCTGGTGCTGGGCCTTTGTCGGACGTCTCGCTGCCGCGGTGCTAGCCCAGATCACCGTCGCCATCTTCCCCGCCGGCGGTGTCACGGGCTGGTACATGCTCGTGGTCATTGCCGAGCACATCTGGTCCACCTTTACCAACACGGTCATGTTTGTCGCCGTCTCGGCCTTCCACGCACGCGTCTCAGACCCCGCCATTGGCGGCACCTACATGACCCTGCTGGCCACGTACGTCTGCCTCGTCTATCCCCCGCCTCGTCATGCCTTGATCTCCCGTTCCTTACGCTAACTCGTCTGCAGGGTGTGCAACCTCGGCGGCACGTTCCCCCGCTTCTTCGTCCTCCGCCTCGTCGACTACTTCACCGTGGCGACCTGCCACCCGGGCAACGCCCCGGACCTCGATGCGCTCAAGGGCCCCGTCGTCACGAGCCCCTTCTCCTGCTCGCTGCAGGCTGACAAGGAGCGCTGCGTCAAGGGCGGCGGCACCTGCACCATGGTCCAGGACGGCTACTACATTGTCAACGTCATCTGTGTCGCCCTCGGCCTGTTGACCTTCGTCCTGTACATCCGCCCCCGCGTGCTGCACCTGCAGTCCTTACCCATGCGGGCCTGGCGGTTAGCGCCCACGAACATGAAGCCGTAGAGGCGCTGCGTCTCTATCGGGGAGCGCGGCGAGAGGATAGCAAATAGACCTTTCCTTGTGGAATGACATGCATCGTTGGCGATTGTACACATCCATGACGAATCAACTGCGTATCAAAACTTGTCAAAGCGTCGGGACTCTTCGTTGCGTGGTACTGTCACGTCCGTCTGATGTTTGTATCCTTTCAAGCACCGGTAAAGTCGTGCAGCAGTAAAATCCTCATCAATGGCAGAATGGAGCATCAACTTTGTGTTTCTTTTGATTCATCCACAATCTCTAACAGGACTCCAGTGTCGAGCCTGTTGTGACGGGCTAGTGTCCACGACACGGCCACCTCCAAGGCCAACCCATCAAGAGGTCCCTCGCTGCATTGGTGCCATACTCATGGCCACCGCCGCCACCCACAAATGCCCGACCGTCCCTTTTCCATACCACCCGTGACGCCAATGGTCTGACGAATCACCTTTTCACAGCCCACACTGCCGTCCATGTCTATTTTTTGGCCGCGCTCGCCTTGATGTGCTCCAGATGCAACGCCTCGACCGCCGGGATGATGAGGCTTTCAATCTCCACCTCGGGCTCGCCCTCAGGCAGCCACGCCGGGTCCATGGGCTTCTCATCAACATGCTCATCCCCCTGCGCCTGCGTCTGTGTCGGCTCCAGCTGACCTGCTGCCGCGACGCCCGCATCGCGGCGGTGGCTCGCGGCCTCGCGCGCGGCGCTCGGCACGCGCACCCAGTGGTCCGGACGGCCGGGGCTCACAAAGACGACCTCCCACTTGCGCGTCGACAGCAGATTCCCGATGACGAGATGGTGCTGGTAGCGGTCGAGGCTGTAGCGGGCCTTGTGGACGAGGATGGCGGGGTCCGTCTCGAGCTTGAAACTGACGATCATCTGGGCCGGGGCCCAGCCGTCGACGAGGTTCTTGAGGAACTTGGGGACCGGGTCAAGGTCGATGACGAGGCGCTTGGCGCGGGGCACCTTGGGATACGAGTCGAAATTGTCAAACGTCTCCTCGTTGTCTGTCTCGTCCGTCTTCTTTTTCGGCGGCTGCGCTTTCTGCTGCACATTACCTAGGGCTGGGTCTGTGGTTTGAAGACCGTCGGTGGCCGTCGTGGACTGAATCTTGTGCTCGGCCATGCGCTCGGGCGGCACGAAAAAGTCAGAGGCGGCGGCGGCGAGGTAGAGCAGGCCACGGGGGCCCAGAGGGCGCATGAGCCGGGAGATGGCGCGCAGCTCGTGAAGGTAGTCGGTAATGGTGACAAAGGGGATGACGAGCAACGCGTTGGTGGCGCGCGCAGTGTTGTACTTGCGGAGGACGGCGAGCATCTTCTCTTGGTGGGCGCTGTTGGCGACAACGCTGCCGTCGGGGCTCTCCTGGAGGAAGTCGAGGAAGCAGTCCGTGGCGTGTGAGTAGTGGCGGCTGTAGGGTTGGAGGCTGAATTCGCGATGCAGGAAAATGACGCCGTACCCGGCCTCGAGGAAGTACTCGGCCGAGGTGGCGCCGCGAGTGCCGGCACTGAAGTTGTCGATGAAGCGGACCGTGTTGCGCTCTAGGGGCACGGTCGTGCCGCCCGAGGTGATGAGGACAACAGGGCGGTCTGAGGCGACTTGATGGTCCAGAAAGGCGCTCGCCTGGGCCACATGTCTAGCAAGGGCCTTTGGTGGCGGGTTGGCAGAGAAGTAGTGATCCTCTACTTGCGCGTCGTTCGACATGGTGGAGACTCTGCTCGAGATCCGGGGAAACTGGCGTGAGTGCTGTTGGACCGTATGTCGTATATCTTGTCTGAGGCTGTCATTAGCAAGGGCGCATGTAGGTAGACACGAAACAGAGGAAGAGGTGGCTTGAAGCACAAGGCTGTAATGAGTGCCATCCCATTGAAGGCATTTCTCGGACCCCTCCTATACGGCAAGATGTCATTGTGCAGGCATAGCAAGTCGTGCGTGTGCGGGAATAATGCCATGGGACTGGTTTCAGACCTCGGCCCCGCCGGCATGTATGGAGGAGAGGCCGAAGCAGAAGAACCGAGATGCAAGGACAAGACAAGACCAGACGAAACAGGGCTCTCAACTCACGTGATCAATATGAGGGTGCGTTCAGGGCAGGGGCGGCATCAAGCGCCAGTCGAGGTTGATATGCGGGCGCAGGCAGGTGCAGGGGGAGGTGAGAGTGAGTGAGGCAGGCTCGGAGGACGGGAGCTCTTTCCCTTAAAGCCCGGGCCGACATGGACCGTGCTCGACCCCGTTCGTCAGCTCCACCGGGGCCCACTTTCCCGGGACAGATTCTGCGCCGGACATTTGGGCACGTCCGAGAGGGCTCGCTCGACACGTAGGACAGACGAACCAGCAGCCCCAGCAACAAGTACAATTGTCAGATCATGTTCCATCTTGGTACCTGACGGCGAACGTAGTACCGCCCGACTCAGAAGACCGCCAGCACCCGCCACCCGACGCACACCACCTTAGCCGCCCAGAGCGCCAGCAGAGACGTGCAGTATATGGCCCCCGTAAAGACTTTCAACCCCCAGTACTCCCCGTCCGTCGCCGTGATGATCTCCCCGCCAATGGGGATGCCAATGAGACACGCAAATGCCACCAGCGTATACGTCGTCGCATAGTAGCGTCCGTAGTTCTGCGTCATGCACAGCCGCCCGATGCACACAGGGCTGATGCTGATGTTGTTGCCGCTGGCGAAGCCGAAGAGCACTGCAAACACCACGATGCCGCCGAGCGTCGAGCCCGCCGGCAGCCAGACTCCGAGGCACGCGACCATACTGAGCACGACGGCGAGCATATTCGAATTGAACGGCCCGAACGCGTCACCCCACCATCCCGCCAGCACTCGACCAAAGACGCTTGCCGCGTTGAGGATGGCCAGGATCTTGTACGCCTGGTCGGTCCTGAAACCCTCGTGCACCATGTAGCTGGAGATGTACGTGATCGGAATGAAGAGCGCGAGTTCCAGCAGGAATATTCCCGCCGTCGTCAGTGCGAACGCCGTGTCTCGCAGTATGCGGAAGTCGGGGCGCGCAGTCGCGTTGAGCGCCGGCCGCAACCTCGACCGGATCAGCAGGTTTGCCGTGCCGCAGAGCGCCAGGCAGATGAAGCCGATTATGCGGATCGTCCACGCCCACCCCAGCCTGTCTAAGAGCCCATTGAGCGCCAGCGGAAATACGATCCCACCGATTGACCCCCCGGACGACGCCACGCCCGTCGCCAGCCCACGCCGCTCCTTGAACCAATGGCCAACTGCCGCGATCGAAGGTGTAAAGAGGAGCGACGCCCCAAGCCCGTTCAGGACGCCAAAGGCAAGCATGAAGTGCCAGTAGTCTACGCGAGTAAGTAAGTCAGCAGCCGAAGTGGCTCGATGCCAAGCCGACAGGGGCACTGGAAAGCGGCGGCGGTGGGTGAGAAGGGGGGGGGGAGGAGGGGCGGGTGTCATGACACGACCAGAAAGACCTACCAGTACAAATACTGAGCAGCATGACGGCCACCACCAGACATACCGTCCCAGACAGAATCAACCAGCGAGGCCCATACTTGTCGAAGAGTGGCCCGATGAAGAGACCACCGCCGAAACAGAGCCAGGTGTATACGGAAAAGATCCAGCCGACGGTGCCGTGCGAGTAGCTCGCCAGCTGATGCGTGCCGATGTAATTGTGGAACACGGCGAGACTGTTCATCAACCCGAGACTCGAAAAGAGTGCCAACCAAGAGCCCAGTACAACAAGCCATGCATGTAAACCGCCCTCGGGGAAGCCCTCTTCGTCTGGCCCCTCAGAGTCCCTGATGATGTCTCTTTCTTCGTCGGCGGTGACAGAATGGTCTGACGTCAAGTCCGCACGTCCCCTGCTTGGCGATGACGGTGTCTCTTTACTCACTTCTTCTCTTATGGTAGGGACAGCAGTCATGTTGCCATACGCCGTTGTTTGCGTCGTCGTATTCTCCGAGATGCCATCGTCAGCGACCTCCAGTCGAATGCGCATTCCGCCTCTTGACGGTTCCAGGGGTTGGAAGGCCAAAGTGGCAGATTTTCTGCTCCGTGAATCAAAGCTTATTTGTTGATCTGGACGCTCGAAAAGCCCTCAGTTGTCACCGAGCAGCAAGCAGACAGACAACCAGACCGGTCCATTGTCGCACCGCACGTTTCGACCGATGGGTATATATAGATGAACCTACCGGCGGTGCGGACGCTTCAGGCCGACATGGGTAAGGAGGGTCTACCGGCAGGCAAACGCTATGGCTAAGCGGCTTTCCCACCCCCTACTACCTCCTCCCCCTCACCACCTCCTTCTCCAAATTCACCCGGCACTAAATCCGATGCTCTTGGGCCAGGCCTGGGGAGAACGATCCGCCCCGGCCGGGGTGCATTTGACTAGAAAGCTATCGGACGGCATGGCCTGGATCACCAGGGTAATAATGGCGTTGCCCCTCTTCAGAGTTCCTCCTGCGGAACCTCGATCACGCCGTACCGTGTCCAATCGGACTGTTCCGCCAACCATCAAGACGTGGGCTATTGATGACGCTACTTGAACCTCAAGCCCTTGTTCGGAATTTCTCACCTTCCGGCTATCTGATTGCTCGCTCAGTTTACCATCCATGATGTTCTGCCAGGTGACAACACTACGTTCGCCTCACATGGGTGCTTGTTGTTGTGTGTAATATGCGTTGACTGAAAGAACCATCGTTGTTGGCAGCCCGCGTAGTCATCGTCGACCAGCTGCGCAGATGCCCTGCGCTGCTAGCCCGTTGGAATATCCCTAATTATGTCCAGATGGTTCCCGACGTATTCGCATCTTAATGTCTTGAATCCTGCCCTCCCACGAGAAAGAACTGATCCAGCCGCAGTGTTACACTCGATGCTGCACGCTCAATGGACCGAGAAGCTGGCTGACGTTATACTCGAGACCTCGGCGGACATTCTCAGTCGTTGTCTCGTGGGGCAAACCCAGCGAACCCTGCCTGCGGCAACCTCACATAACACCTTGCAATGCAATGCCAGTGTATTGTCGCATGCTCCTCCTCTCGCTCTCTATCGGTGCCGAGTTACTTATGGTTGGACGTTGCCAAAGAATGATGATTGGTCAGTCGATATTGTCTTCACCCGTCGTGCATTTAGTCTTGCACGCATATCTATGCCTCCGAAAGGGGGGAGACACCGGGTTGCCCCATCGGACTGGCACGGGACTGTCGGTTTTAACGGATATAGTTGGTGCCCTTTACCTTCGTGGTGCCGCTGGAGTTGTCTCTATGTGTTGCACTGCAGTTTCGTTTTCTGATACCAAAGACTGCGTGGTGTCTCTAGATGGAGATTCCAGTGCGTTCGTTGCTGACTGGTCTAGCCCAGTCTCGGCGTCGAGCTCATTGATACGTAATCTGAGCCTCAAGAGGACAGACGCTCGCGAGTGCTGATCAAGTTTTGCTATACAGGCAAATCTAGGGTGCCCTGGTCAGTGAATAGAAGCGCGGGGCCGAATGCGCCGGAGTAAGCTGCTCACAAAGTCTCAAGCAGTGCAGTAGCTTCGTCGGACGAGGTACGCGCTGCGCCGGAGTCCACGTCTCCAGCAGCGGCAGGGTTGATAGCTTCGACGTCTTTGGAACCGGACTCTGCAGAGTGAAACATCATGAGCAGATCACCGCTCTTGATGAAGCTGATCAGGTTTTCAATATCCTCGTCCAGATTGGTCGTACGCATTCGGCGAATGATTGCGATTGACTCATCTTCGGTGCGTAGAGTCAGTAGATGGAAGAGCTGTTCCAAGAGACGGCTACGGCGAAGAAGGTCGCTGTTCTTCTTCTTGAGAGCAGCCGTTCGAGTAAGGTCAGGGTCGACGTCATACTCACATTCCTCAGCTGGCCGGCGAACCGTGGCGGCGCAGGTCGAGCATACAGGCCGACGGCCATCGCACTTCGTTCGCTTGCGGCGGCAGGCAGAACATGCCACCTTGGTCTGCGGAGCACGCTTCTTGCTACTCGAGATGGAGGAAGTAGATGACGCCTCTGCTAGGTCGGTATCGTCCACAAAGCTCGCATTAGCAGGCAGAAGCTCGCGGTAAGGCTTCATGGTCGCCTGCGGAGAATTTCGACCGTGTTTTCCGTTATAGTCAGACCTCGTTGAAGCGACTGGCCCGGTACGAGACGTGGGCTTGGGCGCGGTGATGGGTGGTCCAAAGCTGTTTCTCAGGCTCGCTGCTCTTGTCCCATCGGTGGCCAATAAGAGACTGCGTGCTGGCCCCGCATCGACTGGTCCAGTATGAGGGGCAAAGAGCCCATGCACATCGTCAGAAGGGCTTTGAACAACATACAGCAACACCAAACGTGTTATAGCTGACATGGCTCAGTTACCAGCGATGCAGGATGCGCTTCCTGACACAAAAACTTTCTCCGTATGAGAGCGTTTCAAGCTGTGGGGCCGCAGCTTTACCTCAACTGGAGGCGCGAACAGGACAGCTCGAGACTGTACATGGCTTTCTCCCAGTATAAACCGCCGCGTCTGGATTCCGCAGGGGATCGGAGAAAACCATCCGAACAGCTGGAGAGCTGCATATGTCACGTGACTGAAGTGAGAGGGACTGAAGCTGGCAAGGTTCGGTGCGTCACTCTGTCGCCATGATGACGGGGTATCTGGCCCACACAGGGTGGCTCTCAAAAAAGAGCCGCGGTGGCGGGACCAGCCCCGAAGCATATTGAGGGGCTTGGACTCAAACATGATGGCACGGCCAGTTGGCAAAGGGGCGGGTTGCTGCCCGGTTCGCCAATTCTGATGTGGGTGGGTTCGACGGCAACATACCAACTAGACAGCCTATCAAAGAGTTAGTCAATTTTTCTAGCCTTTTGCCTCAATATTGAATGCGTCGTCTTGAGATGATGCTGTTCGGGAACCACATACCACATACCACAGAATTGTCCGTTTCATGAGTTATCTCAGGTCACATAGTGGGTATTTGGCAAATTGTTGCCAGTCAATCCACAACCCAGCGGCCCACAACATTGCTGAGTTGCTCCCAATTCCATGTTCTGGTCTTCGTCGTGTCGATGCTTGCTCTTTGTTTCAATGAGGAAGGGACTTCCCAAGAAGGCGCTGTTCTGGTGACATTTTCCCAACGATACTGTGGAGCCCAGGTTTGGACCTGTTGTCGTCTTCGCTGTCGGTTCGCTGCCCGTCGGGTTTTAGTAGTCGACGGTAAACATGGAGGGGTAGGTGCTAGCTAAGCTCGGGTCTCCTCTGGCAACGCAAGACAGTGTAGACATGCCTGATTTGTCTTGTCGATCATGCCATGAGGGCATTGCGGAAGTTGTGTTTAGGATGCCGGACGTTGCACAGAGACGCCAAAGGTACCGCAGCTTATAGTCAAGCACGCGTTATTTCTGGTCTGACAACTGGAGTTTCCCGAGAACATGTCTGTGGAATTTCTGTCGTACTCGAAATTCTGTTTCGGCGGACGTCGAGATGGTCGAATGTGAGCAGTCGTGAACCAAAGCGCATATCCCCCGGACCAAGTGTCCGGCACACAGCCGAGGTCTTCTGGGGATTCTTGACGTTCGGACGTCCTCGATAGATTAGACATCGATATGAGACTCGATCGGCAGCACGGCTGACTGTCTGTAGACAACTAACAAGTCGGGCAATATTGCTAGCAACATGCTGAAAGTGCTTCGCTATACACCAGCATAGCGGAAAATCGTGGCGCTGCAATTTGTTGAAAAGGCCAAGGTATCGAAAGCAGAACATCGTCAGACGGGTGGCCGGGAGGCCAACTTCGTCAATGAATTTGCGGAGCCTGGTTTCGGGACCATGTGGATTGGGGAGGGGGCCATCCACTGGATGCCATGGTGGTATCGCTGGAGGAAACTGTGAGGAGGGTGTTGAAATCGAAAGCTCGCGGCGGTGCTAGAGACCGCAGTCAAGACAACTGAATCAAATAATCGATGGCAAACAATCAGACTGACGAGGAAGTCAACGAGGACTGTTGCGACTGTTGTATAACGGTGGCGATCCCAAGTTCGAGTTCACGGCCAACCGAGACGGTCGCAGGAACAGTGTAGGTAGAGACCTTGGCCATAGTAACATCGTAGCAAGCCATGGAAAGGGAACGATGACGACGTAACTGTCATCGATGCCGTGTACTCCAATAGTCGGCGAGGGGATTGTGTGTTGGATGGAAGAAGAGGAACCTGGGGTGACAGTAGCAGGAGTATGAAGTGGATCTGGCCAATCACGACGAACGCTCAGACGGGTTCAGCTCCGTGTCTTTGGTGGGTCGGTTGTCCTACATAGGAGACTTCCAACTGCCCCTCTGAAGATTGCCCGATCTGTTTCCCAATTTCCAAAAGATACGCAGAACTCGCGACAGCGCATGGTTTTGATAACACTGATCGTGTACGTGATTAAGGTTTCAATTTCTTAGGCCGTGTTTCCACCTCCTTCCAGCTTCAGCTTCGGAGCTTTGCATGACAGACACGGGCACTTGACATACCATGACCTTCTTCACTCTAGGTAAGTAACTTCATCGACAAGGCCTAGGGGTCTAGTGGACTGGTTCCAACCTAGCCTCTAGGTGACGCTCAACAAGACCCACGTTCACATCTTATCGACATGGAATGTTTCAACCTCAAGAGGATCATGGAATACCATTCAGGATGTTAGAATAACATTGTGAGGTTCTGTTCTGTCACATTGCCAACTCTTGTAGGAGCCCCTGCCCTTGCCTTTTGTCAGCCCTCATCATCCGCTGCTTCTTCTACAGTTGCTTTGTGCGATGCAGAGTCACCCTGCTCTATTCGAGGTCTTAAGTAGCCCTCTTTCTCCAGCTGGCTGGCTTCTTCTGGCTCCATCAGCCCACCGCGCCCTTTGCTCTTGTCCAGTTTTGCTCTGACAACACTGGGCACGAAGGCCGAGACGGCCTCCTTCTGGAGATTGCGAACAACCGGTTTCGCTTCGTACACGGTTCTTGCTTCCACGGCAGGGGCTTCGTTTTGCGCTGTTTGTCTTCCTGCTTTCCGTGGTTGTGAATCTGCCCCTTCGTCCTCCTGTCGATCTGCTTGCCGCCGCGCACGTCGCCGCGCCCACCAGGCATCCATGACATCCTTGGGAATCGGAGGCGGCGTGTCTCGCGGCATAGGGATACGCTTGACGTCCTCTGGCACATCGTCGTCGTCCTCGTCACTTGAAGCAGCTTCCGTGCCACGCCGCCTCTTGCCCAGAACGCCGCCTCCCGGACCTGTGTGATCGCGTCCTGAAAAACCTCGACCGAAAGAGGGAGCAGCGTCTCCCATGGCTTCTCGCGCCTTCTTCACTGCGCAAAGTTCCTTTTCGAGGCCTTCGAGGACCTGCTCCTCGTGGCGAGATAGTTTGGCGCCATTGGTGGTGATGGCTTTGAGATCATCAATCTGTTTCTGGATGCGATCGGGGTTGCGGCGCGCAAGTTTTTCGTTCCGACGGTTCTGGACCTCTGACTTTCCTGTGACGTGTCAGCTTTCAAGGTTCGTTCGTTGTCGTTGGGGGGACATAATCACACCTTTCTTGATGGCCTTGGCCTTGTCGGCCTTGCGCTGGGCCTGGACTGGATTGAAGTTCCGCTCTTTCGCCATTCTATCGGCGTGGAACAGCGGGTTTGGATCTTCAGCTCGACCGGTCGAGTATTCAAGAGCCTTGGTGTTGTTCGAGGGTATCAAGTGACGGAACTCGATTGATAAATGCGTTGCTTGCTGCTTGTTGCTAGTTGCTCGAGGCCCACGGCTGTGAGTCTCCAAATCCTTATCGCGAAGGCTGATGTCACCTTATCCGATTTCACGTGATGGTAGGCTCAAACAGGGGATGGTTGTTGCTGCTGCAACCTCTGTTGACAGATCCCTGGCCCCACCCAATAGCACGTTTCCATTCCGCATAACGTACCTAGGTAGGTACCACAGGAACGGCACCACCGCCGCCATCGATCGCCTTACAGATTGGGCCCTGATGTCGCTACTGCCGCTGCTGCTGGTGTTGTCATTGCCGCTACTGCAACCCCCTCCCACCTCGATTGAATCAGTGCTTTCCCTTGAATGCATTCCGTTGCTGCCCACACCAAATTCCACCACCACCCCTCCCTCTCCCTGTCTCTGACTCTGCCCTGTGCAGAACAACATTTTCGTCTTCCTTAACCTCGAGTCTGGTACTTGTCTATCAGGACTTCCTTCACTGCTCCTTCCACATTTGGGCTCTCCGCCAGCCATCCTGCTTCGACTGTTCTCGATATCAGTACTCACAACCCCTGCATCCGCAGCTGCTTGGCTTGTTGATCCCTCCCCTTCGAATCTATCGCCAGGGTATCGATCGCAACAATGGCGAGCTTCATGTCTAACTTCTTCCCCGGCGGGAGCAAAGAGAAGCTGGGCAGTGAGCGCCCAACCACGCCCACTGGGGACAACTCGAGCAACTTCGTCAACCCCGTCAGCACCCCGCAGGGCAGCCCCAGCAAGAGGACGCTTCCCCCCGGCGCCCATGAGCTACCAGAAGCTTTTGAAAACGCAATGAAACTCAATGCTCTGCCCGCCCTCGAGAGCCCAGTCAAGCTCGGCCGACCACAGAGCGTCATCACAACCCCGCAGTCGCCCGGCAAGAACCGACCCAATCCACTGGATGAGGCTAGTCCCAACGTTGACGATAGCATCCTCCACCGATCCGCCGTGTCCACTGGCAGTCCCTTGAAGAAGCAGCATGGCCAAGAGAATGCGCCTCCCTCGGGACGTCTCGGTGGCGGCTACGACTCTCCTGCACAGGGCCAGACGCCTCTCCCAAGGCATGATCGCTTTCAGACCCGGGACAGACCTTCGACACCGGCCAAAAAGTTCAACACATCACGGGCGCTCACGCCAGAGGAGCTTGAGATTCTCCAGCGCCCCAACGTTCGGAGGTTGGTAAATGTGACCCAGCTATGTATGTATACCCGCCATGTCCAGGCCGTATGTCAACGAGCACACGGGGAACTGACCGAGATGATTCCGCCCAGACTTCCTCGACTACTACTTCGATCTCCTTACCTACGTCGGCTCCCGCCAAAGTCGACTCACCGCTTTCAAGTCGGAATTTTCTCCTGAGCAAACGGATGAGGCCACATACGGCCAGATGTGGCAGAAATACGCAGGTCGTGAGAGGGCCAACCTTCGAAAGCGTCGTGTCCGTCTTCGCCATGGCGATTTCCAGATCCTCACTCAAGTCGGACAGGGTGGTTACGGCCAGGTGTTCCTAGCGCAGAAGAAGGACACACGTGAAGTCTGCGCCCTGAAGGTCATGAGCAAGAAGCTGCTGTTCAAGCTGGATGAGGTTCGCCATGTTCTGACCGAGCGCGACATTCTGACAAATGCGAAGAGCGAGTGGCTCGTTCGGCTCTTGTACTCCTTCCAGGATGACAAGAGTATCTATCTTGCCATGGAATACGTCCCCGGTGGAGACTTCCGCACTCTGCTGAACAACACTGGCGTGTTGAGCAACCGACACGCGCGATTCTACATTGCAGAGATGTTCTGCTCCGTTGATGCCCTCCACCAACTGGGCTACATCCACCGTGATCTGAAACCCGAGAACTTTCTCGTCGATTCCACGGGCCACGTCAAGCTGACTGACTTTGGCCTTGCTGCAGGCATGCTGGCTCCGGCCAAGATTGAGTCGATGCGCATCCGTCTCGAGAAGGCGTCTGAGACGTCCGTACCGTTCGGCAAGCCGATGGAGCAACGAACGGTGGCCGAGAGACGGGAGGGCTACCAAATGATGAGAGAGAATGATGTCAACTACGCCAAATCTATCGTCGGTTCGCCCGATTACATGGCACCAGAGGTTCTCCGTGGTGAAGAATACGACTTCACGGTTGACTACTGGAGCTTGGGCTGCATGCTCTTCGAGGCTCTGACTGGCTTCCCACCCTTTGCTGGCTCCAGTGCCGACGAGACGTGGAGGAATTTGAAACACTGGAAGGAGGTTCTGAAGCGGCCTGTTTGGGAGGACCCCAACTATTTCCTCAGCAACAGGACTTGGAACTTCATCACCACGTAAGTTTTGATCAAACACGGCATCTGACACGATGAAGGTGGCTAAACATGGCGATAGGTGTATCAACTCGAGGTCAAGGCGATTCTCCAACATCCAGGAAATCTACGCGCACCAGTACTTCGCCGAGGTCGACTGGGAGGTGCTCCGCCAGACCAAAGCGCCTTTCGTCCCCGAGCTGGACTCGGAGACGGATGCAGGCTACTTTGATGACTTCACCAACGAGGCAGACATGGCCAAGTACAAGGAGGTGCACGACAAGCAGACAGCCCTGGAGAACATGGCTGAGCGTGGCGAAGAGATGGGCAAGGGTCTCTTTGTCGGCTTCACGTTCCGCCACCGCAAGCCGCAGACAGAAGAGAGCAGCTCGCGCAAGGCCAACCCTTTCCGCGAAGACAACACATTCGGGACGATGCTGTAGAGCCATCCTCTCTTGCACAGGACAGAGGCGCGCTACTTTGCCCGCCGGACATTTCTTTAGCGTACTGGCCGCGAACGGGTCACAAAGAGGCTCGCGTGAGGCCCGATTGGGATCATGACAAGCTGCACGACGATTGATCTTTGGAGCAAGGAGGTTGAAGGCCCTTCGACAGGGCGGTGGGGCGGCTGAGTCGAATTGCGACGATGTGTACTGTGGATTCGTTTCTTGGCCCAAGCCAGGCTCACGGTGGCAGCCTGGTCGGCCTATTCCGCCCCCTTTTCAACCACTACTTCCGACATTTTTATTTGTCAGTCTTTTTTCTGTTTGTGGATTCTTGGGGAGGTCACGCGATGCGACCTGTGAGCGATGATCGAGACTGGCTTGCTATACCAGGCTGCGTCCCATGGAAATAATGAGTAAAAGAGGCGTATGGTAGGACGGCGGTAGCATTGAGTTGGTAGCCTCATACATGTATGAAGTAGACATCAGAGACAGGCGAGGAGAAATGAAGCACATTATGATCTTTCGTTCGGTACAGGTCGTGTGTGGGCGAACAGCAGCCGGCACTGACGCGCCAGGCGATGATGATTACCACCAAGGAGACCAACGTTCCGCCCTCGACAAGGCACATTTCACTGCCTCGCCGGTCGATCGCCTCCCTCCAAATCCGAGTGCCTACGCGCCAAACGTCATCCCTCCCGACATCTCGGAGTCGCACGCGCGTCGCCGTCAGCGCAACGTCGGCACAGCTCGTTGAGTGCGTCAGCACCATCTCCCCTCCCAGCATCTTGCACGCCCGACGATCTCGGTCGGTCTCGTCTCGCCAGAGCGCAAAGGGGGGAAGAAGGAAAGGGAAGATCAAAGCCACAAAGGCCGTAGCTCGGGTTGGTTGGTCGAAGAGAGGGCGTCGTGTCATCCGGGGGTTCACGCTTCGGGGTTTCCCCACCTTTGGCCCGGACCGCCCGGATGGGGCCGCGTCTCTTCTGTTGCGGGGAGGGGACGCCGCACCGATTGGCTCGGCCTGACGATTCTCTGGGAAGGGAAAGCCTGCGCAAGGGCAACACATGGCATGGGGTTGGTGGCAGAGCAGGGCAGGACGCGTGGCAGAAATGTCGGGGGGGACGCCGAAGGAGGAGGGCGAACCCAGCGAGTGTCTCCCCTTCCCCCACCCCCGTTGCCAAGTCGGCCGAGCCTGGCGAGAGGCGGAGGAAGAGAGGGCGTGTGATGTTTGGCTGCTGTGTTGTTTCAGCGTGTTGGGTTTTGCCCCCTCCTCGCTTTCGCGATGCTCGTTCTTGTGTGCTTACTGCGGCGGCGGAGGCGGCGGGGTGGCCTAGCTTATGCGTCACTCGGTTTCGGTTCCACGGTTTTGGAGCCGCCGGCCGACGTGGCGGGCGAGGTGGTTGAGGCAGTGACGACATGATGTCTTCTGTGGTCAGTGGTATAAGAGGCTGGCGATGCATGCTGTTTGCTTGTCGTTAGTTGTCACCAGCATATCACGACAATTAGCAACTCATTGGGATTGAACGAGCCGCTCCTGCAACCACACTAACGGCCCCTGTTTATTCTACATCAATAACCACTGACGGGAACGGGCGAGAACCAAGTTTGCCAACATGAGAGCAGTCCTCCTGTCCGCCGTGCTGGCTTCCGCCGCCACGGGTATTCGTGCTTCTCCTGATTCGCCCTGGCCCTGGGATAACGACGACGACAAGGACGGTTGGAATTGGGGATGGGGAGATGGATGGAAGGGCCCAGGACCTCAATGCGCCGTACGCTTATTTTCCCTCCTCCTGTATCCGACCCTGCTCCTCCCCCTCAATGCTGACTAGTGGGTTCGTATAGTCGTCCTGTCTCTCGTCACACTGGCAATCTGCGGTTCCCACGCCAGCAGCCATCTGCACCGAGGCCACAGGTCTGGCATCGTGTCTCGCCTCCGCCTGCACCACCGATGCTGCCGCCTACAGCAGCTACACCTCACGCTCCGCATCCGCATGCTCGCGCTGGTCCACCTGCTCGACCACGGGCACCTACACATACTCGTACGACTCCGAGTGGTGGGACTGGGCAACCCCCACGGCGACGGTCGTGACGGTGACGGGGTGCCCTTGGAACGGCAACGGCTGGGGCTGGGGTCCCTGGGGTGATGGCGATGGCGATGGTTGGGGGAACCGGGGCCCGGGCTGGAGGTATGAAACCGACACGGTGACTGTAACGGTGACGGGGGGAGGCTCGGCGAGCGGCAGTCCTGCTCTGTCGACCATTGTTGTTGCTGAAGCCGTCAGTGGAGACGAAACCGTCCGAACGACCTTTGGCGTGCCTGCGGCGACAGGGACCGACGGCAACGACAGCAACGCCGACGACAATAACAGCGCGGCCGCCGGCGGTGATGACCTCAGAGGCGTCAAGGCTGCCGCCGCTTGCCTTGCGGCTGTCGTTGTTGGAGTTGGCCTCCTGTGAGAAGGTCCATGGTCATGGTACATGTTGCACAACTGCGTATTTCTTTTGGTGTACAGGTTTGCTTGTCGAAGATGGACTGCTGATTGAAGGGGACGTATCTTCTGGTGTTGAGTTTTACATGCGGTCGTTACAGCATGGCAAGGTTATATTATGATCGTGGAATTATGGATTGTTTTGTGACTTTGGGTGTGGTAAATGAACGAGCTTTGCTGTGACACATGGCTTTGTATGTCGGCCTACTCTCGTACAACAACTCCCCCCAGTGTAAGAGTCTTCCGCAAGAGATTGTGAAGAGATGCAACTCAACTACAGCAGAGTCGTATATACCAATACCAATATGCCTAGGTCATGGACGAACCGGGTGGAGGCTCGGTTTTCCTCGACAAGACAGTAAGAGGTGCTGAGTAGAATCCAAGACTAGCCTCAGTACCTACCCACCAAGGTTGATAAAGGATCTTCCCGAAAGATTTGTATTTTTAGTTAGAAGTTGAATACTCTATACACCGGCATTCTCCGTCCCTAAGTAACTTCAGACACCGACTTTCGACAAGCTGACTGCTCAGAGGCGTCATGGCAACTGCCCACGCGTTGATGCGGCTCATTTGCCGGCCAGCCTCCATGGAAACTACTTCCAGATTCATCTGCTGGTCATTTTCAACTATAGGTGTTTACCAATGCGGCCGTAAAAGCCTAACTGGATCCTGTGATGTTGTTCCTTCGTATCGAGATTATGTGAGCGCGAGTTCTGTCAGGGCTGGAGATATCCAGACAATAACCATGCAATATGCAACCGGAGTATATAGCTGGTGAATTCTTTGACTGCTGCATCTCCTGCCGTATTTTTATCAGCATTTTGGTTTTCATGATTGCGGTTGCGGCATGGTTCGATCGACTGACAACGCCTGAGTTGTTGACATGATCATCCCAGCGTAATCTAGCCTCTCGCTAGGTACACCGGCGGGCAGTGGTAGGCATGAATCGTGAATGACACAGATTAGTGAAGTCGTCTTACTAGGCACTCTGACGTGAGAGTAGCCAAGTCTCAACCAGGACGCCAGCCGTTTTCCTGTAGATCCATTCCCAACCTTCCGACCCCAAACCGGAGATGCGGGGTTTCTCCAGATATGAGTAGACGTAGCACGGCCACCAGGAATAAATGAGATTAGCCTGCGTCAACGGGTGCAGTTCCGGGTCACGATCCCACAAGCGACATGCATGTGTATCGAGTAGCCGTGCAGCATCACGCGCGCCGCTGCCGAGACCAAGGCGCCGGGAAACCAGCATCTGATCAGCCACAAGGCTTAATGATACATGGGGGTTGGCATTGACAAGCAACACGCAGAGAGCGTTCAGAGCGTTGATTGAGGTTCATTATGCGGTGAGATATAGAAGGAGAACACAGATAGGCCGGAGATGTTCATTCCTAGATAAGGTGATCGTCAACGCAGGGTCCTTTTGCGAATTCACCAAAAAGACAGCATCGAACCTGTTCATTGGCGGATCCACCATCGCATGTGCCCAGCTGCCCTTTTCGAGGAGGTAGCAACCAACATGATTTGTTTGCGACCCTTGCGTCAACGATAAGACAGATGTGTGAGGCAAGTTTGTCTGGTTTGACGTGACCTGGAGTGCGCGGGAGCTTGGGCTTGGGCGTCCAACTATAAGAATGCGCATGCTCCCACAATAATGCCGGGCCGCAATGATCGTATTCTGGATCACCATGATCAAGCAATGGTAGACATGACGTCTAAGCAACTTTGCAGATTTTCCTGGTCGATCTCAACCTCGCCTGGCCTCGCCTTGACCTCGACCTCGACCTGAGCAACATTTACGATATGCTCGCTGACTTCGATGGTGGCACAACATGGCACTCACGAAACACCTCCCACCCCAGGTTCGTCCCGATGGTATGCGCACAGCATGGCACTCGAGCAAGGAAAGAAATGAAGACAGGAGACTTGCTGGCCCAAGGCGGGCTGAGTGTCGCATGACCTGATGATGGCTTCTGCTAGGGTGGTATTGAACCCCCACGCCGGCCAGCCCGCGCTGTGAGCCACTCGCGGACGAGAACACGAAAAGGATGCCACAAGTGGTCTCGGATCGACACGGATGGTGCGCACCTGGTCCCCAATCGAGGCCGCAACAAAGGATACGAACAACCCCTGATAAGCAGAAGTGCCTTTGCATGCGAGCTTATTGAGGCCATCTGACTGGCTCGGTTCGATTGAGGAGCGTCTGGACCGTCTTGGTGGCCAGAGAGTAGCTGGAGGCTGGCATCTCACCAACCTCCTGAGAGCTCGTGCAACTTTCGCTGAGGTCGGCCCAAGCAACCTCAAAAAGCAAAGCCAAAAAGACGCAGCGACATCGAGGGCCCAGGCTTCAGGAACGGCCCGGAACCCGAACTAACATGTAGGTGACGCAGAGCTAGCGTCTTGTCAACACCGAAGAGGCGGAAGGAAATGTGCAAATCCGGGCGCCATGTACAGGTTCACTGCTCATTGAAAGTACTGTGACACAATCGTGGTACGCATGCTTTGCCTGCTGTTAATTTTCGCATGAACAGCAATCGTTGGTTATCAGTGCCCCTGCGACGTTGTGGGTAGACCTAGCGCCTTTGGAGGGGTTAACGATGGGTCTCATCGGGAAAATTAGGCACGACCCAGGCCACCCGACAACGCGCGACGGTCTAGACGTCTCAATACAGCGCTTTCAGGTAGGCCGGCCTTTGCTCGGTCGAACATTGACAATGTAGCGATACCGGAGTGTGCGACTCCCTTGCCGCGAAGGGCGAGGCAGTCTACATGCAACTTCCAGCTGAGCGATTTCTCGATACGTTGACTACAGTGCAGTTTTGATGTTGATGGGACCACCATGTGGGAAGTGCGACGTTCTTTTGGAGCTTCTCGAAGACAGCGTTCACCATTTGGCATGTGAAGTTCGAACGTGGGGCCTGCCACAAGCATCGTTTTGTCACTTTCCTCGCCATTGTCGATTATCCTAATAGGGGAATACGTCGCATGTGTTCATGGGGACCTTCGTTTGTGTTGCGTAAAGTTTTGAGATTAGCTATGGACATAGCGTGTAGGACCCTGAAAATTTGACGTACTGCCTCGAACTGATTACGAGATGGCAACGTGGGTGTCAGATTCGCGAAGAAGCGTGCCCCAGGCACGATGCGTTGGGCAACGGAATGACGACATGGCTGGATCGCAGCCCGCGCTATGGAAGCAGCTCCGTAATGGGTGAACACCGCTGCGAGTGCAGTGCCTCGCGGCATCGTGACACAGGCAAGGGACATGGTTAGGGCTTTCAGGCCAGAAGACGAGTGGTTCGGGCAAGATACCCCTTCGCCCGAGGCTTCGGTGTTTACCCAAGTAACCTGACCATGGTTCTGAAGACTTGGGGACCCACAGTGAACAGGTAGCGGCGGCAGCTCGGCAGCCTCTAGAGTCCTCTCTGGCTGCTTCTGCCTTATGGGCACCTAGGTAGGCTAGGTAGTAGCTTTCAGTGTGGTCCGTAGTACAGCGCGGCTGCCAGCCCGGCTATCGTGGGGTCTTGGCAACGGCTCAGGACACATGCATTTTCGTCACCTATCATGCGGCAGCCGGCGTCATTTGACAAGGGGGTTTCGGCGCAAATTCCCCAACGTGTGAAACATGACGTGGGAACAGGTTTAATCAGGGTCCAGTGGGGCATCGTGGGTTCGAACGGAGTCTCGAGATGCGCGGTGTGCTCAGAGTAGGAGAAGATTTTCGGAGGCTTCTTTGGTTCGTCACGTCGAAATGATGAGTGAGGAGAATTTTGCTCGATTGCCAAGCAAATTCTAAGTTGGACGGACAAGCCGTCCCGTAGCGAGAAGAATTCGGCTTCGTCGTGAGGCTGAGCGGCAAAGCGATGGATTCTGCATTGGGGCATTCGCTTAGTGGAGGATAGGGAAAGGGAATCGTGGCCATGTACATCGATCGGGCCTATGCTCGTGGAATTGGGTCTTGAAATGGAAAGCCTCCACTGTCAAAGCGTCAGGCTGCGAGGCGAAACGAACGAGGCTGGACGGAGAGTCCATGTGTGCATGTTGTAGTAAGCGTGCCATGCTGTACCCGAGCGCCCGGATCGAGGACGCTGCCTTATTGTTCGCGGCTGACTCGCCTCTTGTGGCAGCGCAGGAATAGTCCCTGGGCTGCGGGCGCAAGAAGGCATACCATCTTAGTAGAAGTGGTCTTAGGCGTTAATGGTTCGAACGATGAGTGGACCGGACCCACGGCTTTTCTGGTGTTGGAAGCGTGTTGCGGAGGACCATTCACCCACCCATCGACAACGACCTGGCTGAGAGAGAGTTCGGGAGTCGGTCGGTGGGCCAAAGCCGCCAAAAGCTTGGCCCTGTCTGTTCCTCGTGAGCTAGCCGCCGTCGGGATGGTGGCTCCGATGAAGTGCCTTATTGCTGCGCGACAGGCGAGTGTGCAAGGGTATTTGATCCGTATGGGAGCCACATACACCCATATCCCACCAGTCGAAAGAGTGTGAGGGCGCGTGTGAGGGGGTTCGACGAGGGGGGTAATGCGGGACAGCATGGACCAGTCCATGCTGCGACAACGGAATCAAACTGAAGATGGAGAGCATCGGTAGAATGGAGAAGCAATGGCGGGAGAGGGGGGGCGCGGGCGGAGGAGGAGAGGTTGGCAAGGCAAGGCGGGACAAGGAAGGCAGCGTACGTGGTAGGTAGGTGGTAGTTTGGGGGTGAAAGGGCGGCGCGGGACAGTGGGACATCAAAGGAGGGGCAGTAGGAACAAGGGCCTAGACATGGGCAAGGGCATCCATCTCATTCTCACGAGGGATCCCTGCAGGGAAGGAGAGACCGAGTGGGGGTTCCTGGGATGCACCTGCCGCACTGGATGGGGTAGGTAGGTACGTACCTTCGCACAGAAACAGGCCCTCTCAGCTCAGTTCTCACGAAATCCAATGTCAGAAGTCTACAGGCGGCCTGCACCAGACCAGGCCAGACC